TTTGGTGATCAGCCTTCTTGATGGTCCAGCTCTCACTTCCATACATCACTACTGTGAAAACCATAGCTTTTACTATACAGAGCTTTGTTGACAAGGTGATGTCTCTGCTTTTTAAGATGCTGTCTAGGTTTGTCATTGCTTTTCTCCCAAGAAGCAGGCGTCTTTTAATTTCGTGGCTGCTGTCACCATCTGCAGTGATCATGGAGCCCAAGAAAGTAACATTATAAATTACCTGCCTTGGAGCTGAAGACCACCCCCAGAAACATCATACATACATCACAGAAGGGGTGTAGCTCAAGACCACCCCGCAGACACATCATACCTACATCACAGAAGAGGCGGTCTACAACAGAAATCTGAGTGTGTTGTTTATCTCGTCTGACAGGTTACCTGTTAATGCTCACTTGATTGGAAACCCTGGGGAGCCTGGCCAGTCTTTTGAAATGATAAATACTTAGTTCCTGAGCCAGCTCGCAGGCTCACCCTATTCATACACAGACATACCCTTAAGACAGGATTTGTGAATGAAAAGACAATGGGGAGTCTTTTCCATTTTCCTTGACCTTGCAGAGAAATCATTTGGTCAGTTCCGGAGTCAAAATGGTTTCCGGGCTGTTTTCCTGTGCTGCTTCAGACATGGGGTTTATATATTTATGCATGTGTTTGCTTGGTACAATTATGAACATTTATTATATATATATAAGACCTTAATTTTTTTATTTCAGGATGCAGCCCAGGGGTTAGCCATCCCATAAACACATAGATCACATCCCTTGTGGTGGCCTCTATCCTTATAGCACCACACCTTCTGGAAGAAATGTTTAGGAATGAACTTCTTGTAATATAACGCCAGGAGGTTTTCATTCGGTTTTGGAATTTCGGGACCTGACTCATCCAAGGCTGATGTTCACAAACTTGAGCCAAATGTTTTATCCACAATATGTGCAGGCAGGAATTGTGAGCTGGGAAAATCCGAGGTCTTGTTAAATGCCTGGTGCTTTTCCTGATTCCCTGTGACTTGCTTCCTCCTGAGTCACTGATGGCAGCCTTGCGATTCCGCCCCTTCCAAATCTCCATCTGATACTTTCCATCTGCTTTGCATTCACCATCCCAGCTTTTTCCAGGATGCTGCTGAGGACATCTTACTCCCAAGCTGCTCAAGTGCTGGACCAAAATATCGGTTCCACTTCCAGCTCCTTTGTGTGCAGACGGGAAGTCCCTCGCGAGAGCGATGTCTTTTCGGATAAGCTTGAGAATGGCAGGAAATGTAGCTGTACCAGCACCTAGGTGGCAGAGGAGAAGGCAGCCAAAACAGGCAGACAGCGATACAGTGAACCATAGAATTGGAAGGGACCCCCAAGAGTCATCTAGTCCAACCCTCTGCAATGCAGGAAATCTGCCTGGAATCTGTCGTTGGATGGGCTCAAACCACCAACCCTCTGGTTAACAGAAATCAAAGCAGTGATGATACACTGGGCTAGAGATATAATATCCAACTTTCATTTGGCCTCTGTTATTTTCTCCGACTGATGGAAAACCTACAAAAGACTCTGTAAGGGCTCTTGTGTCCCCCATAAGGGAATAAGGGCAGATTTTCGTTTATTACAATATTCATACATTACTGACCATGCAAGAAGACCTTTTCCTTGAAACTATATTGAAATAATAAATACTTCTGGGGTGTCAGGGGAGGGATGGTACCACTGGTGGGAGACAAACTATTCTTCTGGGGTAGTTTGTCTACCTTTGGTCCCCCATCCTGCCCTCTGCTCTCACCTGGCGCTCCTAGAAGCGGTCAGCATGCGATGGTGATCACACCCCGGGAAACAGCTTCGACTGGCCGGCTAAAACAGGTGAGGGGAGCTGATGGGTCTCAAACCTTCTGCTTGTTAGGGACTGATCCTGCATGCGAAGACTGGCTCTGGCAGATGGAGTGGACCAAGCCAATGGTGGGTCTAAAGGTCAAGAAGGTGGTTTCTGAACTTATTGATTAGAATATTTGTGTGAGATTGTATGGGAAAATACAGAATGACAGATACAATCTTGCTTAAAATGTATATAGGAAGTGCAGCGTAAGCGATAGAAGTCAATCAATGAAATTTTATTATTATTTTCATATTGAGATATTTGTAGAATAAACTTGGAAGAAATTCTTGCAACTTTTCTTCTTCTTTTCTCTTTCTTTCTTCTTTTTTTCTTTTAGTTTGTTCCTTTTTTCATATATATATGCTTATTTGAAATATATATGTATTTGCAATATTTTGCTTATATTTTGTAACAATTACTGTATGTTAAATATTTTTTTTTAAAACGGTGGTTTCTGCACGGGCTTTAGGGAAGTGACGGTCAGGTGGGGATCGCCCACCTGGGAAGGGAGCCCATTTAGGAGAAGGAAAACTCTGATCCTAAATCTCCACTGCCTTGTGGGACATCTTCAGGAGACGAAAAAAGTAAGGAGTAAACTCTACACCATGGGTAGGCAAACCAAGGCCCGGAGTCCGGATCCGGCCCAATCGCCTTTTAAATCGGCCAGTGGACGGTCCAGAAATCAGTGTGTTTTTACATGAGTAGAATGTGTCCTTTTATTTAAAATGCATCTCTGGGTTATTTGTGGGGCATAGGAATTCGTTCATGCCCCTCCAAAAAAGCGAGTGTGGCCCCCCACAAGGTCTGAGGGACAGTGGACCGGCCCACTGCTGAAAAAGTTTGCTGACCCCTGCTCTACAGAAATCCAGAGCGGAGTCCTTAAGGCAGTTGGATGGCGCTTGTACGCCTCCTTCTGGCAACTCCTGCAGCCAAGTGGGTACCCAACGTCTTGCTCCGCTTTCCTTCGGACCTCATCAGGAAGGCCAAGAGGGGGCCTTGTCACAAAGGTAGCCTAGATCCTTCCGGCTGTGATAGGAATTTTGAGGTCTTAGATATATGGTAATGTTCATAACCGCACATACATCGATCAGCACAGGAAGACCGACCTGAAGCCATTTTGATTCCTAAACTGAGCAAATGTTTTCTCTGCAAGGTCAAAGTGGGAAACCTCCCCATTGTCTCTTTCCTCACAAATCCTGTCTTAAGGGCACATTTAAGATATGAATAGGGTGTGAGCCTGTGACCTGGCCCAGAAACTGCGTATTTATCATTACAAAAGACTGGCCAGGCTACCCAGGAAATCCAATCAAGTAACCTGCCAGACAGGAGATAAACAAGGACAGGAGAAAAACAATATTCAAATTTCTGTTTCTGTGATGTAGGTGTGATGTATCTGAGGGGTGGTCTTAGGTTACACCCCTTCTGTGATGTATGTATGATGTTTCTGGGGGTGGTCTTGATCTACAGGGTGGCAATTTCAAAAGTCTTTATAAGGCCTGGAAGCCATTTTTCTGGGTCCCTCGTCTCTCTTGAGGGTGAGGGGAGCACCCTGTTGCAACAGATCAATAAAGATCAAGCTTACTAGCTGCTTTGCTTCTCAATATTCTCTGGTTGGCCTCTGTTATTCTCTCCTACCAATAGGGAACCTATGTAAGGACTCTATATGGGCTCTTGGATACCCCATAAGGGAAAAGGGCAATTTTTGTTTACAACACGGCACAGGCTTGCACCCAGGGATGTCAGTTTGGTGCTGCTAAAACCACAAAGGAGGCAGTGGTTGCAAGATTCCAGCCTCTGCAGCCACAGGGGGGCGCTGTTGTTCTCCAGGGAGCGGTTCTCAACCTGTGGCTCCCCAGATGTTGGACTACAACTCCCATCATCCCTGAGTTCTGGCCTTGCTAGCTAGGGGTGAGGGGAGTTGTAGTTCAACAACATCTGGAGACCCACAGGTTGAGAAAGCTATTTCATGGACACATCCCCACTTTTGAAGTTTAAAAGGGAAGAGAAGGGGGCAGCGACGAACAATTCCTTCCTTGCACGTCCCCTTCGCCTCCTCCAGCACCCACCCACACCCAGCTCCACCCCATGTTGTTCTGCTGGGACAGGCCGAATCCTGCAAGGGTGCTGCACCCAGAAAAGGGGATTCGAATGCAAGACAGGAGAGCCCTGGGGCCAAGCCCTCCTTCCTGGCCGATTCATGGTAGGGCAGCGCCCCCTAGTGAAACCCAGTGCCTCTATCTCTGGTTCTCAACCTGTGGGTCCCCAGATGTTGTTGGACTACAACAACATCTGGGGACCCGGTTTTACTTCAACCCTCCCCCCGCTCGCCATTGTCTCTTGAGACCGACGGATGCTAACAGCAATACAAAGTCCTTCTTCCCACGGCGCCTAGTTAAACGGTGGAACTCCCTGCCCCATGAGCCAGCCTGGGTGGCTTTAAGAGCGGATTCCAAAGATTCACGGAGGAGGAGAGGGCCAGGGAGAGTGTTGCCCTTGTGCCCGGATCCTGATCGCGGGTTTCCCCCGAGAGCTGTTTTGCAAGGCCACCGGGAGATCAGGAGGCTTCACCCGACAGGCTCCATCTCTTTCTAATATTGCCAACCGCCCGCGGATCTTCGGGCGGGCGATAAGTTAAAAACGTAACCTAAGAATAGCAGCGCGGCCTCCCTCCTCCCGTCCCGTGGCAGCGAGTTCCACCGGCCACGGATTCCTCCTGAATGGGCGCGGGAACGAGGGCGGGGCGAGCGGGAGAGAAATGAATGAATCAAAGCGGGCGGGGGCGGATCCTCGAACCCTGATTGGCCGACGCCTTCCAGCGCCCGGGAAAGCACGCGGGGCCGCTGATTGGACGCCCGCCGCGCCCGTCCGGAAGGGAGGCGGGACTAGCCGGATCCGGAAGCAGATGCCGGTGGCCAGAGGAGGGGAGAAGCGAGCGGCGAGGGTCGGACCGCGGTGGGAACAGCCTCCTCCCCATACCCGGACCTGGTGACCTTTGACCCCGCTCTTTTTTGGGGGGGCCCTCTCTCATTCACCCGAACCCCTCTCTCTGGCGTTGGCTGGGGGCGCCCTTTGACCTTTGCCCCCCCTCCGGGCCCTTGGACTTGGGGCCCCTCCTCTCTCTCCCCCCGGCCGAGATGCCTTGGAAGCGGGGGCTCCGGTTCCTGGGGAGCTGCTCTGCGGGGAGGGTCGCCCCTGAGGGGGCCAGGCTGGCACGACCCTCCTCCGGGACCCACAGCTCCGAGGGGAGACCTGACAGCTGCAGGAAGAGGAGGGTGAGTCAGTGGGGGGGGGGGTGTGGAAGTGGTGTGTGTGTGTGGAGAGTCTTGGGCTGGGGCTCTGGGCACCAACCCACACGTCAGAAGGACCCTGCTGGGTCAGGGTCAAGGGTCCAGCACCCAGTGCTCATTCATAAGTGTGCAACAAGTCTCACAAGTGTGCAATGCCCTTGTGAGCATGAAACTGCACACCGGCCTCTATGATTGCGCTGATCCCCGCAGGGCAGAGGCCTCTGTGCGGCTGCTTTTATTTAATATGTTGCATCTGCAGCCCTCCTTCGTTCCTCCAGTGGTCCTTCTCCCTACCCCTTTATTTAATCCCCACGACAACCACAACCCTGCGAGGTGAGTTAGGCTCAGAAAAGGCAGCAGCTGTCCCCCAAGATCCAAAGTGGGAATTCGAACCCCAGCCTCTCCCAGTCTGACACTTTAACCACTATGCCATTACTGCCTCCCTGCTGGAAGAGGGTCATGGATGCTGACTCTGCCCAAAGGTGGCTGGAGAGCAGGGCTGAAATGGCCTTTGAAACACCTGCCCTTAACTCCTGGCTTCAGGGATGAAAATCAGCTCCAAGAGACGGACCCAACCGGTTAAGCATGTTGACGCCTGCAGCCAAAATAGAAATCGCTTGCCACTTAAATAGCAGGCAATGTGTTGTGTGCTCTTCTCTACACAACCTAGGGAGGTCACTACTATGGGGAAGTGAGGGGTTTGGAGGAGGATGCTCTTATTATTGTGTATTTAATTTGTATACCGTCCTTCATCCATAGATGTGTCCACATGGCACAAGTCCAATCCGCTTCCTGTAAAGGTAAAGGGACCCCTGACCATTAGGTCCAGTCATGGCAGACTCTGGAGTTGCCGCGCTCATCTCGCTTTACTGGCTGAGGGAGCCGGCATACAGCTTCCGGGTCATGTGGCCAGCATGACTAAGCCGCTTCTGGTGAACCAGAGCAGCGCACGGAAACGCAGTTTACCTTCCCGCTGGAGCGGTACCTGTTTATCTACTTGCACTTGGACGTGCTTTTGAACTGCTAGGTTGGCAGGAGCAGGGACCGAGCAACAGGAGCTCAACCCGTTGTGGGGATTCGAACCGCCGACCTTCTGATCGGCAAGTCCTAGGCTCTGTGGTTTAACCCATGGCGCCACCTGCGTCCCAATCCGCCTCCTGGTGAACACACAAAAGGCACTCTGCCTTGTGGAGCCCAGGATGTCCACCTCCACTGGGAACTCCTGTCCCAATATTATATATTTTTATAGATAGATAGATACATGTCTAGCACACAGGCAGGCTCAGTTTTCCCTGCTGGGTAATGGCCTTGAAAGCTCAAAAAGCAGAAAACGAGGTCACCTTTTCCCTGGATGTTCAACTGCTCCATTACTTGACGTCTGCAATTTCCATTCTGGGGGGGGGGGGGCATGTGGCACATGTGTGACTCCCTGCCCCATGCAGGCTGGTTTAGCCTTCCATTGATAATAATAATAATAATAATTTATTATTTGTACCCCGCCCATCTGGCTGGATTTCCCCAGCCACTCTGGGTGGCTTCCAACAAAGATTAAAAATACATAAAAATGTCACACATTAAAAACTTCCCTGAACAGGGCTGCCTGCCTTCAGATGTCTTTTAAAAGTATGGTAGTTGTTGTTCTCTTTGACATCTGGTGGGAGGGCGTTCCACAGAGCGGGTGCCACTACCGAGAAGGCTCTCTGCCTGGTTCCCTGTAGCTTTGCTTCTCTCAGGGAGGGAACTGCCAGAAGGCCCTTGGCACTGGACCTCAGTGTCCGGGCTGGACGATGGGGGTGGAGATGCTCCTTCAGGTATACAGCACTGAGGCCGTTTAGGGCTTTAAAGGTCAGTACCAACACTTTGAATTGTGCTCGCAAACGTACTGGGAGCCAATGTAGGTCTTTCAAGTCAGGTGTTATGTGGTCTCGGCGGCCGCTCCCAGTCACCAGTCTAGCTGCCGCATTCTGGATTAGTTGCAGTTTCCGGGTCACCTTCAAAGGTAGCCCCACGTAGAGCGCATTGCAGTAGTCAAAGCGAGAGATAACCAGAGATGCACCACTCTGGCGAGACAGTCTGCGGGCAGGGAGGGACAGCTGCCCTGGACACAGAATTGACCTGTGCTTTGCCCTCCTCTGCCCCCTCAATATTGGGGGGCTGGCGCTAAGCGCCCTGCTAAGGAATATTGAGGGGGCTAATGAAACCTCTGTCCCTGAGAGTTGGCGCACCTGATCCCAGCGCTTTAGAAGAAATTGGGTTTTGGCGGCTGAGAGTTCTGTGTCCTGGACCCGGCAGGAAACCGCAATCTGCTTTCTGCTTTTAGCAGGAAACCGTGGCGCTCCCAGCATCTCCTTGGGAGGAGCAGGAAAACCTGCCTTGCCCAGGAAGGTGGTTCCTGCAGGGGGCAAACTCTTGTCACACCGCAAGCGCCACAGGATGGGCTGCCGATCGTTCCGGTGACCAGCCGCTTCCCATGCCCACAGGGGCACCCGGGCTTTGGGGAGTCTCCAGCTCTGGTCACCGCCGTCTGATTCATCAGAGTGCGCCGCTTCGAGGTCTCACGGTGGAGGACATCCAGAAGGCGAGGGAATCTCGTCCGAGGAAAGACCAGGAGAGTCTGGGCAAAATGAGGCAGAAGGTAAGGCCTGGGGGGAGGGGGTGGATTGAACCCTGAGCCCGCCAGAATCCAGCAGGGATGCAATGTTTGGCACAATGCTTAAGGCAGAAGTTTCCAAACGTTCCCTGTTTGTGACACACTTTTTCGTTTCGCAACACACCCACACGCTGCAGCCGACAAGCAAGTGTGTTGCGGCACACAGTTTGGAAAGCTCTGGGTTAAGGTGTATGCACAGGTAATGCTGCTAATTGCCTCTATCGGCTGGGGAAATAGTTCAGATCGCAACTGTAGAAACTTTATGCTTAAGATCATAAAAATAAGCTGGTTGGACGCGCCAAGGTGGACCCATCTTGCCTTAACGTTCTGTTCCCAGATGTTTCTGGAGCGCTCACAAGAGGGGGTGAGTCTTCCTTGTCCCCCAACATCTGGCTGGCTTAACTTTTCTGCTGTCTGCTTTGTTCCTCAGCTCAGCGAGAGAGCCCGCGAGCGGAAAGTACCAGTGACCCGTGTTGGACGCCTTGCGAATTTTGGAGGTGAGATCCTCCAGGCGGCAGCATTCGCAGTTGAGGATTTGTTGCATCACAGAGAATGCCAGGGTGATGCAACTGGATTTTGCCATTCGTTTGCATGCTTTGCTGCCATTGGTTTGGCTGCTGTGATGTCACGGAATGTTTAGACACACGCCAGTTGCTCAGAGGAAAGGGCCAGTCGTGGAACGTTGTAAACGGCTGCAGGAGCGTGGATGTTGAATGCACATCTACAAAAACTAACCTGGACAGGTCCTTGAATTGTAGCAAGTTCCCCCCTGAAAAAGAAGTATTAAACTATCACAATAAATCTTGTCATTTGGGAATTGGAGAGGGCTGAGAATGAATGGCTTGAAATGAATATTCCACTCACAAAATTACAATCCTAAGCATTTCATGAGAACGATCCTAATGTAATTTATGTTTGCAGATTAGACCTTCCTATGGGTACCACATTGGTGGGGAGGGGCATCTGGAGCTGGTGGTGGGAGAGACTGGGCTGAGGGGGGAGACTGGACTCATTTTATTCCCTGCCCCCCCCATCTGCCATTCATACAATCCTTTCTCCCTTCCAGGTCTGGCTGTGGGCTTGGGCTTTGGAGCCTTGGTGGAAGTGGCGAGGAACTCCCTTAACGGGGAGCAAAAAATCAAGGGTAAGGAAGGTGCAAGAGAAGGGCCTGCCCTGTGCACTCATGATCTCTTGCACATGTGTGTGCGAGGCCACAAGGGGCTGCTTTTAAGGAGTTGGAGGGCCGGTGTGCGTGGCTGGGGCTGGCCTTGCCTCAAAAAGTGGCTGGACTCTTCTGCTCTCAAGAGAAGAGGATGCGAGACCAGCTGGGCCCCCTTTGGCCTGACCCAGCAGGATAATAATAATATTAATAATAATACAGCATTCGTACCTCGGGTTACATACGCTTCAGGTTACATACGCTTCAGGGCTGAGTTTCCCCAGCCACTCTGGGTTGCTCCCAATCGAGTGTTAAAAACAATACAGCATTAAATATTAAAAACTTCCCTCAACAGGGCTGCCTTCAGATGTCTTTTAAAGATAGGATAGCTGCTTATTTCCTTCACATCTGAAGGGAGGGCGTTCCACAGGGCGGGCGCCACCACCGAGAAGGCCCTCTGCCTGGTTCCTCACTTCTTGCAATGAGGGAACCGCCAGAAGGCTCTCGGAGCTGGACCTCTGTCTGGGCTGAACGATGGGGGTGGAGATGTTCATATTCTGCTCCCATGAGAGACCTGCTACCCCAGGCGCAAGCGAATCTTTCTTCCCTCCCCCTCTGCAGACGCAAGCTTCCTGCTGGACTCCAACCCCTTCCTGTCGGAAGCAAACGCTGAGCGGATAGTGGATACCCTCTGCAAGATGCGTGGGGCTGCCCTCAAGATTGGCCAGATGTTGAGCATTCAAGGTATTGGGAGGAGAATGGGGTGTTCCCATTTCCTTCCTGCATCTTCCCGTGGGGGGATGCTCAGAATCGATGGGAGGGTTGGTGGGACTGCTGGCTGGTTGGCAAAGAGGTCCGCCCCCGCAAGCCTGGAACGTTATAAAATAATAATACAGTGGTACCTCGGGTTACATACGCTTCAGGTTACATATGCTTCAGGTTACAGACTCCGCTAACCCAGAAATAGTGCTTCAGGTTAAGAACTTTGCTTCAGGATGAGAACAGAAATCGTGCTCCGGCGGCACAGCAGCAGCAGGAGGCCTCATTAGTTAAAGTGGTGCTTCAGGTTAAGAACAGTTTCAGGTTAAGAAAGGACCTCCAGAACGAATTAAGTACTTAACCCGAGGTACCACTGTAATAGTTTATTATTTATACCCCCCTCATCTGGGTAGGTTTCCCCAGCCACTCTGGGCTGCTCCCAGCAGAATACTAAAAACAGAATAAAACTTCCCTAAACAGGGCTGCCTTCTGATATCTTCTAAAAGTCAGATAGTTGTTTATTTCCCTGACATCTGGTGGGAGGGCATTCCACAGGGTGAGTGCCACTACCGAGAAGGCCCTCTGCTTGGTTCCATGTAACCTCACTTCTCACAGTGAGGGAGCCACCAGAAGGCCCTTGGAGCTGGACCTCAGTGTCTGGGCAGAACGATGGAGGTGGAGATGCTCCTTCAGGTATACTGGACCGAGGCCGTTTAGGGCTTTCAAGGTCAGCACCAACACTATGAATTGTGCTTGGAAACATACTGGGAGCCAGTGTAGGTCTTTCAAGACCAGTGTTATGTGGTCTTGGCGGCCGCCCCCAGTCACCAGTCTAGCTGCTGCATTCTGGATTAGTTGCAGTTTCCGGGTCACCTTCAAAGGTAGCCCCATGTAGAGCGCATGGCAGTAGTCCAAGCGGGAGATAACTAGAGCATGCACCACTCTGGCGAGACAGTCTGTGGGCAGGGAGGGTCTCATCCTGCGTACCAGATGAGATGAAGCTGATAGACAGCTGCCCTGGACACAGAATTGACCTGCGCCTCCATGGACAGCTGTGAGTCCAAAATGACTCCCAGGCTGCACACCTGGTCCTTCAGGGGCACAGTTGCCCCATTCAGGACCAGGGAGTCCTCCACACCCATCAAAGGACTGCCCTCCCGAGCCAAAACCAAAGAGCCTCTCCAGGCCAGCAGGGTGGGTTGCAGCACTGCAAACGATATTTAAAAAACAGTTTCTTTGGGACGCCCACTTCTCCCCGCAGACAACAGCTTCATCAGCCCCCAGCTGCAGCAGATCTTCCAGCGCGTCCGACAAAGCGCCGACTTCATGCCGCCCTCTCAGATGATGGTGCGTTGCCGTGGGGTGGGGCAGGGGGCTGGGGGGGAAGCCGCCTTTGCCCTCCGCCTGTGGTTGGGTGGGAGGGTTGGCATGGATGCTCTGAGCAGGGAAGTCCGGCTCAGCTGCCACACTGAGGCGCTGCCAGCGCAGGGAGATGCCCGCGGGGTTTGCCTCAGTCCAGGTGGCAGCCGCTGATGGTGTGAGGCAGCTCTCCAGCATGTTGCTCCAGGGACTCTCTGCTCTTCCCCTTCCAGGGCGTTTTAGTGGAAGAACTGGGCACTGACTGGCGGGACAGAGTCGCCTCCTTTGAGGAAACGCCCTTTGCGGCCGCCTCCATCGGCCAAGTCCACCTTGGGGTGCTGAAGGACGGGACTGAAGTGGCCATGAAGATCCAGGTAAATGTTGACCCAAACGTGGAGAAGTTGCCGGGATTTGAACCCAGGACTGTGCAAGGAAGATGCTCTGGCCACGGGGCGAGGGCAGAGCCTGTAGGGAGAGACTTTGACTGCGAGGCAAGTCTCTGGTCTGCTGCGGTAGGAAGCCCTTGGCAGCGCAGCCGGTCTTGACGTTCCACCTCCCTCCTCTCCTCCTGCAGTACCCAGGCATTGCTCAGAGCATCCGAAGTGATGTGGATAACCTGTTGGTGGTGCTCAAGATGAGCATGATGCTCCCAGAAGGTAAGGAGAACGCAAGGTGAGCCAAAGAGGGCCCATCTAGTCCCATCTTCTCTCTTCCTCTTCATCATCATCATCATGTTGTTGTTGTCGTTTAGTCGTGTCCGACTCTTCGTGACCCCATAGACCAGAGCACGCCAGGCACTCCTGTCTTCCACTGCCTCCCGCAGTTTGGTCAAACTCATGCTGGTAGCTTCGAGAACACTGTCCCACCATCTCGTCCTCTGTCGTCCCCTTCTTCTTGTGCCCTCCATCTTTCCCAACATCAGGGTCTTTTCCAGGGAGTCTTCTCTTCTCATGAGGTGGCCAAAGTCTTGGAGCCTCAGCTTCAGGATCTGTCCTTCCAGTGAGCACTCAGGGCTGATTTCCTTCAGAATGGATCGGTTTGATCTTCTTGCAGTCCATGGGACTCTCAAGAGTCTCCTCCAGCACCAGAATTCAAAAGCATCAATTCTTTGGCGATCAGCCTTCTTTATGGTCCAGCTCTCACTTCCATACATCACTACTGGGAAAACCATGGCTTTAACTAAACAGACATCATCATCATCATAAATTTTATTTATACCTTGCCCTCCCCAGCCAAGACCGGGCTCAGGGCTTGCTAACACCAAATATAAAACAATTGATTGAAATACAGCTTAAAAACAAGATTAAAATACAACATTAAAATGCAGCCTCATTTCAGTGGAAACTCAGTTTTGGGGGGATGAAAATGTCAAGTCTTCACCAAGGTTAACTATCCAGACTGGTCCCACGTGGGCCAGAAAAAAGCCAGGGAAGTCCCCAAATAGGAGTTCCAACACAGGAGGAGAAAGGAAAGAGGGGGAGGGAATCAAGTTGATTCCGAACCAAAGGCCAGGCGGAACAACTCTGTCTTACAGGCTCTGTGGAAAGAAATCAGATTTTTTGAAAAAACGTTTTTATTTAATTTTACAGGTATAAATTTATAACAAAACCAAATACATATCCATATAGAGAGATTTATCTGAATCGAGACTTCCCGCCCAATCCCTTCTATGGGTCCTATTGTCAACATTTTCAACAGCATATTATTTCATAATCTATATTTTACATCTGTCCATATTGTCCATAGTATTTGTTACATTACAAGTGAGATTAAAATCCTGTTTTCATCTGCTTCCGATGGTCTCCTAAATAAATTATAATCCCCCCCCCATTCTTTCTTGGAAGTTTTTGTCTTCTTGGTCCCTGAGCTTTCCGGTCAGTTTTGCAATTTCAGCGTAGTCTAATAGCTTGGTTTGCTATTCCTCTCTGCTAGGGACTCAATTTCTTCTTTCCATCTCAGTGCTGCTGTTGTTGTGTACATGAAGAGTTCCTTTGGGATGTCGGTACCTACAATTCCTAATAAGAAGGCTTCTGGATTCCACCCCCCTAAACTTTATTTAAAACATGTTTTTCAGTTCATTGTATATCATTTCCCAGAAAGCCTTTCTTGCCTTATACCACCACCACGTATGATAAAAGTTACCTTCTTTTTCTTTACATTTCCAGCAGGTATTTGTACTTGTTTTATACATTTTTGCTAGCTTACTAGGAGTCAAATACCACCAACACATCATTTTCATATAATTTTCTTTCAGCGTAGGACATGCTGTGAATTTCAAATCTGTTTTCCATAACCTTTCCCAATCCGCAATCTGAATGTTATGCCTCAGATCCCTTGCCCAGGGTACCATTACAGATTTTACCTGTTCACCTTTTGTATGCCATTCCATTCTGTACATTTTCACATCTAGTCCATCTTCTCACAAGGGCCTACCACAGGGGTCAGCAAACGTTTTCAGCAGGGGGCTGGGTCCACTGTCCTTCAGACCTTGGGGGGGTGGGGCGGACTATATTTTTTTGGGGGGGGGGGAATGAACGAATTCCTATGCCCCACAAATAACCCAGAGATGCATTTTAAATAAAAGGACACATTCTACTCATGTAAGAACACGCTGATTCTCGGACCGTCCGTGGGCCGGATTGAGAAGGCGATTGGACCAGATCCAGAAGGGCCCCGGGCCTTAGTCTGCCTACCCATGGCCTACTGGGTAGCAACCTACAAGCAGGACCTGAGCACCAGAGCTCTCTCCTCCTCCCTGAATCTGTCCAGTCCTCCTTGAGAGCCGTCCAGGTCTTTCCCTCCTGCACCAGGGAGTTCCCCAGTTTTGTGCTCTCATGGGTGAGGAGCCTCTGCCCGTCTCTGCTTCCTTGCAGGCCTCTTTGCTGACAACACCCTGCAGGTGCTTCAGAAGGAGCTGGAGTGGGAATGCGACTACCAGCGGGAGGCTCAGTGCGCCCGGAAGTTCAGGTACAAATGAATTCATTACAGTGGTGCCTCGCAAGACGAAATTAATCCGTTCCGCGAGAGTCTTCGTCTAGCGGTTTTTTCGTCTTGCGAAGCAACCCTATTAGCGGCTCAACGGATTAGCACTATTAGCGGTTTAGCGGCTATTAAAGGCTTAAAGGCTTAGCGGATTAGCTGCTAAAAGGCTATTAAAGGCTATTAAAGGCTTAGCGGATTAGATAAAGGGGGGGAAAAGCGAAAAAAAAATCTCAAGACTCGCAAGACATTTTCGTCTTTCGAAGCAAGCCCATAGGGAAATTCGTCCTGCGAAGCAACTCCAAAACGGAAAACCCTTTCGTCTAGCGGGTTTTCCGTCTTGCGAGGCATTCGTCTTGCGGGGCACCACTGTATCAAGGAAGTCATAAAACACTATAGGGATACATTTGAATTTGCAATTAAGTATAACAGGGACAATACAGATGTAGCAACAGTTAAATATATATATATATAAATTAAAACTTAGTCACTAACATGTAACCTAAAATTATCATTTAAGGCTTTAATCATTATGATAGCACAGCTTGTTCCCTACGTTTTACGGCAGTCGCACAGAATTTGGCTACCCTTAACGTGATCTCAGGATCCTTGTCCTCTACAAGGGATTTTAGACATTGAAGTTCGGATTCATTTGGAGATTTTTGCATAGCAGGGGTAATAAATACCAAGCGTATATTCCCGTAGAAATGGCATGAGAGACAGTTTCTACCTCCATCAAGCCACAGGGGCAGACACGTTCCGCGTATGGTTTACCCTCGAATCTGCCCTGCAGTAAGGCAGATGGCAGCACGTTGAATCTGGCGAGGGTAAATGACCATCTGTATTTAGGTATTTGTAGGAAGTTCAGGTAGCTGAGAGCAAACCCCTGGCCTGGCCTTGCTCCTCCTGGGAGATTACCCAGCCTTTCAAGACCCTTCCCTGCAAACCCTTCCCCTAACAAGGAAATGCCAGCACGGCTTCCCCGGGCGGTCCTGCTCAGGGCTGCCAGCTCTTGGAATTGACTCGGGAAAGTGGGGAGCTGCCTTGCCCTGAGAGTCAACCCTGGCTGGCAGCAACAGCACGACCTGGTTTCAAGAGTTCTTGCCAGGGACTGAACCCAGGGACTTCTGTCTCCATAGCAGGCGCTGTGCCACACTGAGCCACAGGAGTGGGCGGGAGCTGGGGCAGAGCCCACTATTACTATTTATTTACCGTATTTTTCGCTCTATAAGACGCACCAGACCACCTAGTTTTTGGAGGAGGAAAACAAGAAAAAAAATATTCTGAATCTCAGATGCCAGAACAGTGGGAGGGAGCGCTGCGCAGCGATCCCTCTTGCTGTTCTGGGTTCTGGGATAGCTGTGCAGCCTGCATTCGCTACATAAGACGCACACACATTTCCCCTTACTTTTTAGGAGGGAAAAAGTGAGTCTTATAGAGCAAAAAATACGGTAATTTATGTACCACCCTATACCCGGAGGTCTCAGGGCAGTTCACGTAGAAACATCACAGTATATAAAATAAAAATAAAAGTAATAACCCAATAATACCTCCTCCAAAGGGAGATGCCTTTTGGGACCCGGCTGGAGGACCCCTGTAGCCTCAGGACCAACCACCCTTTTTTTGGGGGGGGGCTTGGTGTCTTGCGGCCCTCCCACTTGGTGAATCATCTCTTCCCCCAGGCGCCTCCTGGAAGGAGACCCGTTCTTTGAGGTGCCCAAGGTGGTAGAGGAGCTGTCCACCCACAGGGTCCTGTCGATGGAGCTGGCGGGGGGCGTCCCGCTGGACCGCTGCCAGGATCTCAGCCAGGAGCTGCGGAACGAGGTGAGGCGGGGGCCAGGAATGCAGGGCTCTCTTTACAGAGAAAGCTTGGGTGGAGAAGGAGAGGTTTCTGTGGATGGCGTTACCCCCCAAAACGGAGCGTCTCTATAGGAGATCTTCATAGCATCCCCCCCCCCCCGGCGGCCACAGCCCCCTTTCCTGCCTGCCCAGGGAAAGCTACATAAATGCATAGCTGTCAACCGTCCCTTATTTGGCGGGAAAGTCCCTTATCCCAGCGCCGTGTCCCGCTGCTGTCCCTTATTGATGATGTCCCTTAAATTTCCTGGGTTTCAAAGGAAGCAGCTCCTCTCCCTCCCTCCCTGCCGGCCAGGGAGGAGGGAGGCTCCAATTGTGTTGCTTGGCTGCGTTGCTCACCCAATAAAGAGTCTAAGAACGATCGGGGGGTGGAGCTTGCATGCCTTGTGCCGATCAAATCAGCCGCCTTGCCTGGGGACTCGCCTTTGCTCAGTGCTTCCCAGTGGAGAGGGGACGGTGGTTTTCCTTGCTGCATCCCCTTTGCTGGGTTGCTTCGCTGTGGGAACCACCGCTTGAGGCTTCGTTTGGCTGCTGGCTGGGCTTTCTGCCTTTGGCTCGGAGGGGCTCAGATGTTGAACATACCTGTGCCCGAAAAATCCCTTATTTTGGTTGCTGATCCCTTATTTTCGAGGCTGCTGGTCCCTTATTTTCAAATCTGTGAGTTGACAGCTATGCATAAATGCTGCCAAATGGCAAGCACCGAGCAATAGGATGATCTCAAGGCTGCAGATTTCTGGGCCAAGGCATTAAAGGAAACATCTCAAATCCCCGATCGAACTGTTGTGCCTTCTCTGTATTTGGCTCTTTGAAATTGATTTTCTGAAGCCAATAAAGAGATGGTAAAAAAACAAGGAGCTCATCTCTCGCAGTGAGAATGTCTCTAGCGAGGTTCTGGGAAATGCTTTAGCTAGTCATTCTCTGGACTAGTGGCACTCAAGAGTCTGGCAGATAGCCGGGCCAGAAAATAATAATAATCAGTCTCAAAGTAGGATCTAGTAAAAGAGGAAGGGTTCTTGCAGTATGGTTTGATTTCACATCATTTATGAACGAGGAGGCAAACGGACGAATGGCCATTCCAGGTTACATGAAAATAAGACACAATTCGCCCATTCTCTTCCATTTTATTCTTGCCATCTCTCCATTCACCTGGTGTACACATGATAAGAAAGCAAGGGAATTAAGATTAACGATTTTGTAAAGTCCACCGTGTGTTCAACATATTGGTAATATTTTTAAAGTATTTATTAAGCCGCAAGATTCGTGTTCTGTGTCTGCCCTGCTGCCGCCTAATGCTTTTCTTCTGGTACCTTTTCTTACTTTCTTCCTTTAAATTTTGCCTTTCCTTCCACTAAAAGTATCTAAAAAATAAAGGGGGGCTCCCTCTCTTCCTTCTCTCCGCAGATCTGTTCCCACATCCTTCGCCTGTGCCTCCGAGAGGTCTTTGAGTTCCGCTTCATGCAGACTGATCCAAACTGGTCCAATTTTTTCTACGATGCCGAGAGGCACAAGGTGGGAGTTTGGGCCGGATTCCCGGGGTGGGGGTGAGATATTTCCCAGGTGCGAGAGACTGCAGATGCGTCTAACCCCTCGTCCTCATTCCTCGCAGGTGACCCTGCTGGACTTTGGGGCCAGCCGAGACTTCAGCAAAGAGTTCACTGACAATTACATTGAGGTGAGTACCAGTTATCTGTTCCTCCTCCTTTTACAGCATCTCACATCCCTCCTAAGATAGATGCCTGCTTTCTAGATGGTCCAGGCATCACACAGGTGGGCGTCCCCTCGGCCATTGGAAAGGCCAGGGTCTCCATACTAACCCTACTTTAATCCATCAGCCTGAGTCGCCTCTTGCCTGCATGTGTCCATTTAAACTTCCTGGCCTTTTCCATCACCTCCGTAATGTGCTATCCCTGTCGTTTAATAATAATAACAACATACTTCAGAGCATAATAATAATAATAATTCTCTTGTTTATATGCCATCCATCTGACTGGGTTTCCTCAGCCACTCTGAGCGGCTCCAAACAAAATATTAAAAATGCAATAAAACATCAGATGTCAAGGAGATAAAGAACTATATTACTTTTAGAAGACATCTGAAGGCAGCCTTGTACAGTGGTGCCTCGGGTTAAGTACTTAATTCATTCTGGAGGTCCGTTCTTAACCTGAAACTGTTCTTAACCTGAAGCACCACTTTAGCTAATGGGGCCTCCCGCTGCCGCCGCTCCACCGGAGCACGATTTCTGTTCTCATCCTGAAGCAAAGTTCTTAACCTGAAGCACTATTTCTGGGTTAGCGGAGTGTGTAACCTGAAGCGTCTGTAACCTGAAGCGTATGTAACCCGAGGTACCACTGTATCGGGAAGTTTTCAATGGTTGATGTTTTACTATGGTTTATATATGCCATAAGCTGCTCAGAGTAGCTGGGGAAACCCAGCCAGATGAGCAGGGTATAAATATTATTATTATTATTATTATTATTATTATTATTATTACAGGGCTGCCTTCAGATGTCATCTAAAAGTCAAATAGTTGTTTGACATCTTACGGTGTTCCACAGGGCAGGCTACCCAGAAGGCCCTCTGCCTGGTTCCCTGTAACCTCATTCCTAACATAGTACACAAAATAATAATAAAATAATAATCCTAATAGCAGCACCCCCCCACACATTTAGCAGGTTGGGGAAGTGGGGTTCCAGTGGTGGCTATATAATGTCAGCTGCTGGCTAGAGCAGGGCTGAGCCCCCCAATATCCACCCCTCAGCCCCTCTCTTTCCTCTCGGCAAAGGTGGTGAGGGCCGCGGCGGATGGAGACCGGGCCAAAGTGCTGCAGAAGTCCAAAGACCTCAAGTTCATGACGGGGTTCGAGACTAAGGTGAGTGTGTCCGTCGGGAGATTAATCTCACCAGCTGCCCCAGGTTGAGCAGGAACCAGCGTTTTGGGTTGGCATTGAGGGGCGCTGGGCAGAGCGGGTGGATTTCAAGAGGCTGTGAGCCAGGAAGGGGGGGCAGGAAGAGGAGGGGAGGTTTAAATCTCCCCCCCCACCCTGCCGCCGATCTGCTGCGATGGTCTTTGTCCCTGCCTATCCACCTTAGGCTAGTTTAACAGTCGCAAAGATTCTCAAGGAGCACCAGAGCTCTTGCTGCTTACAGAGAGGAGATTATAAAATGGTATGTGATGTATGGAAGTGAGAGCTGGACCATAAAGAAGGCTGATCGCCGAAGAATGGATGCTTTTGAATTCTGGTGCTGGAGGAGACTCTTGAGAGTCCCATGGACTGCAAGAAGATCAAACCGATCCATTCTGAAGGAAATCAGCCCTGAGTGCTCACTGGAAGGACAGATCCTGAAGCTGAGACTCCAATACTTTGGCCACCTCATGAGAAGAGAAGACTCCCTGGAAAAGACCCTGATGTTGGGGAAGATGGAGGGCACAAGGAGAAGGGGACGACAGAGGACGAGATGGTGGGACGGAGTTCTCGAAGCTACCAGCATGAGTTTGACCAAACTGTGGGAGGCAGTGGAAGACAGGAGTGCCTGGCGTGCTCTGGTCCATGGGGTCACGAGGAGGCGGACACGACTAAACGACTGAACAACAACAATCGTGGGAAGAGAGGAAAATCTCTCTCTCTCTCTCTCTCTCTCTCTCATAACTCTAGAACTCATGGTCATTGCAATGAAGCTGAATGCAGATAAAAGAAAGACTTTCTTCATGAAGCGCATAAACTGTGGAACTCCCTGCCACAAGAGGCAGTGAACGCCACCCATCTGGATGGCTTGCACAAATTCACGGAGGAGGAGAGAGCTATTGGCGTCTACTAGCCAGGATGGCGGGTCTCTGCCTCCACAGTCAGAGGCAGCGACGCTTCTGGGCACCATTTGCCCTGAACCGCAGCAGAGGAGAGCCCCCTTATCCTTGTGGGTTTCCCCAAAGAGGCATTGTCTCCTTGGCCACTGTGGGAGCAGGACTGGATGGGGCCCCCTTTAGCCTGATCCGGCAGGCTCTTCTCACACTCTTATGGAGCCTCCAGATCCAGCGGCAGTCTATCTGGAGTCCTCGGTTCTTTTGGGTAGAATAGGAGGCTGGACTAGATGGGCCTGATCCCACAGCCAGGCTCTTCTTAGGAGGGCACCAGGTTTGCAAAGTCTGAGTCCCATACTGTCCGGAGTGGGGTGCCGTTCTCTGCCCGCCCCTCCTCTGGGCAGTTGCTCTGCCATTCCTGCCATTGGGTGATTTCGCTGGGGGTGGGGGGCTGGCTTGTTTGTTTTAGATTCTTTGAAGGTTTTATGGCAGCGGTTCTCAACCTGTGGGTCCCCAGATGTTGTTGGACTACAACTCCCATCATCCCTGAGCTCTGGCCTTGCTAGCTAGGGGTGATGGGAGTTGTAGTTCAACAACATCTGGGGACCCACAGGTTGAGAAAGGCTGTTTCATGGAAACATCCCCACTTTTGAAGTTTGAAAAAGAAGGGGGCAGCGACGAACAATTCCTTCCTTGCACGTCCCCTTCGCCTCCTCCAGCACCCACCCACAACCAGCTCCACCCCATGTTGTTCTGCTGGGACAGGCCGAATCCTGCAAGGGTGCTGCACCCAGAAAAGGGGATTCGAACGCAAGACAGGAGATCCCTGGGGCCAAGCCCTCCTTCCTGGCCGATTCGAGGTAGGGCAGCGCCCCCTAGTGAAACCCAGTGCCTCTATTTGAGTGGTTCTCAAGCTGTGGGTCCCCAGATGTTGTTGGACTACAACTCCCATCATCCCTGAGCTCTGGCCTTGCTCGCTGGGGTGATGGGAGTTGTAGTTCAACAACATCTGGGGACCCACAGGTTGAGAAAGGCTGCTTGTGGCCTGCAAGTAGATTCATTTTTTTTATCTCATTCCCCTTACTTATCAAAGCATTCAGTCTCTGCTTTCCCAGGCTAACCATTCCCAGCTCCTTCAACCGTTCCTCATCAGGGTTGGTTTCCAGACCCTTGATCATCTCTGTCTCCCTCCTCTGCCCACCTTCCTGCTTCTCAACACCCTTCTAAAACTGCGGCATCCAGAATTGGGACACAGGTGGGGTCTGACCAAGGCTGAAGGAAGTGGCAAAGGCAGTCTGCCCATGCCCAGGAACCCCTCTTCCCCTGCCTGTCAGCCCCTGTGGCCCCTGCCTGTGCAGCCAGTCCCAGAAACACCTGCCCTTGGACTGACCTCCCTCCTTCTTCCGGCAGGTGTTTGAGGACGCCCACGTGGACGCCGTGATGATCCTGGGAGAAGCCTTCTCCACGCCGGGCCCCTTCGACTTTGGCACCCAGCGCACCACTCGCTGCATCCAGGACCTCATTCCAGTGATGCTAAAGCACCGACTCAGCCCCCCTCCGGAGGAGAGCTACTCGCTGCACCGCAAGATCGCCGGATCCTTCCTCATCTGCGCACGACTCGGGGCTGCCATCCCCTGCCGGGAGATGTTTGAAGAGGCCTATGCCCGGTACTTGGCCGGGGAGCGGCCAGCTCCCATGGCCGGCAGGGTCTAGGGGGATCCTCCGCTGTTTCCATGAGTGGATCCTGCAGCTCGCCAGTGGCTGGAACTCTCCGCGAGGGAGCCCTGACCATTCTGCTGCCGGGACAGCTTGTGTGGGGCAGGGGCCCTCTGTGGGGCAGCATCTCGGCCAAGCGGGGGTCTTTCTTCGGACCAGCCGCTGGCCGGTATTAGACCTGTCCTCTAACACAGCCGCCTGGCCTGGCATCTCCATCCTCAACGCCTCTGGCGGCCTCCTCTGAGCAAGGGAAGGGGTAGCGCCAGCTGGCTCTGCCCCACACCCTCGCTTGGCCTCCTGCCCGCTCTCCTGCCCCCTACAGGCCCCGTGTCCCTAGGGCAGCAATAGCTGAGGTGCCGCCGCCGCCCAAAAGCGTACGGTCAAATCAGGGGGTTTGGCACTCCCAGCAATCGACTCCCTTGGAGGAACCGACGGTTCTCATTGCCAAGCAAAGAGGCTTGAAGAAGCTCAAGTGATTTGGGGGCTGTCAGTCTCCCAGGAATGATAAAAGAGCTTCGCTGCTGCTCCCAAGGAGATCCATCCTTCCCCACGTCCCTTTCCGGTTCCTAACTCCAGCCAGGAGAGTCCTGGCTTCCTCCATCTGTGGCCTTTGGAGCAGGAAGACATGAGCGCTGTTAGACTGCCCTTGAGCTGGGGCTTGTCCCACCCGTGAAAGGGACCCCTCTCCTCCTTCTGCTTTTAATATATAAACTTGGGTGTGACTGTAAGCTGGGGCAGCTAGACGAAGGCTTAAGTGTTGTAAAAGAGAGAAAGGCAGCGAGAGATCTGGGGGGAGAGGGATCTGGCAGAAGCAACTGGGTCTCGGACCTCACTTGGGTGGCCAAAGTGTGTGTGTGTCTGTATGTGTCTCTGTCCATTACAGCTACCGGGTGTTTTTTAAAATGAAAAAACGGTGTCCATGTGTTTTCTCTGCCATCCAAACGGGGAGGTTTCTGAGGACCAGAAAAGCAAGCGGCCGTTCTTTGTGGGCCAAAAGCGGACAGGGAAGCCACGAGTTGCAGTTTGGGGGCATTTTTGCGCAGGGAGGGCCTCCCAGCCCCACCCCAGAGTGTCCAAAACAGCCAACACCCAGTCTGGGAAATGAAAGAAGCATCTGATCCATCAGAACGACCTGTCACACTTCTGCAAATTTAGCAAGGCTTTTCACTGCTTGGTATCGGTTTTTATTGGAGAAGGGGCTCCTCCCTCCCTCTCTCCCTCTCTCTATATATAATCTTTTTTAAAGCTCAGATAAATGCTTTGATATTGTCCTGTGGCTCTGACGTCTTAGCTCCTCATCCTTGCTTAATTTTTTAAATTTTTTAGGGCAGAGGGAGTGGCTGAAGAATGGAAAAGTTGAAAACAAATAGGGAGAAACATAGCACATCTCATTAGACAACGATCACATACTTGATGACCCCATCTGTGGGGAAATTATATTAGGATAATCACATCCTAAAGACACAAGGAAATGAGAGAAAGGCGTATATAGAAACAAAACTAAGGTTAGGAATAATTAAGAGAGAGGGCAGCGCGGAAGGGAGAAAAGAAAGGGGGAGAGAAAGGAGAAAGAAAACAGAGAAAGAGAGAGGGATAAAAAGAGGCAACTGATTTCTGGGACTAAAATGTGTTAGAAATGTGATTTACCATATTTTTTGTTCCATAAGACGTACTTTTTTCTTCCTAAAAAGTTAGGGGAAATGTCTGTGCGTCTTATGGAGCAAATGCGTGGTCCCTGGAGCCGAACTGCCCAGGGCGAAAAGCAGATCATGCTCTCTCTTTTTTTAAAAGAGGGAAGTGGGTGTTGAAACAAAACTGCTAATGGGCAAGCGATCAGGAGGGAGATAAGGGACGCTAGCAATAAAGGAGGCTGCCTGGAAGGAGGGAGGTAAAGACAGCGAACTTGCAAGGAGAGGAGACAGGAAGACTAAAGCAATGAGGAGAGAAATAGAAGAAAAGGAGAAGCAAAAAACTGCTCCAGCTAAGGAAAAGACACTAAAGCAAACAAGAGGAGAGGGGGTGTTGAAAGGAAGCAGCTGATCGGCAAGCAAGGGATCGGGAGGGAGATAAGGGACTCTAGAGATAAAGGAGGCTGCCTAGGAGGGGGAAGGTAAAAGCCCATGGATCCTCAGGATTTTTGCATTTGGTCACCCTAAATTCACCATCAGATCACACAGCATGTCCATGGCTACAGCCTGCACCAAAAAAAATCACGCACCCACTGTTTCGTGGGGCTACAATGGTGCAAAAGCGTGGTTACAAAGCATGGATCCCCATGGATTCTCAGGATTTTTGCATTAAGCTACCCCAAACTCACCATCAAATCACATGTCTCTGGCCACAGCATGGGCCACAAAAATCATACATCCACTGTTTAGTTCGGAATATTTTTCTTCTTGTTTTCCTCCTCTAAAAACTAGGTGCGTCTTATGGAGCGAAAAATATGGTACCTGCCTGGGAAGGTTCTTTCACCCAGCATGCAGTGGAATTCCCCCATGTTGAAAGACACACTAAAAACAGATTAAAAGATATAAGGGGAGTCCTTTATGCAGTTCATAGTTAAACTATAGAACTCCCTTCCCCAGGTTGCGGGGTTTCCATAATGGGCATCTGGTTGGCTCCTGTGAGTACAGGATCCTGGACTCAATGGGAGGCCCCCTTGGGCCTGATCCAGCCTGCTCAACTTATGTTCCGACTTCCCATTGATCACTAGCCTCTCCATTCTGGCTGCACACCCCTTCTTAATCCAGCAGAGGGCAGAGCAGGTGGTTCCAGGCAGCTCAAGGAAGTGAGATGAGCTGCACAGCAGAGCAAAGGGAGCTACTTGTGCAGATTTTACCCAGGAATCACACCCCTTGTGTTTTCATGGGATTAACTGCCAGCTGAACGGGCCATGGGGGCCTGATCCAAGCATACACAAGACCAGCTCCGACCATCCTTGGATCTTGGGACCGCAGAGGGTGCATTGTTGTTTAGTCGTTTAGTCGTGTCCGACTCTTCGTGACCCCCTGGACCAGAGCACGCCAGGCACTCCTGTCTTCCACTGCCTCCCGCAGTTTGGTCAAACTCATGCTGGTAGCTTCAAGAACACTGTCCAACCATCTCGTCCTCTGTCGTCCCCTTCTCCTTGTGCCCTCCATCTTTCCCAACATCAGGGTCTTTTCCAGGGAGTCTTCTCTTCTCATGAGGTGGCCAAAGTCTTGGAGCCTCAGCTTCACAATCTGTCCTTCCAGTGAGCACTCAGGGCTGATTTCCTTCAGAATGGAGAGGTTTGATCTTCTTGCAGTCCATGGGACTCTCAAGAGTCTCCTCCAGCACCAGAATTCAAAAGCATCCATTCTTTGGCGATCAGCCTTCTTTATGGTCCAGCTCTCACTTCCATACATCACTACTGGGGAAACCAGAGCTTTAACAGAGGGTGCATAGAGATGGATAGTCCTTGCGCTTTCTACCTCCTAGGAAAACAGGAAGGTGGGTTTCATAAAGCCAGGAACGGCAAAACGAAAAAGGACATTTTGCTTGCCTTCTGGTGGAGCTAATGGCAGACTCGTACCAATCAATACCTCTAAAGTTCAATTATTTATACCTCCATTTCCCTACGATGGGAGCTGCTGCTGCTGCTGGGCTCTGGTTTGGCTGGGCACGCAAGTCTGCCTTGGGCAGGGGGAGCGGTTGCCTCCTTTTTAATAAAGACCCACTTGGCATCCTCTTCCTGTTCCAGGAAAGGAGCCAGCCAAAGGGTTAACCTCTTTTGCATCTCAGCAGATGTTTTCCCAGCTAACAGCTGGTGATATTGGAATTGATCCATACAGTTAATTTGTATGAACTGCTCTGGGGGGTTTAAAGCAAGCAGCTTCACAGAAATATGGGCAGTTAAAAATGTGTGTGCTTTTTTTTTGGATATTGGGAAATCAATTTTAAAAGTGCAGAAACACAGAAAATCCCAGCCGTGCCCATTCATAGTGCTGATTCCACTATGAAATAGATTTTCACTGTTTTGTGGGATAACCAGCCTGATTTGGTTCATCGCTGAATCATCTCTTCCTAGTTATTTGTACCATGGTGGCATTTATCCAAGGCTACCAGGTGGTCTGCAGACTTCTCAACACTCTACATGTTATTCTTCACAATGACCCTTTGAGGTAGGTCCAGCCAAGAGATCATTACTGTCCTGCAAGCTCATTCCCAGTGAACTTCATGGCTGAGTGTCAGGATTTGAACCCTGGACTCTCCCGCGCCCTAACCCAGGACTCCCAACCACTACACCACAGTGATGTCTGCAAGACCTAGGGTCATTAGGATGCGCTCTTTGCTCCCAGGAAGAGAGGCCTGTTCCATTCATGAGGCAATAATAATAATAATAATAATAATAATAATAATAATAATATAATCCCTCCCATCTGGCTGGGTTTCCCCAGCCACTCTGGGCAGCCATAATATTAGCAGCAATGAGATTTGCTATTAAATAATTAGAATCCCAGAGTCCCTTTCCTGTAAGCTTTAAATTATTATTATTTTTAAACCTCTGTAGGTTTAAATGTCTGCTTGGGTCCACTGGAACTACAGGCTCAAAATGTGAAGGGCAGAGCACAACCATCCTGGTTAGTAGCCATTGATAGCCCTCCTTCTCCATGAATTTGTCTAAGGATAGCTCTACACACGGGGAAAAACCTCGCTATAAATAATTCAGAAATTAAATCGTAACAAAAAAAGAAAATCATGTAAAAATCGCATATAATTTTTTTTTGCTCTCTGGCGCCATCTGGTGTTGCATGTTTCTAATGAATTCAAAATGTTGTTTATTGACTAATGTAAAGGAAAAGGGACCCCTGACCATTAGGTCCAGTCGTGGCCGACTCGGGGTTGCGGCGCTCATCTCGCTTTATCGACCAAGGGAGCTGGCGTACAGCTTCCGGGTCATGTGGCCAGCATGACTAAGCCGCTTCTGGCGAAACCAGAGCAGCGCACGGAAATGCCGTTTACCTTCCCGCCGGAGCGGTACCTATTTATCTACTTGCACTTTGACGTGCTTTTGAACTGCTAGGTTGGCAGGAGCAACGGAAGCTCAGCCCGTCGCGGGGATTCGAACCGCTGACCTTCTGATCGGCAAGTCTTAGGCTCTGTGGTTTAACCCACAGCGCCACCCGCGTCCCTTATTGACTAATGTATCTGAGTCCTAATCATCTTTTAAGACCATCTAGGTTGGTGGCCTCCTGTGGCAGAGCGTTCCGCAGTTTAACTCCATGAAGGGGGGGCTTTCTTTTATCTATCCTGAATCTTTCCGATATTCAGCTGCATAGGATGTCTGTGAGTTCTTGCATTACGAGAGAGGAAGATAAGCTTCTCTTTTCTGCATGCCTTGCCTCTCTTTAGAAACTTCTGTCCGGCCGCCTCTTCCTCGCCTTCTCTCCAGGCGAAAAAGCTCTGGCCTATCTTTGCGGGAGAGTCTCTCCATCGCCTGGGTCACTGTGGCTGCCCTTTCCTGAACTCAGCAACACAATATCCTCTGCAGAGCAATGTTTGCAAACGCCTGCCAGTGCTTTTGCTATTTTGCCGGGTTCAAGAGCTTTCCTTGACCTGCTGCAGCAAGTGGCTTTATCCTGAGCCCCAGGCCCCAGGCCTATCTGGCTCCATATGACCCACCCTGGCTGGCAGCAGCAACCACCGCAGGTCTCCAGGGTGAATTCCAGCTGGTGAATTTCTCCAGCTCTGCCAGGAGACGCCAAGACGACGGAAGCCGAACCCGTCATCGTGTAAAGGAGATGCTCTTATCGCGTCTGCATGGGTGTTTTGGAGCTGCTCCAGAGAACCGGATACTGCGGCTGAAGGGAGATGGGTTTTCAGGATCGCTTCCACTTTGCACCTCGCGCTCAGCTCCCCCGGCTGCATCGCAAAGGCAAACGGCATCCAGGGGTGTGTGGGGCTGCTTCCTGGCATGTTTGGCCCCAGAAGCAGTGTGGTGTAGTGGTTAGAGTGTTGCACTAGGGCCTGGGAGAGAGCAGGGTTCGAATTCTGCCACTCAGCAATGAAGCTCACTGGGTGTGGCCTTGGGGGTGGCCAGGCACTGTCTTATCTCAGCCTAACCTAATAATAATAATAATTTATTATTTGTACCCCACCCATCTGGTTGGGTCTCCCCAGCCACTCTGGGCGGCTTCCAACAAAGATTAAAAATACATTAAAATCTCACACATTAAAAACTTCCCTGAACAGGGCTGCCTTCAGATGTCTTCTAAATGTCAGGTAGTTGTTTATTTACTTGACATCTGATGGGAGGGCGTTCCACAAGGCGGGCGCCACCACCGAGAAGGCCCTCTGCCTTGTTCCCTGTAGCTTTGCTTCTTGCAGCGAGGGAACAACAACTACCAGGCTTTTAGAAGACATCTGAAGGCAGCCCTGTTTAGGGAAGCTTTTAATGTTTGATGTATTTTAATATTCTTTTGGAAGCCGCCCAGAGTGGCTGGGGAAGCCCAGCCAGATGGGCGGGGTATAAATAAATTATTATTATTATTATTATTATTATTATTATTATTATTATATAACCGCCAGAAGGCCCTCGGTGCTGGACCTCAGTGTCCGGGCAGAACGATGGTGGTGGAGATGCTCCTTCAGGTATACTGGAGATCGTTGGTGGAAAAGGTGTGGTATAAATGCAGAAATAAAATGAATAAGAGTGCATCAGAAGGAGATACATGGCTAGCCAAGCCAGAACTTCATGGGGGGGGGGTGTGTCCTGTTTTGTTTCTGTTAAGGAAAAATTCCAGGGTGAGAGCCTACTCAACAGCCCAGCTCATCAGAGTGCAAGTCCCCTGCGGGTCTATGTGGTCAGTAAAAGAAGGAAGTTCCAGCCAAGTAATTTGGAGCAAAACAGCAGTCAGAAGACCACAATCTTTATTGTTGCACAACAGGTCCCCACAGGAGTAGGAAACCCGAACACGGGGTGACATCTCTTTCAAAACTTCCCTCTTTCCCCCAGAATGCACTTTGAGCAGCAGCATTGATACATCATCACTACATCACCAGCATGTCACAAATGGAGAGGGTTATACAAGGGTTACACAAGTTCAACATTAGGTCACTTGATCAGAGACCTTTCCCAACAACCTCTTAAGTGTTGTTGTTTAGTCGTGTCCAACTCTTCGTGACCCCCTGGACCAGAGTATGCCAGGCACTCCTGTCTTCCACTGCCTCCCGCAGTTTGGTCAAACTCATGCTGGTAGCTTCCAGAACACTGTCCCACCATCTCGTCCTCTCTCGTCCCCTTCTCCTTGTGCCCTCCATCTTTCCCAACATCAGGGTCTTTTCCAGGGAGTCTTCTCTTCTCATGAGGTGGCCAAAGTCTTGGAGTTTCAGCTTCACGATCTGTCCTTCCAGTGAGCACTCAGGGCTGGTTTCCTTCAGAATGGAGAGGTTTGATCTTCTTGCAGTCCATGGGACTCTCAAGAGTGTCCTCCAGCACCAGAATTCAAAAGCATCAATTCTTCAGTGATCACCCTTCTTTATGGTCCAGCTCTCACTTCCATACATCACTACTGGGAAAACCAGAGCTTTAACAATATGGACCTCTTAAGTACCCATCACCGAAAGAACAATAAAGCTCTTGACATCTCCTTGCCCTCAGACCTGGTCTGGAGATGGGCTTTCAGAACACCTGCCTTGCTCAACTGCCTCTGCGGATGTCCAGTCTTGCCCCCTTGGTCACTCCCTGGGTGGGGGGCTGTGTCTGTGCTCTCACGCTTGGGGAATTATGGCAGGATGCCCTGTTCCTGCTGCCTGCTTCTTGGTCCATGGAGGGAGGTGGAGCCCAAATTCACCTTTCTTTAAGGGTTAAAATGGTGTTAGAATGAGGAGAGTCGGTTAAAGTATGGATTTTCTATGAATTTATAAAGCTAGGTATCTTCCCTGAGCTATCAAATCGAAAGGATACATTCAGGCATAATATTTGTGTAGCTATGGCTGATTTTCGCTACTGGGAAAACCATAGCTTTAACCATACAGGCCTTTGTCGGCAAGGTGACGTCTCTGCTAGGAAAATAGGAACATCCTATTCCGTCCCCTCCATTTCTCCCGTGAAAAGAGGGACGTCCGGTTCCAGAAGATGTCCCAGGCCTGCTCAAGGACCGCACCCCCCCACCCCCGCAGCTCTGGACCAAGCGAAAGGTGCAAAGGGAGCTGAGCTCACTTCCAGGCTGAATCTGAAGTGGATTCACTCCACGACTTGGCTGCCCACTTCAGGTGCCTGTTGCCTGGTCCAACCCTGCCAGGGGGCTGGAGCCGCTGCCGAATGGCTCAGGGACGTTAGTCTGGAAAGAGGAGCAGCTGTAGACGGAACGGGGGGCCTGTTTCTGGGGGAGCCCCATGGATGTGGCGGGGACTACCCTGCAGGGTTCCTAGTGCAAAAGGGAGCTCTTGGCCTGGGCTTAGGATTTGAACCCAAGGCTGCTGTGCCAGGGGAACCACGCCTTCTGATATGGCCGAGGGGAGCGATGGGCAGAGGCTGGTGGCCAACGAACTGGCTGGCTCTCCTTCCTTCCTTAGCCGAGTATGTGTGGAATCCGAATCGTAGAGCTGGAAAAGGACCCCCAAAGGTCATCCAGTCTAACCCTCTGCAATGCAGGAATGTACCACCTTGAACTTGGCCCCGTAGCCAACCAGCAACCAGCTCTGATCTCTGAGCACAGGTGTTGCACGCTGACAAGGTCTCCCTGCTGTCAGCAATTGCGCTGCAGCATCCTGCACTAACCATAGCTTCCAGATCAAACAGAGGGGAAGCCCCACATTGAGCGCATTCCAGGAATCTCTTCTTCGGGGCAGGGACCCGATATATATTCAAATATATAAAAGGATGTCACATAGAGGAGGGAGAAAGGTTGTTTTCTGCTGCTCCAGAGAAGCGGACACGGAGCAATGGATCCAAACTACAAGAAAGAAGATTCCACCTAAACATTAGGAAGAACTTCCTGACAGTAAGAGCTGTTCGACAGTGGAAGTTGCTGCCAAGGAGTGTGGTGGAGTCTCCTTCTTTGGAGGTCTTTAAGCAGAGGCTTGACAACCATATGTCAGGAGTGCTCTGATGGTGTTTCCTGCTTGGCAGGGGATTGGACTCGATGGCCCTTGTGGTCTCTTCCAGCTCTATGATTCTATGATTCTATGATTCTATGACCTGCCATGCTTCTTATGCTGCTCCTCAAAGCCCCCCCCCACCTTCTGCAGCCTGGAGTCGGCCAGATGTTCAGCGCCGCTGCTCCCAGGCAGCACAGCCGTGTTGCCCCGGGGGCTGATGGGAGTCGTAGTCCAAAACATCCCCAGAGGGTGCACATCAGTGACACGCCATAAATAATATCCTAAAGGGTTGGCAGCCCTGCAAAGCAAATCGCAGCTTCCCCTCCGAACAGCTGGACGCTTAAAATCCTAAATCCGGGAGCCACACTTGCCCAGATGGGATTAGTTTGTGAATGGAGGATCCGGCGAGGATTAAGGTCCGAAAGCACTCAAAGGGAAAAGCCCCGGGAGATCAAACACAGCGAGGGAAATCCCCAGGCATGGAGTGGGGGCTCGGGGCAGAATTTGTCCAGGGGTCCCGTTCCTCCCTCCAAGGCAGCGTGGGCAGTGGCGTAGCGTGGGGGGTGCAGGGGGGGGCGGCCGCACCGGGCGCAACATCTGGGGGTTAGGGTTAGGGGGCGCAAATCCACGGGTTAGGGGGCGCAAATTACTTGCCTTGCCCCGGGTGCTGACAACCCACGCTACGCCACTGAGCGTGGGGGCAAGGAAATTGCAAGGCCAGGTGGAGTTTCCAGAGGAAGCAGAGTTGCGGAGGAGAACCTGTGAGAGGCAGCGTGGAGTAGTGGTTAGAGTGCCGGACTAGGACTTGTGGGACCAGGGTTCGAATCCCCACTCAGGCACGAAGCTCCATGGGGTGTGACCTTGGGGGGCCGGCCACGGCCTCTCGGCCAAATCTACCTCGGGGGGTGGTTGTGGGGATTAAATGAGGAGGGGGAGGGAAGCTCTGCTCGCCTTGAGCCCCTTGGAGGAAAAGTGTGGGGGGCATGGAAAGTGCTTCCAGAGGACACTTTCTCTGGCCCCACCCTAAGAACAGAGATCTCCCGGAAGAAGGGAAAGGGGTCAGGCAAGAAATCCCAGCAGAGAACTGCAAGTATGTGTGTGGATCAGGGCAGTCACGGCGCTTTTTAAAGAGCTTTATAGTATCTTAACAAGGACTGCTTCTCAAAGCACTTTAAAGCCTTTAAAACAGCTCCGAAAAGATGGTAGAGTTTCAAGGGACCCCAAGGATCAGTTCAACCATCACATTGCATCTAAAAAAACCTCTGCTTAAAACGAAGGAGAGTCACCACCTTCTGAGGTAGTCCTAGCTGTTGTCTCCCTCCTGCTCCTTGCCAAGACCTGAACCTGATAAACAGTGCTTTTGACGCTCAAATAAAAAAATTAAGGTCATATATATATATATATATATATATATATATATATATATATAATGTTCATAACTGCATATATAAACCACATGTCTGAAACCCCACAGAAAAAGTCCTGAAACCATTTTGTCCCTCCCAAATTGACCTCAAATATTTCTCTGCAAGGTCAAAAGAAAATGGAAAAGCCTCCCCATTGTCTTTTCCTTCACAAATCCTGTCTTAAGGGTATGTCTGTGTATGAATAGGGTGAGCCTGTGACCTGGCTCAGGAACTAAGTATTTATCATTACAAAAGACTGGCCAGGCTCCCCAGGGTATCCAATCAAGTAAGCATTAACAGGTAACCTGCCAGACAGGAGGTAAAACAGCGCACTCAGATTTCTGTTGTAGACCGCCCTTTCTGTGATGTAGGTATGATGTTTCTGGGGGTGGTCTTGAGCTCCAGGGCAGGGAATTTAAAATGTCTATATAAGGGCCGGCATACCTTGGTTCTGGGTCCTCCTCCTTTCCTGCATGTGAGGGGAGCACCCTGTTGCAACAGCTTTAATAAAGATCAGGCTTACAAGCTGTTTTGCTTCTCAATATTCTCTGGTTAGCCTCTGTTCTCCGACCGATGTAGAACCTTACGAGGGACTCTGTAAGGGTTTTTGTGTCCCCCACAAGGGAATAAGGGCAGATTTTTGTTTATTACAACACCCTTTCTTCCTTTTTAAAAGAATTCTCTTTATGGGTCCCTGGCGCTGTGGGTTAAACCACAGAGCCTAGGACTTGCCGATCAGAAGGTCGGCGGTTCGAATCCCCGCAAAAGGGTGAGCTCCCATTGCTCGATCCCTGCTCCTGCCACCCTAGCAGTTCAAAAAGCACGCCAAAGTGCAAGTAGATAAATAGGTACCGCTCCGGCGGGAAGGCAAACGGCGTTTCCGTGCGCTGCTCTGGTTCGCCAGAAGCGGCTTAGTCCTGCTGGCCACATGGCCCGGAAGCTGTACACCGGCTCCCTTGGCCAATAAAGCGAGATGAGCGCAGCAACCCCAGAGTCGGCCACGACTGGACCTAATGGTCTGGGGTCCCTTTACCTTTACAGCAGCAGTGGCAGGTACTGGCTGCAACCTTCCAACAGTCTGACTTCTCCCACAAAGGCGCACTCCTCCTCCGTTGACTCCCAAGACGGAAGGACAGATGCCAACAACGACAGATTTCTCCAGCCCAGGCAGAGCTGGGACTCTCCCAACTAAGCTGATTCAGATTTGATATGGCTGTGGGAGACGTCTGCATCCACGCTTGGGCTGGGCGGATGAGAGCCTGCGCCCACAACCCTAGGCATGTCCGAGGGTTTGTGGGCGAGGGATGTGGAAGGGAAGAGACGGCCAGAACCTGGGAAGAGGCAGGACCCAAAGTCCCAAAAGGAGCAAGGGGGGAGGACAGCAGAGGAAAGGGACTCCGAAGGAGCTGCTTTACCAAACAGAGGCTGGAAGGCTGGCTATCTGTCTGGGATTCTTTGGCTGCAGTTCCTGCACTGTGGGACTAGATAACAACATAACAGGCTGCTGCGTAAGTCCAAGGACCTTTCTTGTTGAGAATCCTGTTCTCACAGTTGCCTGTGTGGAACCAGCAAGCAGAATTCCAAGCATTGCTGCCACCACTGTGGCAGGGAGTTCCATACTTTAACTATGTGCTGCATGAATAAGGACCTTCTTTTTATCTTCCAACAGACTCTTGGGCATCCCTTCCAACTCCACAATTCTGTAATTCATTAGATGTTTTCTTTTTTCTTTTTAAATGATATTTATTAAAGTTTCAAAAAATACAGGAAAATACAGAATACAGAAAAAAGTATAAAGTTTTTAAGATATAACAAAAAAGTAAAAAATAAAAAGAAACATACAAAATAAAACAGTTAAAAACACGTTAATTTTCCATAGCCTATCTTCCTTACACTTATTTCCCCGGACCTCCTCGTACCTCCCTTTTTGTATTCCAGTTCAGTTTGTTAGTTCAGCAAATCCTTACCATTAAGCTTTTACCCATTTGTAAACCTTTTTTCGTATCTCTTAAAGCATTACAGCTGGAAACCACTTAGTTTCTATCCAACATCCTTCTAAGATTCCTTAATTTTACAATATTTCTGTAAATAGTCTTTAAATTTCTTCCAGTCTTCTTTCACCGACTCTTCTCCCTGGTCTCGGATTCTGCCAGTCATTTCCGCCAATTCCATGTTCATTAGATGTTTTCAAACACATGTTGGATGGCCATACCTGAAGGAGCGCCTCCACCCCCATTGTTCTGCCCGGACACTGAGGTCCAGCTCCGAGGGCCTTCTGGCGGTTCCCTCACTGCGAGAAGCGAAGTTACAAGGAACCAGGCAGAGGGCCTTCTCAGTGGTGGCGCCTGCCCTGTGGAATGCCCTCCCATCAGATGTCAAGGAAATAAACAACTACAGTGGTACCTCGGGTTACATACGCTTCAGGTTATAGACTCTGCTAACCCAGAAATAATACCTCAGGTTAAGAACTTTGCCTCAGGATGAGAACAGAAATCGTGCTCCAGTGGCGCGGCGGCAGCGGGAGGCCCCATTAGCTAAAGTGGTGCTTCAGGTTAAGAACCGTTTCAGGTTAAGAACGGCCCTCCAGAACGAATTAAGTTCTTAACCCGAGGTACCACTGTACCTGACTTTTAGAAGACATCTGAAGGCAGCCCTGCTTAGGGATATTTTTAATGTTTGATGTTTTATTGTTTTTTTAATATTCTGCTGGGAGCTGCCCAGAGTGGCTGGGGAAACCCAACCAGATGGGTGGGGTATAAATAATAAATTATTATTATTATTATTATTATTATTATTATTATTATTATTATTATTTTCTGCCAGGGATTCTTTAGCTGTAATCCCTGCATTGCAGGAGGTTGAACTAGATAATCTTTGGGTGTCCCTTGCAACTTTGCAATTCTATGATTTTCCTGCCGTGCCCCCCACTTTATGCCCACCCACAGCAGAGGGTGACTGCAAGGCGCAAAGGAACCCCCTCTGGTTGGCTGAGCTTCCTTGCCAGCGTGTGCCAACGCACCAGCCCCTGCCCTCTCTTGTCCTCCTTCTACCCAACAATTGGAAGAGAACCGGGTGCTCATCATTGCTTTATTGATCAACTGGCATTAAATGCTCTTGCCTTAAATGTATTCCCAATTGATCTGAGCTCAGGCTTTGCACAGCTTCTGCCAAGCCTCCTATATTGTTCTGTGGCTGGTTTGCTGGGGAGAGAGAACAGGGCGTGTGTCCCAGTTCCGTGCCAAGCCAGGGCCCACGAGCCCCTTTATAACTCTCCCTCCTCCTAGCACAAGGACTGGATGACCCCGGTGTGCCCTTTGCGGGGCTTCCCTCCCACTTGACCCAGAAGCTGCGGTCAGGGCAGAACGATTGCTGGCAGGAGAAAGGCCTTATCTTCAAATCTGCCCTGGTTCCCCATTTACTACTGGGCCAGGTTCAAGGTGTTACAATTAGCATACAAAGCCGTTAACAAGCTTCGGACCACTTTACCTACGAGACTGCCTGACTCCTGATTGCTTGTAAGAACATGGCCATTTAGTGTGGCACTTTGGAACTCCCTGCCTACTGATATCGAACAGGCGTCTTCGCTGCACTCTTTTCACTGCCTGCTAAAAACACTCTTGTTTGGGCAAGATGCTGAGAAATGCTGGTCCGACTTTTAACCTGTTTGAGTATTTTTAGTCTTTTGTATGTTCTAAACGTATTCTTGCATTCCATCCCCCCCCCTATTTTTTTGTTTTATTCTTTTTTCATAAAATGCTTTGAGCCATGGGTAGGCAAACTAAGGCACGGTGCCTGGATCCGGCCCAATCGCCTTCTAAATTTGGCCCGTGGACAGCGTGTTTTTACATGAGTAGAATGTGTCCTTTAATTTAAAATGCATCTCTGGGTTATTTTGTGGGCATAGGAATTCGTTCATTTCCCCCCCAAAATACAGTCCGGCCCCCCACAAGGTCTGAGGGACAGTGGACCGGCCCCCTGCTGAAAAAGTTTGCTGACCCCTGCTTTGAGCTTTTTCGGCTTCTTTTTGCAATCAATTATTTCATGAAATAAATAGTGGCTGGTGTGGAGTGGAGCCCTTATTCCTCACGAGGGCTTAGCAGGGAGGAGGCAGTGTGGGTCCCTTGGTTAGAGCAGGCAAGAGTTTTGCTTTTTATTATTATTCCTGAGCAGTGTTGACTCAAAGGAGCATCTCTGGGGGGCTTTATGGGCTGCTTCCAGGATCAAATGCCACCAAATACCAGTTGCTGGGAAACAGAGATGGAGAGGGGCTTGGTTTTTTTGGGGGGGGGGTCTATTGTGATCCTGCCCTGCTTGTGGTCTTCCAAAGGCATCTGGCTGGCAGAGCAAAGGCCTTTAGCTTGATCCAGCTGCAGCATTTTTCCTGACCATCTTGGCTGTGGGTCCTGCCAGACAAAGCTTCTCACAAGGGCTGCAGATTCTTGGGCCAGGATAACGTTTATGGGTTTTCATTGGGGTCAATATTAAATTGTGTGTGTGTGTGTGTGTATAACACAAATTTCATGTTATAACGTATTTAAAACAGGCGCAACAGTTATAACAACACATGGAAATCAAAAGACGTAAAACAAAACTAAAGATATTTACATAGAATGGGCACAGCTGTAGGTTGGTTAAAGTAACAAAGTCCAAGTAAGGACTGATTGCCAAAGAATGGATGCTTTTGAATTCTGGTGCTGGAGGAGACTCTTGAGAGTCCCATGGATTGCAAGAAGATCTAACCTCTCCATTCTGAAGGAAATCAGCCCTGAGTGCTCACTGGAAGGACAGATCCTGAAGCTGAGGCTCCACCTCATGAGAAGAGAAGACTCCCTGGAAAAGACCCTGATGTTGGGAAAGATGGAGGGCCCAAGGAGAAGGGGATGACAGAGGACGAGATGGTTGGACAGTGTTCTCGAAGCTACCAGCATGAGTTTGACCAAACTGCGGGAGGCAGTGGAAGACGGGAGTGCCTGGCGTGCTCTGGTCCAGGGGGTCATGAAGAGTCAGACACGACTAAACAACAACAACAATTTTCCTAGGAGGGCGTGGAATAGGAGAAACGTTGGAGGGGATGGATTAGGATGTCCCTCTTCTCAAGGGGAACACTGATCTCGCCCAAGCTTTCTCTTTCTTTGCAGTTTTGGCTCCCCAGGTGCGGCCAGCTTCCCCCCCCCCGCCAGCACACAGCTGGATTCAATCTAAGCACCCTCTTCCGGAATAAGGAACCACAGCTCCCAAAAAGAGAGGCGCATTTCTCCACTGCAGAAACGCCTGAAAACATCAAGGCTGCCAACGCCTCCCTTTCTGCTCTTTCCTTCTCAGAACACGGGCTTTTGGGACACTGGAAGAATTCCTTTTGCACTTTTTCAATTTCATTTCACTTTTTATTCGTATGCAGTCTTTCCATATCGCTACACGCGAGGCGGTTTGCAAGCTGGGGAAACCACAGGATGCGCGTCAAAGATGGCGCACCAGTGCTGGGGCTGGCGAAAGAGGCAGATGGACGGGCCCCCGGTTTGCAGAGCCTGCCCTAATAATAATAAAAAATATTTTTTTATTGATACCCCACCCTTCCCGGGCTCGGGGCAGCTAACAACAAATTTAAAACACTTAATTGATACAACAAAAAACAGCATAAACTACAGTATAAAACGTGAGTAACAATAAATTCAGAATTCAAAAATCAGTTTAGGGGGGAAATCCATCCAATAAACATTAGATGATGCCCTAGTGGCAGCGGGAGAGGGGCAGGCCCTTCCTAGCCTTTGCCCCCCCCCCCCAGGTCTGGCACGGGAGGGGCTGGCGCAGGCTGTTTGTTTTGAGAGCAAACAATTCCTTCCTTTCCACCCTTTGTGGAACCCGCCCTGGCCAGCAACAGCGGTCAACACCCAGGGGTGGGTCCCCAGGCAGAGCGAGGGAGGCTGCACATCTGGGGACAAGGGCAGGGGAGGGTTTACCCCCCCTCCCTCCTGCTCTGGCCTGGCATCTTCTTAAGGGTTCCTGGTTTCTGCCCAAGGGCAGGCGGGCACAGCCTATGGAATGGACCTTGGGGTGCCTTGTCGCTGTTTTTTAACCCTCTCCCCCGCCCCCAGCTGCCAAGTTTATGTATTTTTATCTCATGAAATTTATACACCGCACAATTCTTATTTTTTTAAAACCTCAAAGCGGTTTACAAAAGAATACAAGATACAAGAATAAAGTTATCAGTAAGAAGCATTTAAGGCCTTCAGGATGTCAGAACAGCAATAGACGAAAAACAGACCCAAACTCGCATCCGCTAAGTAGGCTCTGCTTGTATCAAGAGACAGGGAGTTCCAAAGGCTTAGGATCTGGCCAACACTAAAAAAAAAGGGTTCGGAAAAAGGGTGATCCGCCCTTGGGGGTCTATAGGCCAGTTGTCCACAAGGCAGGTACAGAGTTTGGCTCTAGGGAAGCCCCAAGGCGGGGCCCATCCAGGCGAGAATCAGGAAAGAGCGGAGGGGCAGAGAGGAGACAGGCGCCGTGCGCTGCCTTTTGCTGTGAAAGGGCTTCTGCGAGCATGTGCAGAGTGCCTCCCTTGGACCAGCCTTGAGAAAGAAGCCAGCGTGGCTTGCAAACGGGCTGAGACAGCCTTGAACCCCGGACCCCTCTCCGCTTTCCCTTTCATGGTGAGGGGGCGGGGCTTAAGTCAGGATTTGCATAGTCGCATCACGACGAGGTGGGCGGGCTGAGCGGACGGGCTAATTTGCATGCGGGGCCGCGCGCGGACCAATAGCCTGCCTCGGTGGGCGGGGTCGGCAGAACTTTGTAAATAACACCGGGCGGGGAGGGAAGGAAGGAGAGAGCGAGAGAGCGCGGCGGTGACGTGTTTGTCTTTGCATATTCAGGAGCGCGGAGCCAATAAAAACCAGCGGAGGCGCGGGAGGCGGAGTTTTGCGGCGAGAAGAGCGCGCCGGCGGGGGAGGGGGCGTGTCTATATTTGCATATCGCAGAGCCGCGGGGGCGGGGCCGAGTCCAGCTGGACTCAAGGCGCGTGCGCGGAGGAGCCGAGGCAGCGGCGAGACGAGACGGGGCGTCCGCAGCGGAGAGAAGAGGCGGATCGGGAGGATCGGGCGGGGGGCTGGCGGAGGAGCAGCAGCAGCAGCAGCAGCCGGGGAGGGGCGGCCCAGGGCGGCAGCAGCGGAGGAGGAGGACCCGCGCCGGGCTCACCGTGGATGCGGAGCCGGGAAGAGGCGGCGGAGGAGGCGTCGGAGCCCCGCCGCACCCGGGTAAGGCGAAGCGGGCAGGGATGGGATGCAGGGATGGATGGGGTGGGGGGGCTGGCAGGCAGGGGAGTCTCCCCTCCTCTCTCCTTCTCTCTCCCTCCTCTTTTTCCGCGCACCGACGACGCCCCCCTCCTCCCGCGACGCCTCTTTCCGGGGATCCCCGCCGCCCCCGCCTTTCCGCATCCCTCTCCCGCGCCCCCTCCCCTCCAACAGATCCCTCCCTCCCTCCGCCTCGAGTGACAGCTGCGAAGGGCACAGGCCCACCTCTTGCTCCCCCCCCCCAAAAGGCAGTCTTGCTGGGAAATCAAAGCGGACGGAGGGGAGGGATCGCATCTCTTTGGTCCCCCCCCCCCCGCAAGCGCGCCGCCTCCGCCTCCGGGGTTCGCTGCTTCCGTCGGCAGGCAGCGGCGCCCCCGGCTGGGCAGGGCTGCGCCCCTTCTGCCTCGCCGGCCCCCCGATGGGGCCTCGCGGGATCGTGGTCGGGGAGGGGGTGGGGAGCAGTTGCCCCACCCAGGCCTGGGCCGGGGGACGGGAGAATGGGGCTCCCCCCTCGCCAATACTTCAGGATCGACGTAACTGGGTGGGTGGGGTTAAGAGGGATTGCGCAGGGCCAGGCGTTTGGGGAGGGGGCCTTCGGGAAACCTGGCAAGCGCCGAGCGTCCCCTCCCCGTTGTTCCGGAGAGATTCGGGATGGAATTCCCCCGCGGATGCCAGGAAAAGGCCCATGGGGGTATTGGGGGGGCTTTCCCCCCATTTGAGAAGTGCACAGGTTGGGTAACGGAATAGGTGGTTTGTTTGGGAGGGGGTGTCAAAGTCAACGAACCTTAAGGGGGAGAGTCGTGGGGAGTTGGTTTCCCCGTGGCAAAAAACGACGTGATGTGTCCTGCAAATAAGTTGGGGAGCATTAATGACCTCCATCACCCCAAATGGCTGGTAGCATCGGGTGGAGCCTCTCAATTTCTCTGTTCTTGACTGTGGGTCACAGATTGTTTTAATTCTGGATCCTAAAAAAATAAATGCATGCCTAGGAGGCTGTTTGCACCCTTGGCAGGCATGTATTTGAAGGTTCCCCCCCCCCACAAGGGCTCCTTCAGGGCCTGTTGATGACTGCAGGTGACTCCCAGTCTGAGAAGGTGGGTGAGTCCTGGCTTCCCTGGCTTAGAATGAGCATCTGGGTCTGATCTTCACCCCAACTGCTGGATTCGGAGGAGGCATGTGGTTTGGGGTGGGGAGCTCCCTCTGCCCTCCAAGGCCTGACTTTTGAAAGGATCTGCAGTATAGAGCAGGTGGCCCCCAGCAAGCCACACCCGGCCCTTGCAGTGGGCAAAGGGGTCTGGGTGCTAATGACGCTTCGGCGTTCCCTGGGCAGAGCCCCAATGCGGAGTCTGCCCTCTTCCCCTGGGTGCCCAGGGCTTGGGGAGATTCTCCCTTGGCTATTTTGAGGCCAGTCTAGAGCCCCACCCTGGTTTTATTTTTCCAGCTTCTCAACTTGCTTCTTTCAAGATAAACTTGGAGTTCATCTTGTCCCAGGCCCCTCTGTGTCCAGGAACTGCTTTGTTTAAAATGTCGTGCCTCAGGTTAGATGGCAAGATAAAAGCATGGGCGCCTCTGAACATGTGCAAAGTGAATTTCTAATGCCCACCGACCCTGGTGCATCTGGGACTTGTGAGTGTCTTGCTTCCAGATGTTCCTGTATTGAGCCTCACCTCAGAGACAATCTCTCCTTAAAGGCCAGCCCAGGTTTGGATGTTCAGGTCAGAGGTGGGGGTCAAAAGAAAAGCCGTTGCTGCGAGTCGGTGTAGACAACACTGCTTTGTATGCAACAGGGTCCTGGCTAGGGTTAAGGAATCTTCCAGCCTTCCTCTCATTTTTCTGCAAAATCTTAGCCAGGGGGAAGAGAGACTTGGAGTGGATTTGGAGAGCGCAGTAGCTCCTCAAGCAGAGCCTTGCGAAATGACAAGCACTTGTCAAGAGTGCCTCTGAGCACATTCAGCGCTCTTTTCCTTTCTCCGCTAAACATCTCCTTGGGCTCTGCTTGGAGGACGTTCTTCCTGTGGCACCTCCAACTCAACATGCTTCTTTTTAGAAGAAGAAGGAAAAAATACTCCTTGAGAATCTGCCTCTCCATTCTACCCCAACCAGTGATTTTAGACTCTCTGGCTTTGCTCACTTCCAGATGCAGCTAGACAGCTGTGCTGCGTTTTGTGGGGGGGGGGAGTGCTCCCCACTTTAGAATATATATGTCAGAGCCTGGGGACGCGGGTGGCACTGTAGGTTAAACCACAGAGCCTAAGACTTGCCAATCAGAAGGTCGGCGGTTCGAATCCCCGCAATGACGGGGTGAGCTCCCGTTGCTCGATCCCAGCTCCTGCCAACCTAGCAGTTCGAAAGCACGTCAAAGTGCAAGTAGATAAATAGGTACCACTCCGGCGGGAAGGTAAACGGCATTTCCGTGCGCTGCTCTGGTTCGCCAGAAGCGGCTTAGTCATGCTGGCCACAATAGCTGTACGCTGGCTCCCTCGGCCAATAAAGCGAGATGAGCGCCGCAACCCCAGAGTCGTCACGACTGGACCTAATGGCCAGGGGTCCCTTTACCTTACCATAGGATGCTGCCTCGTTCAGAATCACACCATTGATCCACCCAGCTCAACATTGTCTGCAGGAGCGATGGGGTTCCTTTGCTTCTCTGGAGGTCGATGGCCTCCCAGCCCCACCAGCCCGGTGTGGCCATGGGTGTGGCATCCAGGAATTCCTGGAGTGGTCTCCACAGGTACCCCAGCCCTGGCCGGCAGCGGCCCCCTCAAGAATCCCGGGCAGGGAGATTCTCATCCTGACTTGGATGTGATGTTAGGCATTGAGTCTGGGTCCTGCACTCAGGCTCTCGGTTGCTTCGCTATGGCCTCTTCCCAAATGGAGAGGCATTTTGCACATGCCCAGAGGTACCCCACCAAGCCCTGGCACTGAACATGAGCTGCTTTGGAGTACTCTGAAAAGACACTTCTCCCTCCTTGCAAAGATGCTCTTACTGTTTGGGGGAGGAAAAGGCAATGAGCAGAACAGACGGCGATGGATCCAGCCAGGGCTAGTCTAAGGGAGGTTCCAGCTGTGGCCTTGGGGTGTGGGGAGCCCCCCGACCTTTATCACCGTGGCTCTGACCCTGACCCTACTCTGAGTAGGCGGGAGCAGCCCAAGGCCCCATGGCAAGAGCTTCCAGAGACCCTTTTCCCAGAGGGCCAAAAGGTGTGACTCTGCTGCTTATGGGGCAGTTTCGAAAGGAACCCCTCTGCCTTGGTTAGCAGCTGATGGGGTTTGGGGGGCCGGCATCCGAGACAGGGGATTGTTTCCCTGCCCCTCCCATGTCTGGACGCAGAAGGGCAGCCGAGTTCATGGCTTCCCAGACCACGGGCAGGAGGCAGGAAACTGGGAAATAATCTGCAATTATTGCTGCCCATTAAGGCGGCCCAATTAGCTCCGGAGAGGCGCAGCTGCTGTTTCTTTGCCGCTGTCCTCCGCTGGGGGAGCGGAAGGACTCCTGGGGTCTCCCCTGGTGACGCAAGGGGAGATGGGAGCTAGGATTCCTGGGTTCTCTGCTGAGGGGGAGCAGTGTATGGACAGGCCAGGCTGCAGTACAAGGGCGGAGAATCTGGCTCCTGAGATTTTCTGGTCTGTTTGGAGCAGACACAGTGGGCGGGAGGGAAAGAGGAGTCTGTTCCAGTTTGGCAGACAGTGCATGTGAGTCATTGGGCATCTGTTTCGCAATTATTATTTTTTGAAGTGGGGGGGGGATTGTCCTCTCCCTAACCCTACGGGGCTGGTCACTCTTGTTCCCATTTTGCAGACGGGGTGATGAGATCTGTTGTAGCTTCTCCCTTTGGGTGCACCGCCCTTTAGAAGCCTGTTGGATCAGGCCGTACAGAACAGTCCAGCGTCCTGTTTTCACGGGGGGGGGGCAGCCAGGTGCCCCTTTTGGGAAACCCGCAAGCAGGAATTGAGCACGGAAGCACTCAGCCTTCCTGTGCATTCCAGCAACTAATATTCAGAAGTATTGCTTCCTCTGGCTGTGGAGCAGAGCACAGCCATGGTAGGTTATAGCCGTCAATCGCCATCTCCCCCTTCCATGAATTGGTCTAATCCTCTTTTAAAGCCATATACCTGTAGTTTGTTTGTGGCCATCGCTTCCTCTTGTGGGAAGGAGTTCCACAGTCTAACCCTGTGCTGCATGGAGAAGGACTTTCCAAATGTCTATTAAAAATAATAATAATAAATTTTATTGATACCCCACCCTCCCTGGCCAGAGCCGGGCTCAGGGCGGCTAACACCAATAAAATCACAGTAAAAACATAAGGGGGGGGGGGAAGAAACCCAATTTAAAATACAGGTAAAAATGCAATTTAAAATGCAGCCTCATTTTAATAGTAGCCCATGGATCAAAACCGTAAGGGGAGGGAAACATAAGGGTCAGACTGAGTCCAAACCAAAGGCCAGGCGGAACAGCTCTGTCTTGCAGGCCTTGCGGAAAGATGTCAAGTCCCACAGGGCCCTAGTCGCTTGTGACAGAGCGTTCCACCAAGTCGGGGCCAGTACTGAAAAGGCCCTGGCCCTAGTTGAGACCAATTTAACCTCCTTGAGGCTTGGGACCTCCAAAGTGTTGTTATTTGTGGACCTTAAGGTCCTCTGTGGAGCGGTCCTGTAGGTACGAGGGTCCTAGGCTGCATAGGGCTTTAAAGGTCAAAACCAGCACCTTAAACCTGACCCTGTACTCCACCGGGAGCCAGTGCAGCTGGTAAAGCACTGGATGAATGCGATCCCGCGGCAAGGACCCCGTGTTGCTTCTTCCTCGACTTTTCCCAAAACCCAACGACCCAAAATGCTGCAACCTTTTTTCCTTAGGGAATCCCTCTGTCGTCCCTCCCCCACCCCGCCTTGTTCCAATTGGCTGCTCCTTCCTTTATTTGCAGCCCCCACCCACCCACTTCCATGCTGGGGGAGGGGAAGCTTCCTGTAATGGGCAGCCTTTTGTGGGGTGGGGGTCCCACAGATCTTACACGCCGCCGGGTCAAGTCTGGGGCTGACTCCCCATGTCATCCTCCTGAAAGAGGGGTGGGGGCGAAGGCAGACTTGAGACTCTCCCCCAGCTTGTCCCCACTGGGGGTCTTGTATGGGAGAGAATCTCCCAGCCATGGGGCCTACGTCTTGCCTGGATGAGGGGCTCTGCCACCCCCTTCCAGCTGAGCCCTGCCATTCCGTGGGGCTGTGATGGCTCTAAGTCAGGGGTCAGCAAACTTTTTCAGCAGGGGGCCGGTCCACTGGGGGTCAGTCAGACCTTGTGGGGGCGCCGGACTATATTCTGAAAAAAAAATAATGAACAAATTCCTATGCCCCACAAATAACCCAGAGATGCATTTTAAATAAAAGGACACATTCTACTCATGTAAAAACACGCAGATTCCCGGACCGTCCGTGGGCTGGATTTAGAAGGCGATTGGGCTGGATCTGGCCCCCGGGCCTTAGTTTGCCTACCCATGCTCTAAGTGGCTCAGAGGCGATGACTCCCCAGATCTCCGTGGTTCGCAGGGAGCCTTCTGCTTTGCTTTTGCTCCCCAGCAATCGGCTTTAAAATGGGTGGGTGGGACGAGAGACTGTTTCTGGGGCAGGCTGGGGCAAGGCGCGACGACCCTAGTGAGTGGGGAGGTGCCCAGGTTGTGGGGTGAGGATCCTGGTCTGTGGCAGCCCAGAGTCGCCGCCGAGTTGGGGGTCTGCGATTGCTCTGATCCACAGTGGGGCCCAGTCGGCAGAGCGTGAGGCTCTTAATCTCACAGTCGTGGGTTCAAGCATTGGACAAAAAATTCCTGAATTGCAGCGGGTTGGACTAGATGACTCTCGTGGTCCCTTCCAGGATTCTGTCCTTCCCTGGCGCTGCTGTGGATGGCAGCCGGAATCTATCCCTGACCGAGGGAGCTGTGGCCTTTGCCCAAGGCAGTGTCTCTCGTCTGGCTGCCAAAGGGCGAAGGCTGGGAATCCCAGGCGTGGATCTAGAGGGCGGGGGGTCGTTGCCCCCACAAGAGGGTGTTGATGCTGAGAGGGGAAGCAGCTCAGACACAGAACAGCTGCTCTGCCTGTAGAAGGTCTCAGGTTCAGTCCCAAGTAGCCTTGCCTTTTCTGAAACTCTGTTGCTGGAAGTCAGGGTAGGCAATACTGAGCTACCTGGACCGATGGCCTGGCTCTGTAGAAGTAATAATAATAATTATAATAATAATAATAATAATAATAATTTATTATTTGTACCCCGCCCATCAGGGAAGCTTCATGACTTGATCCTTCTCCACCTCGTTACACTCCAAGGAGTGCAAAAGGGAAACAGGTGACCTCAGAGGTTCTAAGAAGTTTTTTTTTTAGGCTTGCCAGGGAACTGAGCAAGTTGCTTTGATATTGGACTGGGATACGAAAGCCACTTTCCCCCAGAAATATGGTTGGACCAAGGCGGTGCTGAGTGCACTGGCTCTGGAGCCCTTTATAAAGTAATAGCTGTGCTTCAGCCCAGGTCCCCTCCCTCCTGGGCTGCAGGAATCATAAAGTCACAGAATCTTACAGCTGGAAGGGACCCTGGGGTCATCTAGTCCAACCCCCTGCAATGCAGGGATCTCAGCTAAAGCATCCATGACAGGTGTCCATCCAACCTCCACTTAAAAACCTCCAAGGAAGGAGAGTCCACCACCTCTCGTGGGAATCTGTTCCACAGCTCTTACTGTCAGAATGTTTTTCCGAATGTTTAGTCGGAATCTCCTTTCTTGTAACATGAAGCCATGGGTTCGAGTCCTATCTTCCAGAGCAGGAGAAAACAAGCTTGCTCCATCTTCCATGTGACAGCCCTTAAGATATTTGAAGATGGCTATCCTATCTCCTCTCAGTCGCCTCTTTTCCAGGCTAAACATACCCAGCTCCTTCAACCGTTCCTCATCAGGCTTGGTTTCCAGACCCTTGATCATCTTGCTTGCCCTCCTCTGCCCACCTTCCACCTTGTGAGCATCCTTCTTAAATTGTGGTGCTCAGAACTGGACACAATATTCCAGGAAGGGCCTGACCAAGGCAGAAGAGAGCAGGACCATGACTAATAATAATAATAATTTATTATTTATACCCTGCCCATCTGGCTGAGTTTCCCCAGCCACTCTGGGCGGCTCCCAATCAAGTGTTAAAAACAATACAGCATTAAATATTAAAAACTTCCCTAAGCAGGGCTGCCTTCAGATATCTTTTAAAAATAAGATAGCTGCTTATTTCCATGACATCTAATGGGAGGGCGTTCCACAGGGCAGGTGCCACTACCAAGAAGGCCCTCTGCCTGGTTCCCTGTAACCCCACTTTGAGTGAGGAGGGAGCCACCAGAAGGCCCTCAGTGCTGGACCTCAGTGTCCGGGCTGAATGATGGGGATGGAGACGCTCCTTCAGGTATACAGCACTGAGGCCATTTAGGGCTTTAAAGGTCAGTACCAACACTTTGAATTGTGCTCGCAAACGTACTGGGAGCCAATGTAGGTCTTTCAAGTCAGGTGTTATGTGGTCTCGGCGGCCGCTCCCAGTCCCCAGTCTAGCTGCCACATTCTGGATTAGTTGTCGTTTCCGGGTCACCTTCAAAGGTAGCCCCATGTAGAGCGCGTTGCAGTAGTCCAAGCGGGAGATAACCAGAGCATGCACCACTCTGGCGACACCCACTGTCAGCACTGCAGGGTTGTTGTGTTGCAATGGGGTCTCTCTTAGGTGTCTCCCTCCCCTTGGCAGCCTGGGCTGGACTGAAGGGGGAGAGCAGGAGACAACCTAGCTGATCTCCGTGCCTCCGGGAAAACTCTCCAGCGGAGATATGGATAATGGTGGTGCTTCTCTTCCTCTCCACCCCCACCCCCTGCTTTCTCCTAGAAGGCTGAGTGATGCGCAGAGAGGATGAAAGCCATGAAAGCCGATAAAAGCTGTTCCGCTAATGGGCCAGGGTGGAGGAGGCAGGCAGGAAGCCAGGAGGGAGGCGCTGGTGCAGATACCAAATGCAGGAAGTGGGGGGGGGGGACACACGTCCCTTTGGACCCGGCTTAGAAGGGCATCTGCTTCCACGATCATAGAATCTCAAGGGTCCCCCAAAGGTCCTCTAGTCCAACCCCCTGCAATGCAGGAATCGCAGTGGAATAATTCCTGACAGGTGGCCGTCAAACCTCTGCTTGAAAGCCTTCAAGGAAGTTCTTCCTAATGTTTATTCGGAATCTCCTTCCTTGCAATTCGAACCCATCGTTTCGGCTCCTCCCCCCTGGAGCCATAGAAAGTGAGCTTTGCTCCATCTTCTTCCCCCTGAGGGTCCTTCAGGTATGTCACCTTTCCTTCCTGAACCTGCGAGGATCTGCATGGACCATCCGTCCTGGGGCTCCTGCAGCACCAGATGCCAGGATTTGGCCCCAGGAGATACTGGCTAAATCTCAAAGAAGCGTAACAGCAAGCATGCACAGAGTGCCGGGCAGGTGTGGAGGACTCCCTGGTCCTGAATGGGGAAACTGTGCCCCTGAAGGACCAGGTGCGCAGCCTGGGAGTCATTTTGGACTCACAGCTGTCCAGGGAGGTGCAGGTCAATTCTGTGTCCAGGGCAGCTGTCTACCAATTCGATCTGGTACACAGGATGAGACCCTACCTGCCCGCAGACTGTCTCGCCAGAGTGGTGCATGCTCTGGTTATCTCCCGCTTGGACTACTGCCATGCGCTCTACGTGAGGCTACCTTTGAAGGTCACTCGGAAACTACAACTAATCCAGAATGTGGCAGCTAGACTGGTGACTGGGAGCGGCCGCCGAGACCACATAACACTGGTTCTGAAAGACCTTCATTGGCTCCCAATACGTTTCCGAGCACAATTCAAAGTGTTGGGGCTGACCTTTAAAGCCCTAAAGACCTCGACCAAGTATACCTGAAGGAGCATCTCCACCCCATCATGTGGCTCAGACACTGAGGTCCAGCTCCAAGGGCCTTCTGGCGGTTCCTTCTCTGCGAGAAGTGAGGTTGCAGGGAACCAGGCAGAGGGCCTTCTCAGTGGTGGCACCCGCCCTGTGGAACGCCCTCCCACCAGATATCAAGGAAATAAACAACTACAGTGGTACCTCGGGTTACATGCGCTTCAGGTTACATACTCTCCAGGTTACAGACTCTGCTAACCCAGAAATAGTACCTTGGGTTAAGAACTTTGCTTCAGGATGAGAACAGAAATCGTGCAGTGGTGGCACAGCAGCAGGGGGAGGCCCCATTAGCTAAAGTGGTGCTTCAGGTTAAGAACAGTTTCAGGTTAAGAATGGACCTCCGGAACGAATTAAGTACGTAACCAGAGGTACCACTGTACCTGACTTTTAGAAGACATCTGAAGGCAGCCCTGTTCAGGGAAGTTTTTCATGTTTGAAGTTTTATTCTTTTTTTAGTATTCTGTTGGGAGCTGCCCAGAGTGGCTGGGGAAACCCAGCCAGATAAGTGGGGTATAAATATTATTTTTATTAATATTATTATTATTACTACTAGTAGTACTACTACTTAGTGAGGGAGTGTGGGGGGGGGTGAGGTTTGCGCATGACCCACCGCAGAGTTTTCTGAGTCTTGCTGTTGACTCCTGAAAAGACGCAATTCATGAGCCCCAGCACCTATTACAACTCACTCTAGCCTCTGTCCTAGCTCTGAGACTCACCCCACCACCGTCTCTTGGTTTTGTCCTGGGCTTGAAGGTCCCTGGAGGAGGACACCTCCTCTCCCCCCCCCCTTTAGAGGGGGCACATCTGAGGACACCCCCCTCTCCCGGCCCCCCCTCTTTGCTTGTCTGGGACTGGCTCCCATCTGCTGAGCCAGCGGCTGGTGGCAGCTGAGGAAACAATTCCACCGTCCGTCGCGCCCCCCCCCTTCTGCCTTTCGGCCAAATGTTTGCCCAGCCCCAGTACAGCTGGTGTGCTTGGACCAGGCACTGGGATGGGGGCATAGAAACCGGGGAGGCGGCTTGACAGGACACACACACAGCTGTTGGCTCCCCAAACCCATTCAGGGACAGCTGTCTTGCCCGGCAACGGGTTCAGGGGGGGTGGGGGCCTTGCAGGATGCTCTTTTGTTTCAAACAGGTCTGGTGCAGCTGTTGCAAGGGAAAGTTTGACTTTGCAAAAAAAGGGGGGCTGTCTTTAAACCAGCCCCCCTCCCCATTCCCTGTAGAATCTATTTTTTAAAACCTTTTTTTAATTCAGAATTAAAGCAAAACATATTATCCAGAAACATATCATCCTTATTTCTCCCCCATTTTTCCTCCCTCCCTCCCCCCACCCTCCCACACAACTCCACCCCCACCCCGGCTGCCCTCAGTTCCGGCCTCTGATTTCTCTAAGAATGCTGTTTTCTGCATGTTATAGATCCTCAAACTATTTAGCTGATTATCATCAATAAAAAGTTTGTGATTGTTTATTCAGAGCCAGCCAAGGAGTCCAGTTCGCTTTGTTGCGTCTTCAAATACTTTGTAAAGGGTTCCCATTCATCTTTAAAGTCACCGTTATCTTTGTCCCGTAGCTTATATGTCAATTTTGCCAGTTCTGCATAGTCCATCAATTTTTCTTGCCGCGATTCTTTAGTCGACGGTTCTTCAGTCTTCCATCCTTGTGCTACCAGAACTCTCGCGGCCGTTGTCGCAAACATGAAGATGTTTTTCAGCTTTTTGGGCAGATCTTTCCCTACAATCCCCAACAAAAATGCCTCGGGTTTTTTAACAAATGTTAAATGGAATTCCCTGTAGAATCTACTTGGAGGTCTCCATTCGTTTTCTCTGCTCCTCTGCGCACCCCCCATCTGCACAAGAGGGGTCAGAGTTACGGGGGGGGGGCTGTACCAGCCCACTGTCTGTACCCCTTTTGTGTGTCTCCGCAGCCGGCCGTCTGGTGGGGGTTGGGGGGGAAAGATTGGCTTTGTGGCCATTGTGTGGGGCACACGCGTCACACAAAAGAGAACACTCCATCTCCCCCCCCCACTCCTGCTTGTCCTCTTCTGTTGTCCTCGTCTGGCTATTTTGGTGGGGGGGTGTGCCTTTAACAGCTGGCCGGGGCCATCTGTGAGATGAGAGGAGCCGTGGGGTTGCGGCCGCCGTGGGGAGGGAGGGAGGTATCTGCAAGCAGCAGAGCGGCTGGTGCAGCAGGCAGAGGGGTCTCTGCGAACTTCCTCTGCAGCGCAAGAGTAAGAATGAGGATCCGCGGTTTCCCTCTGTTGTTGGGGTTGGGCTGGATGACCCCATGGGGTCCTTTCCAACTCTTCAATTCTGTGAATTGCAGGGATTCCTGCTAGAGGGGGAGGCGACAGCTCCTGACCACAATTCAATGACCTGGGAAGGAGCCTTGGCAGTTAGCGGAGTTGGTAAGGGCACGGTGATGACGCATAGGCCATGGGTTTGATTCCCGTGTGGGTGCATTTTCCTTCATTGCAGCGGGTTGGACTAGATGACCCAGGGCTCCCTTTCCAGCTCTAGGATTCTGTCATTCTAAACAACCCCATTGGATTTGGGGCGGGTGGCCAGGGAATGTTGCAGCACTCGGAGAAAAAAGCAAGTGAGAGAAAGGGGGAAGAGAAAAGTTGCTCTCCCTCTCTCTCCTTCGCCAGTGCAAACGGTGGAACTCCTTGCCACTGGAGGCAGAGATGGCCACCAACATGGGTTGCTTTAAAATATCGTGTTTTTTCGCTCCATAAGACGCACCTGACCATAAGACGCACCTAGTTTTTAGAGAAGGTAAACAAGAAAAAAAATATTCTGAACGAAACAGTGGGTGTATGATTTTTGTGGTTCATGCTGTGGTCACAGACATGTGATTTGACAGTGAGTTTGGGGTACCCAGTGCAAAAATCCTGAGGATTCATGTGGATCCGTGCTTTGTAACCACATTTTTGTGCCATTGCGGTCCCACAAAACAGTGGGTGCGTGATTTTTTTGGTGCAGGCTGTAGCCATGGACATGCTATGTGATCTGATGGTGAATTTGGGATGACCCAATGAAAAAATCTTGAGGATCCATGGGCTTTTACCTCCCCCCTCCCAGACCGTCCCTTATCTCTCTTCTGATCCCACCGATCAGCTGTTTCCTTTCAACACTCCCTTCCCTCTTAGTGTCTTTCCCCTTAGTGTCTTTTCCTTAGCTGGAGCAGTTTTTCTCTCCTCCTTTTCTTCTAATTTCTCTCCTTATTGCTTTAGTCTTCCTGTTTTCCCCCTTTGCAAGTTCGCTGTCTTTACCTCCCCTTTCCCAGGCAGCCTCCTTTATTGCTAGCGTCCCTTATCTCCCTCCCCGATCGCTTGCCCATCAGCGGCTTTGTTTCAACACCCACTTCCCTCTTTCAAAAAAAAAAGCATGATCCGCTTTTCTCCCCTGGGCAATTCGGCTCCAGGGATAACACATTCGCTCCATAAGACGTACAGACATTTACCCTTACTTTTTAGGAAGAAAAAACTGTGTCTTATGGAGTGAAAAATACGGTAGGACTAGACGAATTCATGGAACAATCCCAGTTGCTGGAAACCGCATATGGGGAGAGAACTCTTGTGCCCGGATCCTGCTGCCGGAGAAGAGGCTGCTGGGCCAGAGGAGCTTCCTTGGGCCTGATCCAGCTGTCCTTCTATCCAAGGCCTCTTGCTCAACTCCTGAGCATAGCTGTCAATGTTTCCCTTTTTTAAAAGGGAAATTCCCTTATTCCGAATAGGATTCCTTGCAAGAAAAGGGAAAAGTTGACAGCTATGCTTCCTGAGTGATGGCTCTTTTTGGCTTCATGGCCTCTCTGCCCCCTCCCCCCGCCCCCCAAGAAATCCTACCCTCGATCCACCCCAGGGGATGCAGACTGTGGCTTGGAGCCCTTTGTGGAGAATGTGGGGCAGGAGCTGACCGCTCCCCAGGCGATGGCTAAGTAGCTTTGACCTTCTGGCCTTGGGCCGGGTCAGGGGGGAGCAGCTGGTGGCACCCAGCCCCTTTCTCTGCAAAGACGGCCACTTCTCCTCTTTGGTGGGGCTCCTCTGCGCTTAGCAGCCTTGCTGCAGGAAGAAATGTGCTGTCTGCAGAGGCCCCTCCAGGAGGAAAAGGGGCAACCATTTTCCCCTCCCCCTGCAAAGGAGCAGGTGGGGTGGGGGTCCTGCTATGTTGTACCATTTGCAGGTTTAATGCTCAACTGTGTCAGGGGGCTTATTGAAGAACCTCAGGAGTTCAGTGCTAGGACTTTGCCTTGCGAGACTGCTCCTGAGCACGTGGGAAGTGCCTTTCCGCCCGTGTTTGAAATTTGTTGGGCACATTTTGCACCTGGCTACCAGCCACTTGGGGTGCGAGTGGCGCTGTGGGTTAAACCGCAGAGCCTAGGACTTGCCGATCAGAAGGTCGGTGGTTCAAATCCCGGCGACGGGGTAAGCTCCCGTTGCTCGGTCCCTGCTCCTGCCAACCTAGCAGTTCGAAAGCACGTCCAAGTGCAAGTAGATAAATAGGTACCGCTCCGGCGGGGAGGTAAACGGCGTTTCCGCGCGCTGCTCTGGTTCGCCAGAAGCGGCTTAGTCCTGCTGGCCACATGACCCGGAAGCTGTACGCCGGCTCCCTCGGCCAATAAAGCAAGATGAGCGCCGCAACCCCAGAGTCGGCCACGACTGGACCTAATGGTCAGGGGTCCCTTTACCTTTACCTTTACCAGCCACTTGCTGCCACCAAGTGGTGTCTGTCACCTGACATTTCCACTATCTAGAGATGCCTGCCTGGTGCAAAATTCGACGATCTGGACTGTTTTCCCACACCAGCGACACGTCCTGTCGAATTCTGTCCGTGATACTTTGTCTGCACCTTCAGAACGAATTTCAGGAACCCAAAATGTCATATTGAAAATTTCAGCTTTCCAGCCAAATGGCAACCAGCCGTTCCGTTTTGGCGTCTGGAAACCCTGATTTAAGAACCCACCTGGCTTATATACCGGAGTTTCTAACCATCCCCTGGCCTCTGTCTGTGCATTCCTGGGTCTTCCAGGGTCCTAGGTCTCCCCCTAGCAGCTCCCGTCCTGGCTGCAAGGACTATGTGTGTGTGTGTGTGTGTGTTTTCTTTCCTCTGCCTGCGATTGAGGCGTCCCAGTTAAATCAGCCAAGGCAAGATCAAGGGTGTGTGTGTGTGTGTGTGTGTGTGTGTGCATCCTCAGAGATGGTTATAAAAGCCCCGGCTCCCTGATGCTCCTTTGATCTTGGGGATGTGAAATTTGCTGGAGATTCGCCTCCCAGTAAATCCTTGCCAGAAGGGCGGGGGGAGGCAAAACGCCCCCACCCCCTTGCTGTGTTTCTTTTTTAAAAAAAATATCATCTTTATTAATTTAAAATACCATCTTACAAATGGTTACAGCAAAGTTAAACGCGAAAATGAAAAAAAAGATAAAGAAAATAAAAATAAGGAGCATAAAAGAATTAACGACAACAAAAGAATATCAGTTAAAAAGCCAGTTATTTATAATGATATTATCCTAGCAGAATCGAAAGATACTTGTGTATAACAAACAAATGGAATAAATATCTTAGAGGAATATACAGAAAAGGCTATAATACAAACTGTGCGATAAAATGAAGACAATACAGTGGTACCTCAGGTTAAGTACTTAATTCGTTCCGAAGGTCCGTTCTTAACCTGAAACTGTTCTTAACCTGAAGCACCACTTTAGCTAATGGGGCCTCCCGCTGCTGCCGCGTCGCCGGAGCACAATTTCTGATCTCACCCTGAAGCAAAGTTCTTAACCTGAAGCACTATTTCTGGGTTAGTGGAGTCTGTAACCTGAAGCGTATGTAACCCGAGGCACCACTGTATAAAAAAGTACAACGAGAAGGATTGGAAGTTTCTTCCAGGAGACGTTATTGGAGAAGATATGATATTATATAAACACCTTGCTGTGTTTCACTCCCAGTGGGACTGGGGGCGGGGGGAGACCCCCGGGGTTATTAACCCTTGCTCTGCCAGAGGCTTCTGGGTCTTCTGAGATTTTGGTTAGCTGCATCCTGGGGTCATCCTGGCACAGTGGCGTAGCGTGGGGGGTGCAGGGGGGGCCGGCCGCACCGGGCGCAACATCTGGGGGTTAGGGTTAGGGGGCGCAAATCCACGGGTTAGGGGGTGCAAATCCATGGGTTAGGGGGCGCAAATTACTTGCCTTGCCCCGGGTGCTGACAACCCACGCTACGCCACTGTCCTGGCAGCCCTCCCTGCTGTGAGTCCTGCCTCCCCCTCTCTCTCCTTTGGGGTCCTCAGGGATGCTGAGCGCGGCCTTTTCCCTCCCTGCCCCCTTTGCAGGCCCGGGGGGGTCAGCGATGAACAAGCTGCGGCAGAGCCTGAGGCGCAAGAAGCCAGCCTACGTCCCGGAGGCCAGTCGCCCCCACCAGTGGCAGGCCGATGAGGAAGCCGTCCGGAAGGGGCGATGTAGTTTCCCAGTGCGGGTGAGTCTGGCGAGGGGCGCCGGGAGGGGGGGGAGTTGGAGGGAGCAGAAGGAGGGGGGGTGCCTTTATTTTACCTTATTTTGTGAGATCTATACGCCGTTTGTTTTAAAGGCGCGACAGCTCCAAAGCCGCTTACAGGAAGAATGAAACACGATCCGTACAAATACCGTATTTTTCGCTCTACAAGACGCACCAGACCACAAGACGCACCTAGTTTTTGGAGGAGGAAAACAAGGAAAAAAATATTCTGAATCTCAGAAGCCAGAACAGCAAGAGGGATCGCTGCGCAGTGAAAGCTTCTGGGATTGCTGCGCAGCCTGCATTCGCTCCATAAGATGCACACACATTTCCCTTTACTTTTTAGGAGGGAAAAAGTGAGTCTTATAGAGCAAAAAATACGGTAACTCCTTGAAATATTCGGAAGGTAAAATTGGGCAATGGATGGAAAACGGATCAAAACTCACACAAGTCTCGGGAAGGCTTTTCCCAAACGGAAATGGTTTTTTGGTGGTACCCCCCCCCCCCATTTTTTTATTGATTTTCCATATTTATAAACAAACAAAAATCTTATATGTAATAATTCCACTTTTGTTTACATTGTTGGATAACTTCCTCGACTCCCCCAAGCTGAGTTTCAATGTATATCATTGCAACAGTTTTCCAAAAATATTTTCCCATAAAATTTACTTAGGCAATTAACATCTTTCTTTTCATTTTCACTTTAGACATACTATTCTATAACATCACTTATTTAAATCCTAGGCCAGTCTGGTGCTCGCAAATATTTCTATTTAGATTATCTTAGCATATTTGGTTAAATAGTCTTTAAATTTCTTCCATTCCTCCTGGTACTCCAGGTTTTGTTTTTTTGTTTTTTTGCCAAGCACTGCAAATTGTATGGTATATCAAGAGGCAGGGAGTTCCACAGGGCTGCGCTGCCGCACTCAGGATCACATACTAATAGTTACCCTTTGAATTTGGCCCTGTGGCAAATCGGGAACCAGCGTGGATCTCTGGGCAGCAATGCTTTGACGTTGGTGACAGGGACTTGCTCCCGTCAGCAATCGTGCTGCAACATTCTGCCTGCAGCTTCCAGATCAGGCGCAAGGGAAGCCCCACAGAGAGGGCACTGTGGCAGTCCAGTCTTGAAGAAACCCGTGCATGAACTTCTGTGGCCAAGCTTTCCTGGTCCTGGAATGGTTTCAGGTCCTTTGGGGATCTTTCATCACTTTGCCGGGTCCAGATCCCAGCTCAGCGCCTTTTCTCAGCAGGAGATAACTAGAGCATTCACCACTCTGGTAAGACAGTCCGCAGGCAGGTAGGGTCTCATCCTGCGTACCAGATAGAGCTGGTAGACAGCCGCCCTGGACACAGAATTGACCTGCGCCTCCATGGACAGCTGTGAGTCCAAAATGACTCCCAGGCTGCACACCTGGTCCTTCAGGGGCACAGTTACCCCATTCAGGACCAGGGAGTCCCCCACACCCGCCCGCCCCCTGTTCCCCCAAAAACAGTACTTCAGTCTTGTCAGGATTCAACCTCAATCTGTTAGCCGCATCTAGACTGGTGACTGGGAGTGGCCGCCAGGACCGCATAACATCGGTCCTAAGAGATCTGCATTGGCTCCCAGTACGTTTCCAAGCACAATTCAAAGTGTTGGTGCTGACCTTTAAAGCCCTAAATGGCCTCAGTCCAGTATACCTGAAGGAGCGTCTCCACCCCCATCGTTCTGCCCGGACACTGAGATCCGGCACCCAGGGCCTTCTGGCGGTTCCCTCCCTGCGAAAAGCAAAGCTCCAGGGAACCAGGCAGAGGGCCTTCTTGGTGGTGGCGCCCGCCCTGTGGAACGCCCTCCCACCAGATGTGAAGGAAATAAGTAGCTATCTTCTTTTTAAAAGACATCTGAAGGCAGCCCTGTTTAAGGAAGTTTTTAATATTTAATGCTGTATTGTTTTTAACACTTGATTGGAAGCTGCCCAGAGTGGCTGGGGAAACTCAACCAGATGGGTGGGGTATAAATAATAAATTATTATTATTCCTATCTGTGAAATGGGAATATCAGTGGCGACCCTGAGTGATGGGCAGGGAGGTGAGTCCAGCTGTCTGGACTCTACTGTAGGAACATGTGTGTGTGTGTGTGTGTGTGTGTGTGTGCTTGGGGAGGGGAATATAAAGAATTGTGCCTCTGAGCATGTGCAGAGTGCCTATTCGTCCACTGTGAATTGCCAGGGCTTGGTTTTCAAAGCAGGTGGGAGTTCCGTTATCCAAACATCCATCATGGATATTATTTGGGGTGGAGGGGTTGATGCTCACATCCGTCTTTTGACTAGAGTCGGGGGTGTTCAGAGCAGGAAGCAGAAGCCCCGCTTCTTTATTTATTTCATAATTTTTTACGCTGCTTGATTGTTTTGAAAAAATGGAGCGGTTTGCAAAAAGAAAAGAGAAGAATAAAGAGATAGAATTATCGGTAAGAAGGATGAATAACTAAGACTTTTTAAAAGTTTTAAATACCCTTAGACTAAAGGCAGATTGAAGCTCTCTTCTTTAATATATATATATACGTTTGTATTAGTTTTTAATATATTAATTATCATTCATACAACAAAACTTCTCATCTTATACAATAATTTTTGGACTTCCGTCAACACCTCTGATGATTTCCCATTCTTATCACTTATTATGCATCTCTTAATTTCATATTACCTTTAATTATCTTTAACTAATAATTCTCCTCATTGTCTTTTTTGCAATATTTCAAATAATTCACCTTACAAAACTCATTGCAAACCTACTAGCGTAATCTGTTCATCACAATTCCTTTTCAAATAGTCCATAAATTTACTCCAGTCTTCTGAGAATCTCTGGTCCCACAGGTTTCGAATTCGAAGCAGGTTGTCCCGCAGGTTTCGAATTCAAAGCTCTCATCAACCTCTGCAGGTTGTCTAAACAAAAATGGGTTTAAGCAGGTGCTGACGGGAGTACAGTAAAGGCACCGCTGCTGTTATTATTGTTGTTGTTGTTTGTTTATTAGCATCCCGCTTATCTGAGTGGGTTGCCCCAGCTGCTCTAGGCAGCTTGTTATCAAGTGGCAGGGAGTTCCGAAGTGTAGGTTCCACCAGACGAAAAAGTGGATTTTTTAGAAACATGGAGCAGATTTCGTGTGGCCCCTGTAACAGGGCCAGCTCTGCCGATCCGAGGGGGTCGCATGTGTGGGGGGGGGAGACGATTTCGCGGGTGAACTGTTCCCAAGTTTAAAGTGCTTTATACCTTGCCCCCTGTCCTTGCCCCCCGTAGTACCTGGGTCATGCTGAAGTGGCGGAGTCTCGGGGAATGCACGTTTGCGAAGAAGCCGTGAAGAAGCTGAAAGCGGTGAGTTGCTGGGGGGTCTTGCAGGGGGTGTGGGGCAGGGTCTGGTTTCTCTCCAGGAAACACATGGGGAGGGGGCAGAGAAGAGGCCGGAGGGCAACCTGTGTGTGGAACAGGGCACTGGCTGCTCTGGTAGGACCTCTCTGCCCTGGGACGCGGAATGGTGGAGTTGGGACCCCCAAAGGTCCTCTAGTCCAACCGCTTGCAATGTGGCGGAATGGCTCATGTGTGTTTTGTGGGGGGTGGGGTGGGGTGGGTCGCTGACCTGGGAAGCAGGAGCTTTTGCGCCGAAAGGGTCCCAGCAGATCTGTGATGTTGCCTAACGGCGTTGCCAAATGACTCAGCGTCACGAAGCAGATGGTCAAAAGGGAAATTAAAAAAAAACAGGGAGACAGGGAGAATCTTTAAAAATTAGCTTGGTGCATGTTTATAATTTTTGCAATTTGAAGGCTTCTAACTTGAAAGTGGGGCGCAGGTGGCGCTGTGGGTTAAACCACAGAGCCTAGGACTTGCCGATCAGAAGGTCAGCGGTTCAAATCCCTGTGACAGGGTGAGCTCCCGTTGCTCGGTCCCTGCTCCTGCCAACCTAGCAGTTCGAAAGCACGTCAAAGTGCAAGTAGATAAATAGGTACCACTCCGGCGGGAAGGTAAACGGCATTTCTGTGCGCTGCTCTGGTTCGCCAGAAGTGGCTTAGTCATGCTGGCCACATGACCCGGAAGCTGTACACCGGCTCCCTCTGCCAATAAAGCAAGATGAGCGCCGCAACCCTAGAGTCGTCCACAACTGGACCTAATGGTCAGGGGTCCCTTTACCTTTACCTATAACTAGAAAGCAGAGTTTGCCCTCCTTGTCATTCTGGACGGAGAGTTGGGCAGGGTTGGGGAGACTTCAATGCCCTCATTAATTAGAAGGTTGAATTTTGCTCTGATTTTATATTTCTATCCTACCTTTCCAGCAGCAAATGTTGCGCTCAGAGTGGCTCCCGATTATCACAAAAGCATTGAAAAAACAGCCAACATTGCAATCACTGTGCCATCGAACACAATAACATATAAATCCAGCAAGCAGCAACCGATTCATTGAAATGATTTTTGCAATTCAGTACAGTCTTAGTCATTCAGAAAACCTCAAAAATCATTCATCAAAAAGATTAATACAGAGCTAACGAAACCGGAGTCAGTTGAGCAGATGAGCTTTAACCATTTGCATTAGTTAAATCTTCCAAAATGTAGAGGCAGGGACGCGTAGTGGTTAGTGTCAGACAAGGACCCGGGAGGCCAGGGTTCGAATCCCCCACTCGGAAACTCACCTTGGGAGCCCAGTCCCTGCCTCTCAGACTAACCTTCCTTGCGTGGTTGTGGGGATTAGATGAGGATGAAAAGGACCATAGTATTCTTGAAGAAGGGAGAGAGAGGTTGGGGGTTATGGAGGCAGCCTGAGAGTGATGGTGGTGCAAGGCCTCTGCTGCCCCCTGCAGCTTTTAAAAAGTAATAACAAAGCAACAAGCATTTTAAAAAAGTAAAGGTAAAGGACCCCTGACAGTTAAGTCCAGTTGCGGATGACTCCGGGGTTGTGGCTCTCATCTCACTTTACTGGCCGAGGGAGCCGGCGTTTGTCCGCAGACAGTTTTTCCGGGTCTTGTGGCCAGCATGACTAAGCCGCTTCTGGCGAACCAGAGCAGCGCACGGAAACGCCGTTTACCTTCCCGCCGGAGCGGTACCTATTTATCTACTTGCACAGGTGTGCTTTTGAACTGCTAGGTTGGCAGGAGCAGGAATCGAACAACGGGAGCTCACCCCGTCACAGGGATTCGAACCGCCAACCTTCTGATCGGCAAGCCCTAGGCTCAGTGGTTTAGACCACAGTGCCACCAGAGCCACATTAATAAGCATTTTACTGTATTTTAATTTTTAAAAGTGGAGCAAATTTTAAATTGGGAGATTTAAATTGGGAGCAATCAAGCCAACCGACTTCTTTTTAAACCCAGTGCTTTGTGTCTTTATGCCTCCATTCTGTTTCAAACCCTTTTCCTCTCCCTCTCTGACTCCCCCCATAAATGTACAGTGGTACCCTGATTCCCAAACTTAATCCATTCCAGAAATCCGTTCCAAAACCAAAGTGTTCCAAAACCAAGGCGCGCTTTCCCATAGAAAGTACTGTAATGCAAAACTGATTAATCCGTTCCAGACTTTTAAAAACAACCCCTAAAACAGCAATTTAACATTCTACCGAGACCATTGATCCATAAAATGAAAGCAATTATCAATGTACTGTACTATAAGACAGTATTGTAGATGATAAAAATTAAAATTAATTTTTTTCTTACCTGCACTGATTTCCGCAGTCACACAATCAATCAACCAATCAGGAACTGAACTGGGTTCCACACAGTCACAAAAACAAATTGATCAAAAAAGCTTCAAAAACAAAAACACAAAATAAATAGCAAAAACAAAAGCCCCAAACTTCATCAGTTCTGGAAGTCCATTTGACTTCTGAAATGTCCAAAATCCAAGGCACAGCTACTGATTGGTGAGGTGCCCCAGAAACAATAGCCAACAGTTGCATCGGATGTTCGGCTTCCGCAAAACGTTTGAAAACCGGAACGCTTATTTCTGGGTTTTCGAAATTTGAGAACCAAGGCATTTGAGAACCAAGGTACCAGTGTATACCCAAAGGGCCTTTTCACACTGTTCAGCTGGGGGGAAGGAGCTGTTTGCCACCCTGGGATCAGAAGGACAGACATGTTGATGTGCATCGCCCGTTCCCCAACATCTGGTGCCCTCCAGATGTTGCCAACCGCTCCTCCCTTTGGCCCTGACCTTCTGCCTTTGTGGGTGGGGGTAGACTGTGACCCCCGCTTGGGCGCAGTGGCCTGGTTGCAACAACCGGTGCCATCTCCAAAATCCAGGAGCGCAGAAGCAAAGAAATTCATTCTGTCCTCCCTTCTCCCTGAAAGAAAACCAGAGGGCCTATGGGGCTGCAGCAAGGCTGGCAAAGTGAAATTCTGTTAACATTCCTGCCCTCCCTCTCATTGCCCCCCTCCCAATAGAGCGGCCGCAAATCGGTGAAGTCTGTGCTTTGGGTCTCGGCGGATGGCTTGAGAGTTGTGGACGACAAGACCAAGGTACAAAGTTACTGCGGCTCAGAGCGCCTGCTCTGGATACGGACGGTTCTGGGTTCGAGTGATGCTCTTTGTGGCTTCCCCGGAGAGCCACGGCGGAGCCCCGGAAGCTGCCTTCTGCTGGCCCGAGGGCTCCTTGCGCTCCAGCATCAAAGCGGCGACATGGAGGAGCTTTAGCCTCGGGGAACAGCAGCCTCTGGGCGTGCGCAGAGAGCAGCTTCCGCTCGCACGATGCAAGCTCTCCCTTCCGCAGTGTCACGCCTGCCCTTTCCCTTTCTCCTCCCGCCAGGATCTGATTGTGGACCAGACGATTGAGAAGGTCTCCTTCTGCGCCCCAGACCGCAACTTCGACAAGGCCTTTTCCTACATCTGCCGGGACGGAACCACACGGCGCTGGATCTGCCACTGCTTCCTGGCACTGAAGGACTCGGTGGGTGGCGCCAGGGGGGCACACGGACTTTGCAGACCCGTGCATATGGAGCTCTTAACCATAGCTGTCAATCGTCCCTTATTTGGCGGGAAAGTCCCTTATCCCAGCGCCGTGTCCCGCTGCTGCCCCTTATTGATGATGTCCCTTAAATTTCCCGGGTTTCAAAGGAAGCAGCTCCTCTCCCTCCCTCCCTGCTGGCCAGGGAGGAGGGAGGCTCCACCTGTGTTGCTTGGCTGCGTTGCTCACCCAATAAGGAGTCTAAGAACAACTGAGGGGTGGAGCTTGCATGCCTTGTGCTGATCAAATCAGCCGTGTTGCCTGGGGACTTGCCTTTGCTCAGCGCTTCCCAGCGGAGAGGTGACTGTGGTTTTCCTTGCTGCATCCCCTTTGCCGGGTTGCTGCGCTGTGGGAACCACCGCTTGAGGCTTCGTTTGGTTGCTGGCTGGGCTTTCTGCCTTTGGCTGGGAGGGGCTTGGAAGTTGAACATACCTGTGCTTGGAAAAATCCCTTATTTTGGCTGCTGGTCCCTTATTTCCAAATCTGTAAGTTGACAGCTATGCTCTTAACGGTTTCTGATTTTATTGCATTGGTACCCTAACTTTTCCTCCACGGGACTCATGGTGTGGTTTGCCTTTGTTCTCGCTTCATTATGCATTTTGTGTTCTCACTTTGCATTTTTAGGTTGTGGTCCTTGGATGAAGGGCGGAATATAAACTTAATAAATGATAACAACAATAATAATCACAGAATCATAGAATTGGAGATTTGGAAGGAACCGCAAGTGTTTTAATGCAGCTCTCTGCAGCAGCAATAATGAAGAAAATAATAATAATAATAATAATAATAATAATGTATATGGTTCACTTCCTTCCTCATTTAATCCCCACAACAACCCCGTGAGGTAGGCCAGCCCAAGAGGCAGGGACCGGCCCCCAAGGTCACTCCATGAGCTTTGTGGTTGGGTGCAGGGATTCGAACCCTGATCCCAGTCTGGTACTCTAACCACTGCACCACCGCTGCCACTCTCCCCCTGACCGGCACCACCAGAACCGTAGATGCTGCTCTGGATGTCCTCCTGCAACGGGCGAAGCCTCAAAAATCACTTCACTGCCCCTTGGCACCCCCAAAGTACCTGCTGGCAACCCTAGAGCTGTGCGGATGCCGTGGGGTCCCTTTCCCCTGTGAGACCCCTCTTGTCATTGGGTGGAAAGGATCAGGTATAAAGCCTTTAACGCAGAGAGTCGCCATCTCTCTCATCCCAACCTACCTCACAGGGTTGTTGTAAGGAGGGGGACAAGTCTTCTTCAGCAAACGTCCCATAAATCTGCCTAGCCCTTTCTCAAAGCTGTCTTAAGTGAGTGGCTGCTGCGGCACCTTGTGGCAGGGAGTTCCGCAGGTTATCCCCCGACCGGCGTTTGGCGTGGTGTGCAGGGCGCAGGGGCCCGCCTTCCTCCTCAGCCGGTGCGAGGGCCGCCCCCCCCGGCCTTCCCTCTGGGCTGCTCTGACAGCCTCGTCCGCCTCTCCCCCTTGCAGGGAGAGCGCCTGAGCCACGCCGTGGGATGTGCCTTTGCCGCTTGCCTGGAGCGCAAGCAGAAGCGGGAGAAGGAGTGTGGCGTCACGGCCTCCTTCGACGCCACCCGCACCAGCTTCGCCCGCGAGGGCTCCTTCCGCCTGCCGGGACCCCCTGCCTCTGCCAGCCGACCCTCGGGAGCAAGGCCCCCGCAGGACAGGAAGAAAGGTAAAAACCCCGGACTTTGGGTGCATCATCTTCTCACACTGGCCAAATACCCCAAAGAACCGAGGAATCAAGATAGACTGCCCCTGTAGCTGGAGCTTCCATAAGAGTATCAGACGAGCCTGGCTTGCTGGATCAGGCCCATTTCCCATCGAATCCAGCCTCCTGCTCCCACTGGCCAACCAGATGCCCATTATGAGAAACATTGTGAGCAGGATTCGAACCCATGGCCCTCTCCCCTCCTTTGGTTTCCAGCAATTGGCATTCAGAAGCATTTATTGCCTCCAACTGCAGAAGCAAGGCAGAGCCCTCAATAGGCCTCTCCTCCCTGACTTTGTCCCATCCTCTTTCAAAGGCATCCCTGCCTACTGTGGCAGGGAGTTCCGCAGTTTGTGCGAAAAAGCCTTCTCTTTTATCTGTCCAACCTACAGGCTCATAGCACAAGTTCCAGTCTTAGGAGATGTAGCGTTTCCAAAGCAAGGAAGGACTGGACTCTGATTAATAAAATACACACGAGACTTGACCAGCAAGACTCTGGGAGGAGTGCGTTTAATAATAATTCCTGTCCACCCCTCGGCCCAGGTCGTTTTATTCACAAAAGAACTTTTTACACAGTGTTTGTAAGAACCAATCAGATTTCCTCTGAGCATTTCAAAAAACCCCACGTGGGACAAAGTTAAAGTTAAAACTACAAAGAAACTATTTCCTACTTGAGCATGCATAGTAAAGGTAAAGGTAAAGGGACCCCTGACCATTAGGTCCAGTCGCAGATGACTCTGGGGTTGTGGCGCTCATCTCGCTTTACTGGCCGAGGGAGCCGGCATACAGCTTCCGGGCCATGCGGCCAGCATGACGAAGCCGCTTCTGGCGAACCAGAGCAGCGCACGGAAACGCCGTTTACCTTCCCGCCAGAGCGGTACCTATTTATCTACTTGCACTTTGACGTGCTTTCGAACTGCTAGGTTGGCAGGAGCTGGGACCGAGCAACGGGAGCTCACCCCGTCACAGGGATTTGAACCGCCGACCTTCTGATCGGCAAGTCCTAGGCTCTGTGGTTTAACCCACAGCGCCACCCGCATGCATAGTAGTTCAAAATAAATAAAATAGGAATTGAGGAGGAATGCTTTTAGGAAACCCCGGAAGTCATAAACAGCAGTAAACAAGAGAGGAACGATGGCAGTATTTACCATCTCCTTGTGAACTCTCTTCCTGGCCCTTAAGATCTATCTATAGATTAAACTACATCAAAGCGACCTTCTATCTTTATGACCCAGGATGCCTGGTGAAGCAACTGGCCTGTGTTTTTTGAATGCTTATACAGTGGTACCTCGGGTTAAGTACTTAATTCGTTCCAGAGGTCCGTACTTAACCTGAAACTGTTCTCAACCTGAAGCACCACTTTAGCTAATGGGGCCTCCTGCTGCCGCCTCGCTGCCGGAGCACAATTTCTGTTCTTATCCTGAAGCAAAGTTCTTAACCTGAGGTAATATTTCTGGGTCAGCGGAGTCTGTAACCTGAAGCGTATGTAACCTGAAGTGTATGTAACCTGAGGTACCACTGTACGTGCCTGTCAGGCGTAGAGAAAGCAAATGGCAGAGGTGTGCAGAGGCTTGTGGGATTCGATCAGAAATTATTGTCAAGGAATCAAGCTCAGTCAACGTGATGCTTTCATCGCGGACACAACGGCTCGCTCCATGTTTCATAATTCCTCATAGCAATCCCACCTGACCCCCACACTCTGGATATTTGCACCCCTACAAAAAGGAGAATAAAAAACTGTCCGCTTTCTCCTTTCCATACATAAATCGTATAAAGGCGACCCCTTCCCCAACACCCCAAAATGTGGGCACTTCAGGGGGGCAGGGGAAGGAGGTGCAACCAGGGAAAGCTGGGCCAAGACTCCTTAGCAAGAGAAGCATGAGGTCCTGGGTTCAGGGACTCCTCTAAATCTTTGCTTTCTCCCCCTTCAGCCGAAGCAGCGACCGTTCCTGCGCCCCCCTCCCCAGCTCCCGCCCAGCCGGGCAGCGCCTCCCCTCCACAGGGGGCCACGTCGCCGGAGGAGAAGGCCGAGGTGGGGGGCGCCCACGCCATCCCACGCCGCCATGCGCCCCTGGAGCAGCTGGTGCGCCAGGGCTCCTTCCGGGGCTTCCCCACCCTCAGCCAGAAGAACTCTCCATTCAAGAGGCAACTCTCCTTGCGGCTAAACGAGCTGCCCTCCACCTTGCAGCGCAGGGGGGACACGGGTGAGGAATGGGGGGGCAGAGGGAGGTGAAGCGTGGGGGGCGCGCTTCGAGAGACCCTTTGGGTGCATGGCTGTCATTCCATGGAGGTTTTCAAACGTGCTTCCTCAATGGAGCTTCCACATGCCATGGCAGTCTACCTTCTGATTACCCTGGCGGGATAAACCATGCCAGGAGCGGGTATAAAAGACTTGTAATAATAATAATAAAAATAATAATAATAATAATAACCAGCCACTCTGGGCGGCTTCCAACAGAATATTAAAATACAATAACCTATTAAACATTAAAAACTTCCCTGAACAGGGCTGCCTTCAGATGTCTTCTAAAAGTCTGGTACTTGTTGTTCTCTTTGACATCTGGTGGGAGGACGTTCCACAGGGCGGGTGCCACCACCAAGAAAGCCCTCTGCCTGGTTCCCTGTAACTTGGCTTCTCGCAATGAGGGAACCGCCAGAAGGCCCTCGGCGCTGGACCTCAGTGTCCGGGTAGAACGATGGGGGTGGAGATGCTTCTTCAGGTATACTGGACCGAGGCCGTTTAGGTTTTTTGTTTCATTTTTGGAAATCTTTTCTGTTTCATTTCACGCCATATATAGAGCAAGAGGGAACCGTTATAACGACAGGTGAAACTTAGCCGTACCCCTTTGTGATTTGGGGTATATTACTTGCAAGATTCATGATAGATAAACATATTTTTTTTTTGTTTTAAAAAGAGAGAGAAAAATAAAAGATGGGGAAAAATCCAAACTATAAAATAGGCACGTAAACTGTGTGCGGCTGCTCGGGGGTTAAAATAAAGTCCAGGTTGTGAAAGACAAAAGCAAGAATAAATGTCTTCCGATGAAGAATATCGGTGCTATGGGGTCATTCAGTCTAGTTCCCAATTTGCCAGGCTTTTGAGAAGGATTGGCTTGGAAATGGTGCTTCCTTGTATGTGTATAATAAGGGAAATGCAAATAATATAAAAAGTACCTGAAGGTTCTAGTCCCTGTCGAAATCTCAAAGAATGCTTAATTTTCTCTAATCCAAAGCGAGTGGGCCTAAATGTCCAGCATTTTCCAGAGAGCTCCAATGACTATCTGAACTGCCTGTGTCACACATAAGACCAGCGGTCAGCAAACTTTTCCAGCAGGGGGCCGGTCCACTGTCCCTCAGACCTTGTGGGGGGCCGGACTATATTTTGGAAAAAATAATAAGGAATGAATTCCTATGCCCCACAAATAACCCAGAGATGCGTTTTAAATAAAAGGACACATTCTACTCATGTAAAAACACGCTGATTCCCGAACCGTCCCCGGGCCGGACTGAGAAGGTGACTGGGCCACATCTGGGCCCCGGGCCTTAGCTTGCCTACCATGCATAAGACCAATTCTTTTGACAATAGGTAAAGGGTAAAGGGACCCCTGACCATTAGGTCCAGTCGTGGCCGACTCTGGGGTTGCGGCGCTCATCTCGCTTTATTGGCCGAGGGAGCCGGCGTACAGCTTCCGGGTCATGTGGCCAGCATGACTAAGCCGCTTCTGGCGAACCAGAGCAGCGCACAGAAACGCCGTTTACCTTCCTGCTGGAGTGGTACCTATTTATCTACTTGCACTTTGATGTGCTTTCGAACTGCTAGGTTGGCAGGAGCAGGGACCGAGAAACGGGAGCTCACCCCGTCGCGGGAATTCGAACCGCCGACCTTCTGATCAGCAAGTCCTAGGCTCAGTGGTTTAGACCACAGTGCCACCCGCATCCCATATTTTGACAATACATCTCCATTAATTAATGCAACAACAAATAATAATAATAATAATAATATTTAGCAGCATTTCTCATTTATTCTTGCTATCTTTCTGCTGGCAGGTGAAGTCCTTTTTATTCCGACAGGGATTTAGGAACTGCCTGTTTTTTTAAGGAAAGGGTGCTGAGATGTTTTTATCGCTCTCATAATCTGCATTTTTAACAGATAATTAAAATTTATATTGTTTTAATTCTGTTAGTTTTCAATTACTTTTTAAAGGTGATCTATGTTTTCAGCTTTTTCTATCTTTCTATCCTGTAAGCTGTCTTGGCAAAATAAAAAGCGGGTATGAATTTGCTTTTTTTATTTCATAAAAGGTATGCACTGCTTGATGGTAGAAAAACAACCCCAGCACGGTTTACAAAAAGCGATTATCAATTTGAATTTTTTTTCTGACAGCCGTAATTAAAAACATACAAAAAGTTAGGACTTAAAACATGCATCAAACATCTAAGTAAGGCTTGTGGGGAGACTGAGGTCCAGGGGTTGTGCGTATTGTTGGGGGGGCCTCTTGATAGGGATGCTAGTTGGGAAACATGGGGTGCAAGCTGCTTTTGGGGGGACAGGCCCTTCTGAAATCCCTCCTCTCTCCCGCCAGTCATTGAGCTCGACTCGACACCCAACGGCGACTCCGACAGCATCACTGCCCTCTGCAGCCAGATCGACTCCTCGCTCACCCAGCCGGCCGGGGAGGCCCCCAATGGCACCCCACTTAACGGCACCCCTGGACCCACGGCAGCCGCAGTGCCCATGGAAGGGGGCAGCACAGGTATGTTGCCTCCGCCCCTCCCCAGAAAGGCCTATGCCCCACAGATGATGATAATAATAATAATAATAATAAAATTTATTATTTATACCCCGCCCATCTGGCTGGGCTTCCCCAGCCACTCTGGGTGGCTTCCTACAAAATATTAAAATACAGTCATACCTCGAGTTGAATGCGCTTTGGGTTGAGCGCCTTCGAGTTGCGCTCTGCGGCAACCCGGAAGTAACGTAGTGCGTTACTTCCGGATTTCGCCGCATGCGCAGACACTCAAAATGACGGCATGCGCGGTAGCGGCGAAACGCGACCCGCGCATGCACCATCGTGTCTTGTGTTCTGTTTGGGATGCGAACGGGGCTCCGGAACAGATCCCGTTCGCATCCCGAGGTACCACTGTACCGTAATACATCAAACATTAAAAGCTTCCCTCAACGGGGCTGCCTTCAGATGTCTTCTAAAGTCTGGGAGTTGTTTTTCTCTTTGACATCTGGTGGGAGGGCGTTCCACAGGGCGGGTGCCACCACCAAGAAGGCCCTCTGTCTGGTTCCCTGTAACTTGGCTTCTCGCAGGGAGGGAACTGCCAGAAGGCCCTTGGCACTGGACCTCAGTGTCTGGGTAGAACAGCTGGGAGGTGCAAAACCTGGCTTGACTAGCAGCGCGGGGTTTTAATATAGACCACAAGCCAACCGTGAGATGCAGCTGCAAAAAAGGCGAATGCTATTCCAGCCTGCATCCACAGAAGTTGAGTGTCCTGATCAAGGGAAGTCATAGTCCTGCTCTCTTCTGCCTTGGTTCAGACCATACCTGGAATACTGTGTCCTTTTCTGGGCACCACAATTTAAGGATATTGAGAAGCTGGAAGGTGTGCAGAGGAGGGCAAATGAGATGGTCAAGGGCTGGGAAACGAAGCCTGGTGAGGAACGGTTGAAGGAGCTGAGCCTGGGAAAGAGAAGATATGAAAGCCATCTTCAAATATCTCAAGGGCTGTCAGACGGAAGAGGGAACAAACTTCTTTTCTCCCACTTTGGGGAAGAGAAGGACCCTATCCTCTGGCTTCAAGGTGCAAGAAAGTATTGCAGATATTAATAGTTTGCAGCACAGATGCATAAAAACTGACTCCTTTGGGGATGTAACATTGTCCAAACCCAGCGATAGGCAAACTCCGGCCCTCCAGATGTTTGGGACTACAATTCCCATCATCCCTAGCTAACAGGACCAGTGGCCAGGGATGATGGGAAATGTAGTCCCAAACATCTGGAGGGCTGGAGTTTGCCTATGCCTGGCCCAGACCCATACAGTTTGACTACTGTAATTCGCTCTACGCGGGGCTGCCCTTGAAGCTGTCCCAGAAACTCCAGCGGGTGCAGAATGCTGCAGCGAGGCTCCTCATGGGGTCTCTGCCATGGGAGCATAGTCACCCAGTGCTTTTCCAGCTGCACTGGCTCCTGGTGGAGTACAGCGTCAGGTTCAAGGTGCTGGTTTTGACCTTTACAGCCCTTCACGGCCTAGGACCCTCGTACCTACGGGACCGCCTCTCCCGGTATGCCCCACGGAGAGCCTCAAGGTCCATAAACAGCAACACCCTAGAGGTCCCAGACCCTAAAGAAGTCAGATTAGCCTCAACCAGAGCCAGGGCCTTTTCAACACTGGCCCCGGCCTGGTGGAACACTCTGCCTCATGAGACCAGGGCCCTGCAGGATCTGATTTCTTTCCCCAAGGCCTGTAAGACAGAGTTGTTCCGCCTGGCCTTTGGCTTAGAATCAGTTTGATTCCCTCCCCCTCTTTCTTTTCCCTTCTCCTCCTGTGATGAGGCTGCATTTTAATATTTTAATGTTTCAGTATTTTAATGTTGTACAGTGGTGCCCCGCAAGACGAATGCCTCGCAAGACGGAAAAACCGCTAGACGAAAGGGTTTTCCGTTTTGAAGTTGCTTCGCAGGACGAATTCCCCTATGGGCTTGCTTCGCAAGACGAAAATACCTTGCGAGTCCTGAGATTTTTTTTTTGCTTTTCCCCCCCTTTATCTAATCTGCTAAGCCTTTAATAGCCTTTAATAGCCTTTTAGCAGCTAATCCCCTAAGCCTTTAAGCCTTTAATAGCCGCTAAACAGCTGATAGCGCTATTAGCGCTAATCCGTCAATGGGCTTGCTTCGCAAGACGAAAAAACCGCTAGACGAAGACTCTTGCGGAACGGATTAATTTCGTCTTGCGAGGCACCACTGTATTTTAATCTTGTTTTTAAGTTGTATTCATTCAATTTGTTTTTATTATTGCTTGTTAGCCGCCCTAAGCCCGGCCTTGGCTGGGGAGGGCGGGGTACAGTGGTGCCCCGCAAGACGAATGCCTCGCAAGACGGAAAACCCGCTAGACGAAAGGGTTTTCCGTTTTGGAGGTGCTTCGCAAAACGAATTTCCTGTGTGCTTGCTTCGCAAGACGAAAATGTCTTGCGAGTTCCTGCGGGGTTTTTTCCTTTCCCCCCCCTTTTTCCCAAGCCGCTAAACCGCTTATCAGCTGAAGGGCTAAGCCGCTTATCAGCTGTTCGCTAAGCCGCTTATCAGCTGTTCGCTAAGCCGCTTATCAGCTGATCTGATAAGCCCGCTAAACCGCTAATGGGCTTGCTTCGCAAGACGAAAAAACCAGCAAGACGAAGAGACTCGTGGAACAGATTCTTTTCGTCTTGCGAGGCACCACTGTATAAATAAAAATTATTATTATTATTATTATTATTATTATTATTAATATTAAAACTTTACTTGCAGAACTTTCTTCAAAACTGCGCGACAACATCAAAGATACATCCAGTTAATTCCATTAGAGAGAGGCATAGGCTCAGCTTCTTCTTAGAAGTATTGCATAGTTCCAAACAGACTTGGAATCAAAGTTCTTTCTCTCTCTCCTCACAGCTGTCAATAGCCTATAGCTGTTTTCTTTTCTTCCCGGAGAGTCGTTTATTCTTCCTTCCTTCCACGCTGGCTGGGAACGGAAGACTAACCCAGGGCTTCCGAAACTTGGGTGTCCTGCTGTTTCCAGACTACAATTCCCATCATCCCTGACCGGAGATCTTGCTAGCTAGGGATGATGGGAGTTGTAGTCCAAAAACAGCTAGACGCTCAACTTTAGGAAAAACGCTGGACTAAAGGCAGTCCCTTTTCAAAATGGAGATTTGCAACCAAATAGCTTTTCTCACATGTCCAAAGGCACTCACTCTGTTTGAGAGCGGAGAATATCTGACAGCTAATTATGCACCAGCTAAACTCCGGTGGGATTTCCCCAGAGTTAGCAACACACAAGCCAGGCGGTCTCCAGTTCAGTGTCAATACCACGCTTGGCAGAAAGGAGAGGGGCGACCGAACATTCAATTTCCTTGGAGCTTTTACAGCGGAGATTGGGTGGTCATAATAATAATAATAATAATAATAATAATAAATAATAAATAATATTTTTTATTATTATTATTATTATTATTATTATTATTATTTATGTATACCCCACCCTCCCCAGCCCAAGACCGGGCTCAGGGCGGCTAACAACCAATAATAAAAACGAGTTGAATGAATACAACTTAAAAACAAGATTAAAATACAACATAAAAACATTAAACTGCAACCTCATCACAGAAGGAGAAAGGAAAAAAGAAAGAGAGGGAGGGAGGGAATCAAATTGGCTCCAAGCCAAAGGCCAGGCGGAAGAACTCTGTTTTACAGGCCCTGCGGAAAGAAATCAGATCCTGCAGGGCCCTGGTCTCATGAGGCAGAGCGTTCCACCAGGTCGGAGCCATCACTGAAAAGGCCCTGGCTCTGGTTGAGGCTAATCTGACTTCCTTAGGGCCCGGGACCTCTAGGGTGTTGCTATTTATGGACTTTAAGGTCCTCCATGGGGTATACCAGGAGAGGCGGTCCCGTAGGTACGTGGGTCCTAGGCTGTGAAGGGCTTTAAAGGTCAAAACCAGCACATCTGGAGATTCTTGCCTAACAGGGGGTTGGACTAGATGACCCCTGGGCGCCCCCCCAGCCCTACGACTCCTCCTCTCCCGTCCTCCTGGACTGAGCTGCTTTTCTCTTCTCCCTCTTGTCCTCTGCAGGTCCCTCGGCCGGAGCCCCCGTCACCCCCCCGTTCCAGCCGGGCCACAAGCGGACGCCCTCAGAAGCTGAGCGCTGGCTGCAGGAAGTGGCCAAGGCCGCGAAGGCCCAACAACAACAGCAGCAGCAGCAGCAGCAGGTGCCCGTGGCGCTGCCCGCCTTCCCCCTGAGCTACGACGTGGGGCCCCCGCCCCTGGGCATGTTTGTGCCGCCCCCTTCTCAAATGCTGCCGGCTTTCCTCCCCATGGGCATGCAGTACCCCCCGGGGATGCCCTACGCCGCCGCCGCCGCCGCGCCCAGCTTGCCCGTGGTGGGCATCACCCCCTCCCAGATGGTGGCCAATGCCTTCTGTTCCGCCACACAGGCGCCTGCCGCAAACTTGGGGGCCAAAGCCAGCCCCTTTCCGCAGAACCTGCTTGGCCCGGCCCGGCCCAGGCCCAACGGCGGCTCCTGGCCCCCCGAGCAGAGCCTGCCGGCGCCCCCCGCCCCCCGCCAGGAGCCCCCCACAGACCCCTTTGAAGCACAGTGGGCGGCGCTGGAGTCCCGGGCTCCTTCCGCAACCCCCAACCCCTTCTCCGGCGACCAGCAGAAAACCTTCGAGATCGAGCTGTGACCGCCACGTTTCCGCAACTTGGACTGCCGGGGGCCGCTCTGCTCTCCTTTCCGGCGCCCTCCCCGCCACAGAGTCCCGCCTGCGGGCTGTCAACGTTCTCGGACTCCATTTCCCATCAGCCCCAGGGGCTGGCATCCGCCAATGGCCCGGGGGTTTGGGGAGCTTTTTGTTGCTTCTGGTGGGGTGTCCCTCCTTGTCTGGTTGGGGGGCTCCGTTTATTTCTCTCTTGCTCCCCAGAGGAAACGAAAGAGGGGGCCGAGGTGCGGGTGCAGGGGGGGCCCCTTCTCTTGCCATAACGTCCAGAGTTTCTGCCCCTGGGCATTTGGGGCGACGGTGAATCCAGCTGGCCTGGCGCTGCCTCGTTTTGTGCTTCCTTTATTCCCCTTCGTTTGGTTGAGCAGCCCAAAGACTCTCTTCCCTGGCCTGTCCCTGACGCGGCTGCCTTCTGCAGAGCCCCCCCCTTGCCCCCCTACATAATCAACTCCTCAGGCAGCACCTTGCAAGCGACAGAGTCATTCTTTGGAGGGTTCAAATCCCTGCAGCGGGGAGTTCCCCAGCTCCCTGAGCACATGAAACCTCTCTCCTCGCAGCCCGGTGGCAGCAAATGCCCTGAGGCAGAAGCCGTCCTGGGCAGGGGCAGAGACACCGTGCGAGTGGCAGAGTCGTGCCCCATTTTGGGCAGTGCTCAGGTGGGAGTCAAGGCCCCTTAAGGCCCTTCAGTGGCTGGAGTGGGGAGGGGGAACCCTTACTTCTTAGTAGGCCTCTGTGCATTGCAGGGGGGGCCGCGATCTCACCTGCACAACATTTAGAGCGGATCGTGCCCAAGCAAATGGTTTTATCTCACTTTTGTCTGGTGGAAACTTCCGGTGTTTTTAAACGACATTCCCAGCTACGATTGGCGCTCGGATTACAGGGAATCTGTGGGGTGAGGCGACGGACACCCCCACGTCGAAGCTGCTGATTTTAGAAATCTGCCCGATTGACAACGGCTTGGATAAAATTGGTGGGGTGGGCTTGTGGGTTTCCTACCTTCCTTCTGCCCCCGCCCCCCTTAATAATTTGATCTCCGCTGTATTTTTATTTTTATTTTTGGAACGGGGGAAGGATAAAAGCCCCTAGGATGTAAAATTATATTGAATTCGGCAAGGGAACCGTCTTAATTTTTTATTTTGTTTTTAACCGTGCCTCAAAGTCAAATTCCAGTAATGGAACTGAATAATTTCAAAATGTGGTTGCAGCAAAAAAACACGCCCCCAGTGGTTGTGCTGCAGAAAAAGTGTGAATGTTAGGAGAGGGAGGGGGGAATTTGGTTCTGCAGCTGCAGGGAGTGCCGGACATGGGGGGGGGAGGAAATACAATGGACTGTCCCCCCCCCCCCCGGAAAACCAGATGTTGGACTGCAGGTTCAGTTTAAGAAGAATCCAGCCACGCTTCTGCCGTTTGGGGTCTGTGGCAACCCCCCCCCCCAGGCGATGGAGCTGGTGAGCCTGGTACCATTTGTACCGGGGGGGGCACACATCACGCTTGATGCCCCCCCCAACTGAGTAGCCATTCCTTCCTCCGCCCCCTCCCACCTAGAGAGCATACAGGGGGGCTGGGGCTGGGGGTGGAAGGGGGCTCTGGTTCTCCTGCCCCCCCAAACTGCCTGGACACAGAAAATCCCTTCCCCTCCCCCCCCCCCCGCTTTCTATTTTCTATCTTATTTCCAAATGTTTTGTATCTAAGAATTCCACATATTTGTATTATATAATAAATGACAAAATAAAGCCAGTAATATAATAGCCCAATTTTGAGCCTGGTATGTTTATGTGGCATAAAAAAAAGCAGAGACATCACCTTGCCGACAAAAGTCCATATAGTTAAAGCTATGGTTTTCCCAGTAGTGATGTATGGAAGTGAGAGCCGGACCATAAAGAAAGCTGATCGCCGAAGAATGGATGCTTTTGAATTCTGGTGCTGGAGGAGACTCTTGAGAGTCCCATGGACTGCAAGAAGATCAAACCTCTCCATTCTGAAGGAAATCAGCCCTGAGTGCTCACTGGAAGGACAGATCCTGAAGCTGAGGCTCCAATACTTTGGCCACCTCAGGAGAAGAGAAGACTCCCTGGAGAAGACCCTGATGTTGGGAAAGATGGAGGGCACAAGAAAAAGGGGAGGACAGAGGACGAGATGGTTGGACAGTGTTCTCGAAGCTACCAGCATGAGTTTGACCAAACTGCGGGAGGCAGTGGAAGACAGGAGTGCCTGGCGTGCTCTGGTCCATGGGGTCACGAAGAGTCGGACACCACTAAACAACAACAACAATATTTATATGGAGGTTTTTGGTCGTCATCATCGTCATCGTCCCCCCCCCCCCAGGAGCAGCAGGAGGAACTTTGCGGGGAGGGGCTGGCTGGGCGTTTTGCAGTATTAATGCTGTTTTTTTCCATTTCCAAAATAAGGAACTTCTAGGTGAGCTTGTAATTTTTGCTTTTCAAAAAGCTTCCGAGCATTTCTGAGGAGGAGAGCAGCTGGACACACACACACACACACACACACACACACACACCTCTGCCTGCTTTTCATTTTTATCCTGCAGCATGAAATGAGTAATAAATCACAACAGTTCCCACAAAAATTCATGAGAGCCTTTTAAAAGCCACGACTGAAGAGGCAAATGAGTTTCTCGTCTCCTGCGTTTGGGATCCTCTGTGCATTTCTGGTCCCTTCTCTGCCAAAAAAAAAGGATGTTGCAGGAGTTGGGAAAAGTTCAGAAAACGGCAAACGTTCCGGCACAACTCCCTGGGAGGAAAGGTTGCAGCATTTGGGACTTTTTGGAGATATGGCGAGTAAGGCGACAGGGCAGAAGTATATAAAATTGTGCCTGGAATGGGAAAAGTAGAGAAAAGGTTATTTTTCTCTTTCTCTCAAAGCATCCGTACTCCTGAGCAAGCAATGGAACTGAAGGCTGGAAGATCTGGGAAAGATGGAAGAAAGTCCTTCACGAAGCCGAGAGTTAAACGGTGGAACTCCCTCCCACAAGAGTCCCAATAACTAGGTAAAGGTAAAGAGACCCCTGACCATTAGGTCACGGATGATTCTGGGGTTGCGGCGCTCATCTCGCTTTACTGGCCGAGGGAGCCGGTGTACAGCTTCCAGGTCATGTGGCCAGCACGACTAAGCCGCTTCTGGCGAACCAGAGCAGCGCACGGAAACGCTGTTTACCTTCCCGCCGGAGCGGTACCTATTTATCTACTTGCACTTGATGTGCTTTCGAACTGCTAGGTTGGCAGGAGCAGGGACCGAGCAACGGGAGCTCACCCCGTCGTGGGGATTCGAACCGCCGACCTTCTGATCGGCAAGCCCTAGGCTCTGTGGTTTAACCCACAGAGCCACCCGCATCCTCCAATAACTAGGAAGGCTTTGAAAGAGGAGTGGGCAAATTCATGGAGGGCTTGGGGGGCTACTGGCTAGGATGTTTGCGGGCAGCCATGCTTCTGAATCCCAGTTGAAGGGGATCTCAGGAAGACCATATGTTTTCCTGCTCTCATCTTCCTCTCAGGTTTCCAATAACGGACATTGGGCTGGACACTGGGAGAAGAGGGATGCGGGCCTGATCCTGCAGACACTTCTTAGGTTCTTAAGCACAAAGTTACTTTGGAAGGAAGAAGGCCACTTATTGGTTTATTTTACAAAATGTTTATACTGCTTGGTTGTAAGGGAAACCTCAAAGCGGTTTGCAAAAAGATAAAATATTAAAATCAATTTTTGAAAATTCGGAACATACAAAAGCAAAAATACTAATACGAGTTAAAGTGGCCTCAACCTTCCTAGGGGTCTAGGGGTCAGCAAACTTTTTCAGCAGGAGGCCGGTCCACTGGGGGTCGGTCAGACCTTGTGGGGGGCCAGACTATTTTTTGAAAAAAGAAATGAACGAATTCCTCTGCCCCACAAATAACCCAGAGATGCATTTTAAATAAAAGCACACATTCTGCTCATGTAAAAACACCAGGCAGGCCCCACAAATAACCCAGAGGTGCTTTTTAAATAAAAGAACAGATTCTACTCATGTGAAAACACGCGGATGCCTGGAACGTCCACTGGCTGGATTTAGAAGGCGATTGAGCCAGATCCAGCCCCCGGGCCTTAGGTTGTCTACCCACTAGGGGGACGGAAAGCTAGCTCTAGAACTCCTTTTCCTTTTTTTGTTAAATCTCTTTATTTATTGAGTTTTACATTGCAGATTTTAGATTTAAACATCAACATCACCATTTAGGAATTCCTGAATCCTTTGACTCCCCTCCACCCTTCCATGGTTACCATTATCAATCTTTTTTCAACTGCTTCACTTATTTTCTCTATTTTTCTTAAAGAATCCATTTTTACCTTAAATTTTAGTACATTACAAGCGTCACTCAAATCCTGCCAAAGTTTTTAGTAGTTTACAGTGTTCTCTTAAATACATTGTAAAATTTTCCCCATTCCTTCTTAAAGTAGTTCTCTTCCTGGTTTCTGATTTTCCCGATCATTTTTGCCATTTTGGCTTAGTCCATCATCTTCATCAACCATTCGTCTCTGGTCGGGACTTTATCTTCTTTCCATCTCTGGGCCAGTAATATCCAGGCTGCTGCTGTTGCATAAAATAAATAGTATTTTCTGCTCCTTAGGTATCTCTGCACCTAAAATTACTAATAAAAATACCTCTGGTCTAGAACTGCTTTTCCATGCCAGCTTGCCTCTGAGGATATGCAGAGTGTCCATAGGCAACAGGCAACAATGGACATCTCTCTTCAAGGCTTTTAGGTTTCCTCTTCAGTGGTGACGATGACCCTGCCACACACACTGGTGGGCCAGGGTCTTCTTGCCCCTAGTCCCCACATTGGCACCCTGCAGCCCCCTACCCCATAATATTGTGGGGCTCCCCACCTAGCAGGGGCCTGTAGGCAGAGGGAGAGGCTCAGCTGGCCCTGAAACAGGAGTGGAAGGACGCTGACAAGGACTCTGAGCATGTACAGAGTGCTGGACCCTGAGCAGCTCTCAAATTTGCATTTGGGACACACAGGTGGGCTTGACTTGCAGGAAATTTGACGTTAGCGGGATGGGTTGTGCCCTCACTTTCAGAGTGACCCCAAAATAATATATGTATTGGCTGTGCACACACAAATATGACCCCCTCAATAAATTCCTTCTCCCCACCCAGCAGAATCTAGGCTGGAGAAGGCAGCTGTGTGGGGGTTTTTGGGGGGTTCCCCCTGCAGCCCTCCTGATGTTGCTGCTGCTCCCAGAATCACCCCTGACGTTTGACCCTGCTGGCTGATGGGGGTCCAACCACCTACCTAGGGCAGGCCCTCCAGCTGTTTTGGGACTACAACTCCCATCATCCCTAGCTAACAGGACCAGTGATCAGGGACGATGGGAGTTGTAGTCCCAAAACATCTGGAGGGCTGAGTTTGGGGGTGTCTGATCTAGGGCCACAGGATTCTGTAGGGAAATGCCCTGATCACCTGGGGGGGGGGGGAGTGCTAAGGAATTCTCCATGCACAGGCACGCGGCGCCCCCCCCCCATCTGTAGGGAAATGGGGCAGTGTGTGATGGGCTCGGGAGGTCCTGCCCCCCCCCCAAGCTCTTCTGTGCCTGGGCTCTGAAATGGGGAGGGAAAATGCACTCTACACTCGTTTAGGAGCACCCTTGTCTTCAGCACAGCTTCCCCATTAATTGGGTTGGTGGGGCGGGGAGGGGGCGCGCGCTAAGCCTGGGCATGGAATTAAGGCGAGATTCCAGAATCCCCTTCTGACTACACAATCGAGATACCAACACACACACACCCAAAAAATAATAACCCGACACAGAAAGGGCTTCCAGCTTGGAGATCAAAGAAAGCCAGGATTTAGGGTTCCTTCCATCCTTCCTTCCTACACCCCAATAATTGATGATGACCCCTGCACCTGCAGATGCTTCTGCAACCGCCTCCCTTTAAATGCAATCGCACAAAAGTGCGCGCTAACCAGATGCAAACTGCATTTTTATTTATTTATTTCAGCGCGATTTATACGGGGAGCTGCCACCCCTCCTCTCTCCTCCCCCCCCTCTTTTTTTTTTTATCCCGCACCCAACCTCCCTCTCAGCTGTCAAACGCAAGGCCCTCTGGGAGGTGTAGTCCCCTGGTGGCAGCCGCCTGGCACTCTTCCCCCCCCACCCCCTGCAGCGGCTTGCAAAGGAAGGAGAGAGAAAATAATAATGCAAAACAGAAAAAAGGAAAAGAATTGGGGTGGAGGCGGAGAGGAAGGTTTCTGTGCAACCCTGGGACTACATTCCCCATGGTGCACCGGGGCTCAAAGGAGCTGGGCTGTGATTGGGCCCCCCCTTCCTGCAGGCTGCTGGAGAATGAATAAAATTGTACAGTATATTCTGATGTGAGAGGTTTAAAAAAAAAAAAGCAAAAGAAAGAAAGAAAGAAAAGGAGAAAAAAAAATCCTCTCTGCTCCTCCAACCCGCCAGCCCTGGAAGCCAGAGGCACCTCCACATCTTCCCAAAATGGCTACAGCTGTGCACAAGCCTATCAAATGGTGAGTGGGTGCCCCACATCTGGGGGGTGGCAGGTCCCCCCTCCCCCAGGCATGGGGGGCAGGCGAGCGCAGGGAGGAGAGGGATGGATGCCTCGCCTTCTCCCCTCGGCGTGGATGGCTTTGCAGGGCGCGCGAGGGAGAGCGGCGGGCAGCCGAGGGGCTCCGGCGTCGCGGCTCCTGGTCCTTGCGAGGGAGGGAGGGAGGGAGGGGAGGGCGAAGGGGGGCGGAGTGGGGGTGGGTGAGGGGCTCGGGATGGGAGAGGCCGGCCGGGCTTCCATTGCAGCCACACGGTGCAGGTGGGGGGCGGCTGCTGCTGCTGCTACCGCCGCTGCTGCCAGAGGGGCACGCCGGAGATGGGCGCACCGGGAGAGGGTGCCAGTTTGCGCGCGCCCCTGTACAAAGCGCCCGGCAGTTGTGGTGGTGGTGGTTGGTGGCTGGGGGGGGGCGCCTTGGGGAGAGACTCCCTCGGGGGCAGCGCGAGCGCGCGCGCGGATCCTGAGTGTGGGCAGGGTGCCCGCCGGTGTTGTGTCTGGGTACCCTCCGTGCGTATTTGCGCGTGCAAAAAGGGTCTTGCACAACCGGCAGCCGGGCATGCACCGGCTCCAAGGGAACAGGTGTGCGGAGGTTGGGTTGGGGGGTCACCTCGGCCGCGCCCCCCCCCCAACCTCTGCGCCCCTTCCCGACTGCCCCTGTTGTCAGAGGGTCTGTGTGCAAAAGGATTACTCTGCGGTGGGTTCCTTCCCAGGACCAAGGGGTTTGGGCATCTGGGGTGGGGTTTGTTTTTCTTCCCTCCCTCCGTCCCCCCCCCCCAAAAAAAACCCAGGATGCAGGAGCTAAAGGCCAGAGCCGCTTGGCCTCCCAGCCCCGGTGTGTGTTTAACAATTGCTATAACATTTTAACATGAAGGTTTGGTTTCCAAAAAAACCGGGACAGACTTGGGTGCCAAGGCTGGAATGGAAAGCCAGTCTGCCCCTCTGAGGCGCTTGTGGGATGGCAGGGATTGGTCATTGGCGAGGGGAAGGCCCTCTGTGTATGGGCAGAGACACTCTTATCCTTACTGTGACGCTGTCCTGAAGCCTTGTCTTTGAAAGCAGGGGGAGCTTTCACACAAATCCACCCTTTGGGGTACCAACCAGTCTGCCCTTCCTGGACCCCTTGTTTTGCGTTTTATCATAAGGGACCCACGAGGGACATCTAGTCCAACCCCCTGCAATGCAGGAATCTTGGCTGAAGAACCCCTGACCTCTGTTTAAAAGCCTCGAATGAAGGAGGCTCCACCACATTCCTAGGGTGTCAAAGAACTCTTACCACCAGAAAGTTCTTCCTAACGTTTCATCGGAATCTCCTTTCTTGTAACTTGAATTTATTGGTTCAGGAGAAAACAAATTGGCTCCCTATTCCGTGGGACAGCCCTTCAGATATTTGAAGATGCCTACCCTACCCGCACTCAGTCTTCTCTTTTCCAGGCTACACCCCCCAACTCCCTCAACCGCTCCTCATAAGGCTTGACACCTTCCCTGCCTTCATTCTGGACCCCTGTCCTCACTTTGTGGCAAGTAGTTCCACAGGTGAAACCGCCTCTTCCCCCTCACCTGCCTTGCCCCTCTGCAGTACAGAGAGGGATACTCCTCAGACACCATCACCCCCATACACCCCAGGCCTGCTATTTCCTGATGGCTCCATCAAGGCACTTCTTCTGGTGCAGTGCAGGGTTCACCTATGGAACTCCTTCCCACAAGGCAGGGATGGCCACCAAACTGGATGGCTTTAGAAGAGGATTGGCCAGGATGGCTCTGCTCTGCCTCCAGTAAATGATTCTGCAAACCGCAGGAGGGGAGAGGGGGGCTCTTGCGGTCAAATCCTGCTTTGTGGGCTTACTACAGTTATCTGGTTGGCTACTGCGAGAACAGGATGCTGGAATCACTGGGGCACTGGCCGCATCCTGCAGCCTCTTCTTAAGGGTGCATATGAGGCTTAGCCACATGGGCCCAGGGCACACATTTGCATGATGTTTGCATATGTGAAGTTATACATATAGATGCAATTTCCAGCTGACTTTTGGGGGGACACATGAGAAATTCTGGGTAGCAGGGCATCCTCTGTGCAATGGGATGGTGTCAGCAGGTTTTCTGAGCCTGGGACGCTGAATGTGGTGGATTGGGCCCTCCTCTGCTCCACCCATAATCTGTGGCTTATGTTCCCTGGAAAACTGAGAGGCCTCTGGACGGATTAAAGGTAAAGGGACCCCTGACCATTAGGTCCAGTCTTGGCCAACTCTGGGGTTGCGGCGCTCATCTTGCTTTATTGGCCGAGGGAGCCGGCGTACAGCTTCCAGGTCATGTGGCCAGCAGGACTAAGCCGCTTCTGGCGAACCAGAACAGCGCACAGAAATGCCGTTTACCTTCCCACCAGAGCGGTACCTCTTTATCTACTTGCACTTCGTGCTTTTGAACTGCTAGGCTGGCAGGAGCAGGGACCGAGCAACGGGAGCTCACCCCATCGCGGGGATTCGAACTGCCGACCTTCTGATTGGCAAGTCCTAGGCTCTGTGGTTTAACCCACAGCGCCACCTGCGTCCCTTAATCTGGACGGATTAAGATGGCTTTACTGGGGAGAGGGGAGCTGCCTCTCTGGCCCTGGGCTTTAATAGAAAAAAGTTACTTATGGGGCATTTTATTTTGAAAAAGGAGGGAAATGAGCAGGAGATCTGGGCCCCTTGCAAAAGGCCAGAGTTTCAGGTCTCCTGAGCTACCCCCCTCCACAACATCTCTAGGCTCCACATGTTCTTTGTTACTGCCCTAGAACCAAAAAAGGGATGTGGGTCACCTCCGCCCGTATCTATGTTTGCAGTTGTTTATTTGGAGAGAGTCTGCTTTGGGATTGAGCATCTCACTGCAGTGGTGCAGCCAGCCAGGCCCTTTGGGCTTTTCAGTGTTTAGCAACCAGATTCTTGCTGGTTTGCACTTGATCTTCCCTGAGGCTTCTTTTGATAGAGTTCCAGGTCAGAGACCTCTCCAGGTTTTGCTGCTTTGAGTCTTTGTCAGCAAACGTGTGAGGGATTCGGGGTTGAGTTTCTGTTGCTTTATACGTTTGGCCTTCAAGTAGGGCAAGAGAAAAGCATTCAAGAACGGAGCAGCTGGTTCGGCCCAGAACTTCTTGCAGTTTAATCAGCATGAGCTTTGCAAGAGCTCAGCTGTAGTTTGGGTTAAGAAGCATGTGCTTTGCAAGAGCTCAGCTGCAGCTTGACAAGCAGAAAACACGCCTTGTAAGGTGTAAATATGACAACAAGAAGAAGACAACTGTCTGAGTGATCTTGGCTCTTAAGAGAGGTGCAGAAATGTGGGCCTTTCTCCTTACAGTTTAGGCGAAGATTTCTACCGGGAAGCCATTGAGCACTGCCGCAGCTACAATGCCCGGCTATGCGCAGAGCGGAGCATGCGCCTGCCCTTCCTCGACTCCCAGACGGGGGTCGCCCAGAACAACTGCTACATCTGGATGGAGAAGACTCACCGGGGACCAGGTATGGGGTCTAGGGGCTGCGGGTGCTCTCTGAGGAGGGCACCCTGTGCTGGGCGCTGTACATAGAGCGGACCCTTCTCTGGGGGCCTTGGGGGTCCGCGTGTGTCCGGAGGAGGGTGGGGGGAGAGGGGAGAAGGAATGTGCAGCAGCCATGAAAAGGGCAAATTCCATGCAAGGGATCCTTAGGCAAGCAACTGAAAATAAAACTGCAGGTATCGTAATGCCCTTAAACAAATTGATTGTGTGGAGTAATGCATTTGGAATAACAGGATCCAGTTCTGGTCGCCTTGACTCGAAAAGGAGTTGGAAAAGGTTCAGGAAAGGGCCACCAAAATGATCAAGTGAGTGGGACTCCAAGAAAGGTGGCAACGTTTGGGACTTTAGTTGGGATGAAAGTAAACAAGTCGTGCTATGGAAGGAAGGACAGAGGAAAGTTTCCCTCCCTCTCTTGCCGGTTTCCCACACGCAGCTGTTCAGCCTGGGCTGGATGGGCCCGTGGCCAGATCCAGTAACCCATTCTCATGTTCTTAAGGAACTGCGTGAAGGGGAGGCAAAATGCAGCCAGGAAGCTGAGAGACAGAGAACTTTGACCTCATGTGGACTAGAGCCTTGAAGGTGGCATTGGAGAGATGCAGGCTGGGAGACTCAGGCGGCCCCCACGGTCTTGACTCTTCCCCTTCCCTCCCGCAAAGTAGCTGGACAAAAACGAAAATCTAAGTTTTGCCTCAGTGGCGGAAAAATGACGAGGGATTTTTCAAGGGGATAAATGGATGGCAGGTAGCCATAGCTGTTCAGCCCAGGCCAAATCCCAATTCCTTCCTCCACCCCACCCCCCCCTGTCCTGCAAAGTTTTGTGGGGGGGGGGGTATTTTTTGCCGCTAACCTTCCCCTCCTTTAGGGCTGGCTCCGGGCCAGATCTACACTTACCCGGCTCGCTGTTGGCGGAAGAAGCGACGGCTCAACATCTTGGAGGATCCTCGCCTGCGGCCTTGTGAGTTCAAGATTGGTAAGGAGTGGGTGGGCAGCAGGGTGGGGAGGGGGGTGCCAGGGCAAGTGTGGCCCCTGCATCGCGGGGCTGTAGAGCCCGAAGGCTCCCAAAGGTCATCCAGCCCAACCCCGGAAGGCAGGAATCGCAGGGGGCAGGCTGTGTGTGTGTGTGTTTATTGAAAATTTCAACATGACAGATTATCAAAACGTATCTTCTTTTCATGCCCTCCTCATTCTTTTCCCCTCCCCAAAAGGAAACCCTCCCTCGCCCCCCCACCCCCGAGACGTCCCTCAGTTCCTCTCTCTGATTTTTCAACACATATTATTCTCTGCATATTATCAAATTGTCAAGATCTTTGAATCGTCTGTCTATTATGTTAACAGCCAATAAGTTTGTGTATGTTTATTCGAAACCTGCCAAGGAGTCCAATTCATTTTGTTGTTTCTTTAAGTACTTTGTAAAAGGTTCCCATCATTCTTTAAAGTCACAGTTGTCCTTGTCCCGTTGTTTGTGTGTCAATTTTGCCAGTTCCGCATAGTCCCTCAATTTTTCTTGCCAGTGTGAGTGTGTGTGTTTGGAGAGGGGGGTGTCCGGTGCCACCCCAGGAAGGTAATCTCAGTCTAGTAAGGTTGCAGATCAGAAGCAGAGCGGAGCAGGGAAAATACTTAAGATTGTAGCTAAAATATGGGGCCAGAAGGCTCTCATCATTATTTTGGCCTTTTAATAAATAATAATAATAATTTTTTTATTTATACCCCGCCCTTCCTGGTTTAAAAACCGGGCTCAGGGCGGCTAACAGCAATTATAAAACACTGATTAAAATGCGACTTAAAAACAGCATAAAACACAACATAAAATACAGCAGCAATATCAATAAAATTCAAAAATTCAGGGGTAATTTCAGGGGCAGGGACCCAGCCAGTAGACATCAAATGATCACCAGGGCTAACTGGCCAAGTTGGTCCTACTAGGGCCAGCAAGGAGACCAGGGAAGGATTTAAATGTGGGGTCCCAGAAAGGGTTTCTTCGTAGAAGAAGAAGGGGGAAAGGGAATAGAGAATCAGGCTAATTCAAATTAAAGGCCAGGCGGAATAGCTCTGTCTTACAGGCCCTGTGGAAGGAGTTTAAATCCTGCAGGGCCCTGGTCTCATGGGACAGAGCATTCCACCAGGTTGGAGCCATCACTGAAAAGGCCCTGGCCCTGGTGGAGGATAGTCTGGCTTCCTTAGGCCCGGGACCTTTAAGCTATTATTATTCATGGACCTTAGGGTCCATGTTGAGCAGGGGGACCTGTGGGTCTTCAGCCCCAGAAGGAAGTGCAAGAACAGCCCTAGAGACCCCTTCCCTAGGCTGCACACTCCCTGGCCCCAGTGCCTTCCCAGAGGGCTTCAGCCTGGCTGGGATGTGTCCTTCACCTGAGACTTTGAAACTCCCTCTTGAAATCAGGCAGGTGTAATTGTTTAGCCTATCCAGATATCTAGAAGTCACCTGGGTTTCATTTCTTTTTAGCTACCCGTCTTCCTACATTTTTATTTATGATCTCAGTGTTTCATTTTATACTTTGGCAAACTGTTCAGAGGTTCTCTTGCAAGCAAGCGGCAAATCTAAATATTGTTAAATGAAACGAATAAATGATGCATTTTGCTTGCCTAGATGGATGCTGGAAATGCAATTTTTTTGGGGAGGGGGCACAGCGGCCTGCTTGTAGAAAACCTTGACTCTGACTGTACCTGTGAAAAAGCTCCTCCCACTTTTGCCTCTGGCTCCGCCCACCAGGAATACATGCCTCCCTAGAAGATTTCCCAGGGCAAATGCATCTATTGCCTGTTTTGCTCAAATGGGCTCCTCGCCCCTGGTGTAGGCAATGGGTCTCCCCTGGTGGATTGGGGCCCACGACTTGGCTGCTGGCTGACCTGCAAATGCCGGCTTGGTCCAAGGCAGCTCCCATCAGCGCAGATGTTCCCTGCAGCCTCAGGGAGGATTTTTAGTGAAAGTCAGTTTGGACCTTTGGTTCCTAAACTTTTCTGGGCCTGCTTGGTTCCATGAACTCGTCTCCAGTGCCCCACACCCTAGGGAAAAAAACACTATTGGGAATAGTGGTTCGCAGGACCTCCTAAGGAAGATCACATCCCAGTAAGATTAAAAACAGCTATGATTAATTGCACACTTATTCAATTGCACACTTATGAATTGCACACTTATTCAAAATGCGCTTGCAATCGGGTGAACTTGAGACAGCGATACTCGCTTTTAAAAGTTTGCATTGCAAGGGTTCGACTAGATGGACTTCAGGGTCCCTTCCAACTTTATAATTATATGGTTTTATGTAAGATTAACTGTAGAACTTTTAGAAGACACCTGAAGGCAGCCCCGTATCGGGAAGTTTGGAATGGCTGATGTTTTATAATGCTTTTATATCTGCTGGAAGATGCGCAGAGTGGCCAGGGCAACTCAGTTGGATACCCAGAGTACACATAATAAAACGATGATGGAGAAAATGATTATCTTTTACTCCTCCAGCCCCTGTTTGCCTCCCCCTTGCCTCTAAGCGTCCCTCTAGGTAATAATAGGGACGCAGGTGGCGCTGTGGGTTAAACCACAGAGCCTAGGACTTGCTGATCAGAAGGTCGGCAGTTCGAATTCCTGCGACGGGGTGAGCTCCCGTTGCTCCGTCCCTGCTCCTGCCAATCTAGCAGTTCAAAAACACACCTGTGCAAGTAGATAAATAGGTACCACTCCGGTGGGAAGGTAAACGGCATTTCCGTGCGCTGCTCTGGTTCGCCAGAAGCGGCTCAGTCATGCTGGCCACATGACCCGGAAGCTGTACGCCGGCTCCCTTGGCCAATAAAGTGAGATGAGCACCGCAACCCCAGAGTCGTCCACGACTGGACCTAATGGTCAGGGATCCCCTTTTACCCTCCAGGTAATAATAGAATTGTAGGATTGCAGAACGGGAAGGGACCCCCTGAGTCATCTAGTCTAACCCCCTGCAGTGCAGAAATCAGCTCCACCCCAGGGGAGGTCTAGACCCTTCCCCAAGCTGATGGCCTGCGGGAGATTAGGATGGCTGCTCCCCCGCAGCCAGCCCCCAGGTGGCTAGTGGGGGCTGGTGGGAGTTGTAGTTTCCCCCCTGGGGGGCGCCCAGGTTGGCCAGAAGCTGGCCTGGAGAATTGTGGGTTGGCATCTGTGTGCCTGTGTGCAGAGGTTCTCTGTGTTGACCAGATTCAGGCAGAAAGGATGAATTGGGGGCTTCTCCTCCTCTGACTCGATTTCTCTCCTCCCCCAGACTGTGAGCCCCCCTTGAAGAAGGAGGGGGGGCTGCCCGAAGGTCCTGTCCTGGAAGCCTTGCTGTGCGCCGAGACGGGAGACAAGAAGCCGGAGATGAAGGAGGAAGAGCTCATCCTGGACTGTCCGGTGAGAGAAGCCAGAACCGCCAGGCTCACCCCTAAGCAGGCCTCGCTGAACTGTGGAACTCCCTGCCACAAGAGGCAGAGGGTGGCTTTAAAAGAGGATTGGGCAAATTCATGGAGGAGGGGAGGGCCCAGATAGTTAGATGCCACCACAGATGGAGGCAGCGATGCTTCCGAATGTCTGTCGCTGGGAACCACAGGAGGAGGTGGCGCCCTTGTGTTCGAATCCTGCTTCCAGGATTTCCCATATAACAATCCTCTGGTTGGCCACTGTGAGAACAGGATGCTAGACTAGATGGTTCAGTCACCAGGATCATATTATGTTGTTGTGGAACCTCCAGCTCCAGTCGCAGTCTACCTGGATTCCTAGGTTCTATGGGGCATTTGGTCCCTGGGAGGACAGGAGGCTGAAGTAGAGAAGGCCCCTTTGCCAGATCTTGAAAGCACTCCTTGGGTGCTCAGGAAGAATCCAATCAGTGCAGCGATCATTGGGCGGCCTGTGGCCTGTGGCTGTTGCCTGCGAGAGGAGGGGTCCCTGCCCCTCTCACTTCTCTCTTCCTCTTTTTCTTTTATATAAATTATTATTAGTTTTTTTTAACATACCATTTTCAACAGTAATTAAACATATTTTTACAACTTATTCAATTTTTTTGACTTCCATCAGTCCAGCCAGATGGGCGAGGTATAAATAAAGAATTATTGTTATTAGTCTGAAAAATTTCCAATCTAATCTCTTAGTATACATTTCTTATTTTCCCTGTTGCATTTAGAACTCATAACCAATATCTCTCTTCTTTATCTACTTTGTAGCACTTCATATCTTCCTCCTTACAAAACGTCTTGTAGTCCTGCTAGCGTAATTTGTTGGTTACAATTGCTTTTCAAATGGTTCATATACTTCTTCTGGTCAGCGATCATTGGGCAGCCTGTGGCCTGTGGCTGTTGCCTGCGAGAGGAGGGGTCCCTGCCCCTCTCACTTCTCTCTCTCTCGCACTTTGCAGAAGGCGCCGATTGGGGAATTCCTCCACGACTTGGACACGGACGACCTGGAGGATGACGTCCCTCGCCGGAAGAACAAGGCCAAGAGCAAGGTGGGGCAAGGAAAGGGGGCAGGCAGGGGGCAAAGGCTTCTCAACCTTCTAAAGTCCCAGCCTGAAGCGCCAGCATTACCCTTCATTGTTAAAGCAATGGCTGCTCAACGGAGCCTCCAGAGGCAGGGGCAGTCTACCTGCAAGTGCCCAAGGCAGCGCCTCGGCAGCAGGGAAAGGCCAAGGTTTGCTTGGGGGGCTTCTCAGAAGCGACTAGCCAGCCCCTGTCGGGAAAAGGAAGCTGGAGCTTCCGTCCAACCCTGCAAGGCTGGTTTTCTTCGGCTCGGAGCATGGGAGCGGGGCAGTTGGAGGTTTGGGGAGTGGGCAGTCCTCTTCAAGGGGAAGTTTAGCCCTCCAGCCTCCCCACCCCAGTCCCGCTTTACGGCAATGGGGCTCATTGCCAATTGGATCGTGTGAGACGCAAGTGCCCCTGAGCACGTGCAGAGTGCTGCCGCTCCCCTCCTTAGAGCAGAGGACAGGGAAGATGGTCCCGGTTTTGCCCGCCTCTCCAGGGCTTAGAAAGGGTCCCTCTCTGAAGCCCCTGGGAGCCTGCAACTGCCGGTCAGAGTAGACGCCCCATAGCTAGAGGAACCAGTGTCGTGGCTCAGCGTAGGGCACTTTGGGGGAGAATCACAGATTCATAGAGCGGCAAGAGGCCCCATGGGGTCATCTAGTCCAACCCCCTGCAATGCACGTTGGGCCGGGAGGGGCCCCACTTAGGGGGGCATCTGAGGATTTCTGCCACCCCCCCAAAGACAGGCCTGCAAAGCAGCTGCCAGCTGTGCTGGGACAACAGGTGCAAAACTCCTGCCAGGTGGCGTCCCCTTCTCCTTTCTCCTCTTGGCCCCAGAAATTTGGGGCCCTCAGGCACGGTGCATGCTGTGGGGGCCCCTGGCAAAGGCAGCCCCCTGTAAAATGAGGGTCCTCTTCTGCTGCCACTGAGCCTCTGCCCCCTTTTTGTGCAAAGTGGGTCTGGGAGGCACCCTAATCTCCCCCCCCCACACACTCCTCCTTCTCTTGCAAAACCATCCAAAGTAGGTCAGCCTCTCTTAGGATTGGCTTCTGCTCAAATCACATTCCTTAATCTGCGTTTAAAGCTGCAAACCGCAGAGGCATGTTTTTGGATTTCGGCAAGATCAGGCTGAATTTGCCTTTTGTTTTGCCCCCATCCTTGGCCTTGTTATTTTGCTCGACTTCGGCATTTCGACCTTAACCGACGTGCAGTTCAGCTCTTGCAAAGCTCAGGCTGCTTATCTCGGCTCACCTTAAGCTCGGGGAATTCGGGGTCTGCTTCTGCAGCTCAGCTCTTGCCGAGTCCCCCAGGTTGGTTGGGATAATTGCCGGGGAAACTTTGCAATGAAAAAAACATTGAAGCTGGGAGCTGAACCGGTTGACAGACCCTTCTTAGGTTCTTATGGAGCTTTCAAGCCCAGGTGCAGTCTATCTGGATTCTGAGGTTCTATGGGATATTTGGCCACTGTGCATAGCTGTCAACTTACAGATTTGAAAATAAGGGACCAGCAGCCTCGAAAATAAGGGATCAGCAGCCAAAATAAGGGATTTTGCTTAGCTTATGCAGAAGTCCGCTACTCATGGAGCCATGCTACTTGGGCTGCCACTGTGTTTTGCAGGGGGTTGGACTAGATGATCCTAAGGGTCTACAACTCTGACCAAAGAAGAGGGGCAGACAAAACTGATGAACGACGTCGAGATGGCAAAGCTTACAGGCAGAATTAGAAACCAGGAAGAGGACCTCTTTAATAAAGAATGGGGAAAGTTTATAAATTAGTTGAAAAGCTATTGCCAAGAGTTACATACATTGGTAGGTTTGACAGAAAACTTGTAGTAAAAATTTGAACTATGGATGGACAAAGGATTTATAAAAATAGAGTTATGAAAGGGATGCAGAGGGGGAAATCACTACATTAAGATGCTGCACTGGTTGGAGGGGATGCTAAGCAGCACATTGTGGCGGAAGTCTCGCAAGAGAGGGGCTGCCTGCCCGCCCGTTGCCACCCATCTCCTCACGACGCACCCCTGAGGGGGAAAAGGGAGAGAAGGAGACGCGGCAGCTCATGTGCGCTCTCGCGGCGGAGGACCTTGAGCCGCTGTTTCCCTCCCGAGGTGGCCGAGCATGAAACCCGGGAAATTTAAGGGACATCATCAATAAGGGACAGCAGCGGGACACGGCACTGGGATAAGGGAGTTTCCCGCCAAATAAGGGACGGCTGACAGCTATGCCACTGTGAGAACAGAAGGCTGAACTAGATGGGCCCCCTTTGGACCTGAACCAGCTGGCTAGTTTCATGTTCCCATGAGCTCAACGCAAGCTCTTCCTCTCCCCGTCCGCCATGCCCATGAGGTCTAGGAGCTTGCTTTTTATTTAAAAACAGACTGTATCAGCACTGAGACCAGCCTGTCTCTCTTCCCCAGGCCTACGGCATCGGGGGTCTGCGGAAGAGGCAGGACGCGGCACTGCTGGAAGACCGAGACAAGCCTTATGTCTGCGACAGTGAGTGCCCCTTTGATGGGGGTTTGGGGCAAGGGGTGGTGGTGGGTTGCAGTGGGGCCAGGGGAGTGTTCCTGCTGCCGCTTCCTGGCTCAGGAGAAGCAGCCCCCAGGGATGTCTCCAAACGCTTAGAGGAGGGGGCACAGCACAGGGCGCTGAATGGGCAGCTCTGTGGGTCTGGGGGACTTCGGGGTGAAAGCAGGGGGCGGGGAGCTGTGGCCAAGAGCCAGGGATGGTGTGGAAGATGTGGGGAAGCTGCTGGGAGTGCAGAATGCTGCAGCGCAATTGCTGAGCAGAGACAGGTCTTGTCTGCATGTGACTCCGATGCTCAGATTGCCAATTTGCTCCTGGGCTGAGTTCCAGGAGTTACTCTTAGTATCTTGGTTGTAAGTTGCTTTGGGCTAGCAAATTTAATAAATATAACCATGAATAAATAAGACCCCTTAAACACTTGGGACCAATTTGCCTGTGAGATTGAATTGGCCCTACCACAAATTTCCCCTTCTGCATTTGGAAAAACTCCATCATTTAGTGTGGCAGTACCTACACTTTGGAACTCCCTGCCACTTGATATCAACCAGGCGCCTTCACTGCAATCTTTGCAAACCTGTCTGAATTTTACAGTTGTATCCTTTAGTAAAGCGCTTTCGGGTTTCTTTTTGAAACCGAGTGGTACATGAATTTTATGAAATAAAGAGATAAATAAGTTGTCGTCCAGGAACGCCTGGAGTAGATCCCTTACTGGGAGATGGGAGTGGAGTAGGGTGGGGAATTAGGGACAGGGCTGCATTAGAGGCAGGGGGTAGGGTTGATGGGTGACCCTCTTCCAGGGGGTTAAGGGCAGGGGTTGCCTCTTCCAGGGGATGGGGCCCCCCACCCCCAGTTTACCCATTTTGAGAAAGTCCACTGGGTGCCAGCTCAGTGGCAGAGCACATGTTTTGGATGCAGAGGGTTCTGGGTTCAATTCCTGCTGGCATCTCCAGTTACAGATGGGAGAGAGCCCAAAGTTCTGGAGAGTTGCTGCCAACCAGTGTAGGCAGCACTGAACTAGATGGACCAGTGGCATAAGGGAGATTCCTATGTTCCTGTGCCCTGTGGGTTCTTTTCACCTGCCAGGGATTCTTGAGCATGGCGGGGCAGGGGGTTGGGCTGGATGGCCCTCTGGGGTCCCACTCCATCTCCACAATTCTACGCTGCTTCTTCCTTTTCAGTCTGTGGGAAGCGCTACAAGAACCGCCCGGGACTCAGCTACCACTACACTCACACGCACCTGGCAGAGGAGGAGGGCGAGGAAGGCCCTGAACGCCACACCCTCCCCTTCCATCGCAAGAACAACCACAAACGTGAGTGACCCTCCCTGGCCACCTCTCCTTTGGCTGCAGGGAACGCTTAACCCCACCACCCGAAAGAGGGATCAGGGTTCGAATCCCCACTCATTGGCCATTAAACTCCCCGGGTGACTAGAGCCTAACCTACCTCGCAGGGATGTTGCTGCTGCAGAGATTAAATGAGAACTAGGACTTGGGAAAGACCTGGGTTCGAGTCCCCCCTCATTGGCCACAAAGCTCCCTCGGTGACCTTGGGTTAGACACAGTCCTGCTCAGCCTAACCTACTCTGCAGGGTTGTTTTGTTGTGAAGGTGAAACGGGGAGGAGGAGAAGGACCTTGGAGGAAAAAGTGGCATATAAATGCAATTTTCCTTGGGGGGAAAAGTGGCATATAAATTCAATGAAGGAACAAATGAGAGCGTAGTTTGAAGGCCTCCAGCATCTCCAGCTAAGGAAAGGGCTTTGGTCTGAAACCAGGAAAGCCCACCGCAGGACTACATCTCCCATCAGTCTCCGCTGCGGTGGCTGGGGAGGATGGGAATTGTGGTCCACAGCATCCCAAGGGCGCCAGGTGGGCAGCAGCTGCTGAGAATGCCCAGCCAAATGGGCCAAAACGCAAGAGTCTGTCCGAGAAGCGAGCGAAGAGCCACTGCTGCCTCTAAGTAGTGCCCAAAGGGGAATATTTTATCCCTATGAGCTATGCCTTGAAGGTGGTTTTGTGGTTTTGATGTCAGCCTCAGGGGCAGTGGGTGTTCCTGAGGCTGTTTCCTGGGTGGGAGGCCTTTGCTCCCCTTGCTGGCACGACCCAAAGGCCTCTTCCTCTCAGCCTGTGCCACTCAGGGGTGCCCCAGTTCGATGCCAAACCCCCTCGGGCCCAGGAAAGGTCTGTCCTGGCCTTGGCGAGGCGTTGCCAGCTGCTCTGAATCAGCACCAGAAGCCCGAAGCTAAGTGGGTACCTGCTGGCAGCTTCCGATCTTTCTTCCATGCCAGAGACCCTTAGGAAAAGGAGCTGAAAACAAAGCAGCCCATTTCACAGCGCTCTGGCGTGAACACGTTTGGGGTGTCCCGTGTACGGTCCTGGTTAAGGTAAAGGTAAAGGGACCCCTGACCATTATGTCCAGTTGTGGCCGACTCTGGGGTTGTGGCGCTCATCTCGCTTTACTGGCCGAGGCAGCCGGCGTACAGCTTCCGGGTCATGTGGCCAGCATGACTAAGCCGCTTCTGGTGAACCAGAGCAGCGCACGGAAATGCCGTTTACCTTCCCACTGGAGCGGTACCTATTTATCTACTTGCACTTTGACGTGCTTTCAAACGGCTAGGTTGGCAGGAGCTGGGACCGAGCAACGGGAGCTCACCCCGTCGCGGGGATTTGAACCGCCGACCTTCTGATCGGCAAGTCCTAGGCTCTGTGGTTTAACCCACAGCGCCACCCGCGTCCTGTCTGCTTTGCCTCAAAAGCAGAGGTGGGGAAGATTTGGGAAAGGGCAGCTAAAAGAGGGAAAGGGTGCCACATTTTGTGCCTTTCTGGTTTCAGAAAACTATGAGAAGTTTATTATTTTTATTATGAGTTTTTAAAAATTATGCACGTCCTGGAGACAGCGGGTAGTTCCCCTCCCTCTCGCATAACACTTCTGGGCATGCAAGGAAGCGGAACGTGGGAAGGTTCGCGACAGACTTCTTTCAAATCAGAACCAGTGAAGGCGGTGAAGGTCCTGTGTGTGTCTGGAGGCGGTTGGAGGATGGATGGCGGCTAACAGATTGAGGTTGAATCCTGACAAGACAGGAGTACTGATTTTGGGGGACAGGAGGCGGGCTGGTGTGGAGGACTCCTGGGTCCTGAATGGGGTAACTGTGCCCCTGAAGGAGCAGGTGCGCAGCCTGGGAGTCATTTTGGACTTGCAGCTGTCCATGGAGGCGCAGGTCAATTCTGTGACCAGGGCAGCTGTCTACCAGCTCCATCTGGTACGCAGGATGAGACCCTATCTGCCAGCAGACTATCTCACCAGACTGGTGCATCTCTGGTTGTCTCTTGCTTGGACTACTGCCATGCGCTCTACGTGGGGCTACCTTTGAAGGTGACCAGGAAACTGCAACTAGTCCAGAATGCGGCAGCTAGACTGGGGACTGTGAGCGGCTGCTGAGACCACATAACACCGGTTCTGAAAGACCTACACTGGCTCCCAGTACGTTTCCAAGCACAATTCAAAGTGTTGGTGCTGACCTTTAAAGCCCTAAATGGCCTCGGTCCAGTATATCTGAAGGAGCGTCTCGACCCCCATTGTTCTGCCCGGACACTGAGATCCAGCGCCGAGGGCCTTCTGGTAGTTCCCTCACTGTGAGAAGTGAGGTTACAGGGAACCAGGCAGAGAGCCTTCTCGGTAGTGGCACCCGCCCTGTGGAACGCCCTCCCACCAGATGTCAAAGAGATAAACAACTACCAGACTTTTAGGCGACATCTGAAGGCAGCCCTGTTTAGGGAAGCTTTTAATGTTTCATAGAATATTGTATTTTAATATTTTGTTGGAAGCCGCCCAGAGTGGCTGGTGAAACCCAGCCAGATGGGCAGGGTATAAATAATAAATTATTATTATTATAATTATTCATGCAGCACAGAGTGAAGCCGCGGAACTCCCTCCCACTGGAGGCAGGAATGACACCAACTTCTGCCCTCCACAGTCGGAGGAAGCAATGATCCCAGATGCCAGTTTCTGGAACCCCTAGGAAGAGAGAGTTGCACTTGTGCTCGGATCGTGTTTGCGGGTTTCCCATCATGGGCATCTGTTTGTCCGCTGTGAGAACAGGATCCCGGACTGGCTGAGCCTTTGCAAGGCTCTTCTGACATTCCAACACAGCCGCATCCCAATTGGCAACAGTCTTTTAGAATCACCACCTGCCACCTCAGCTCCTTGGCTCCCTGCTTCTTACAGAAGCTCCACCTCTGCTAGGCTGTTGCACGTTAAGATTTTACATACGTTTGGTTGAATTAGCATATGCAAAGTGCAATTACTGGGTGTCTTCACGTCGCTGCCTTGAGATGGTGGCTGCACTGTTCCTTTCCCTTCCTCCCCCCACTGAGTGAGGGTCTTCATTTTTAACACCCCCACCCACCTGCCGATGAGGTTGCCACGGCAACCTGGTAGGTGGAGTTGGCAGGTATAATATTTCCCCGGTTTGGTCTGATTTATCATTTCAATTAAGTTGGAGACGCTTGGAGGAGCCTTGCCGTTGGTGGGGGTTGTTGTGAGGAGGGGGCCTGGGGTGGGGGGTGGGGGAGACAGCCCTGAGGGAGGGAGCAGCTGATCTGCAAACAGGGGAGAGGCAGAGGAGGTCGGGTCTGGTGCTGGTGGACTGAATTCATATCCTGGAGCCAGCTCCAGGGGGCTGTGGGTGTTTGTTGTTGTTGTTTAGTCGTTTAGTCATGTCCAACTCTGACCCCCTGGACCAGAGCACGCCAGGCACTCCCGTCTTCCACTGCCTCCCGCAGTTTGGTCAAACTCATGCTGGTAGCTTCGAGAACACTGTCCAACCATCTCGTCCTCTGTTGTCCCCTTCTCCTTGGGCCCTCCGTCTTTCCCAACATCAGGGTCTTTTCCAGGGAATCTTCTCTTCTCATGAGAAGGCCAAAGTCTTGGAGCCTCAGCTTCAGGATCTGTCCTTCTGTCCTTCAGAATGGGTAGGTTTGGTCTTCTTGCAGTCCAAGGGACTCTCAAGAGTCTCCTCCAACACCATAATTCAAAAGCATCAATTCTTCGGCGATCAGCCTTCTTTATGGTCCAGCTCTCACTTCCATACATCACCACTGGGAAAAACATAGGTTGAACTATACGGACCTTTGTTGGCAAGATGATGTCTCTACTTTTTAAGATGCTGTCTAGGTTTGTCATTGCTTTTCTCCCAAGAAGCAGGCGTCTTTTAATTTCATGGCTGCTGTCACCATCTGCACTGATCATGGAGCCCAAGAAATATATATTATTATGGGTGTTTTGCCACCCATAATAATATATTTGTGGGGACTGCCCCCCAAGTCAATGGGCAAAGCTGAAGCCCTTCCTTGTGGGCACCCACAGTCTTCAGCATGAGAGGGTGCCTATTCCAGGGTGGGTGCCTTTGTGCAAATGCACACAGAGGTTCAATTTGTGTGAAGGCACACGGAGGCTTCTTGATTCCAAAAAGTCTTGTGTTTGTGTGTGAGAGAGCGAAAACCCTTTCTTGGAGGTCAGAAATGAAAAACAAGTGGCACGGATGTTTATAGACGCAGAGAAGGCCTTTGACAGTGTTTCGTGGACTTTTATGAAGAAGACAATAGAAAAGATGAACTTTGGGGAGGTATTTTGCAGAGGTATTGAGGCAATCTGTTCGGAACAACAGGCCGCGCAATGTGATAACTGAAAAGTGTAAAATAATGAGGGGACAACAAAAGGATGTCCCTTGAAACTGTTATTATTTATTTTGCCCACTCGTCAGTGGTCCTTCAGCTGCGATCCCTGCATTTCAGGGGGTTGGTGTGGATGACCCTTGGGAGCTTCTTCCATCTAAACAATTCTATGATGCCATGAAAACTCTGTGCAACTTTCTGAATATCCAATGCTCTCTGCGTTGTGTTGTGTTGTGTTGTTGTGTTGTTGTGTTGTTGTTGTTGTTGTTGTTGTGTGTGAGAATCTTTGTCCCACCGGCTGAGTCCCACCTCTGTGAATCATGAGATTTGAAGCAGTGTGCTCTGTGTGTTATACATGCGATGGAAGGGAAGTTTGTTTTTGAGGAGGGGGCGGACAGGTGCAATAACACACCCCCAGCAACGATCTAGGAATCTGCTGTCTATTAGGCCATTTAAAATTGCTGTGTTTGAGAGAGCACTGAGGCAGTGTTGGGGGGGGCGGGGGGTGCATTGCTAAGGGAGACTGAATGGATGTGATTTTCCCCCTCCCCCATTTTTCTGAGGAGGGGGGAACAACATGGGGGGGCATGAACTGCACAAGGAAACGGGGTGTGGTTGACGGAAGTCTAGCTTTCAAAGCTTGGGGGGAGACAGAGAGAGAGAGAGAGAGGAGAGTTCTCTCCTGCCCCCCCCCACTAACATGCATCCCATCCTTTTTTTCTAGACAGTTGCCATGGCTACCACCAGTGCATACTGATGTAGTTGGATCTGCACAAAGAGCAGGAGATTGGGGGAAGGGACTTGGTTAGCACCACAATCTCTGGAGAACGAGGGCCAGGACGCCTGGGTCCCCCTCCCCACCTCAGATGGTTGGAGGGTGGGCAAGAAAATTTGCCCCATTCTGACCCAGAGGGTTGTGCCTGCTTCTCTCTGGGCTGCCCCCTCTGGGAACTTGGAGGCTCAATCCTAGAACTGGATTTTGCCTGTTTCTTAGCTGCCAGCGCTTCTTTTGCTCTTGTCCCACCCCCTTGCTCCCCACCCCCCAATTACGGTGCCAAAGACTCACTTCCGTGCCCCTCCACCCCACAAACCCCTCCATCCTTTCGCAAAGCTCCCCCTCCCTCTTTTTACATATTCATTTCTTTGCTTGCCAATTCCAAAGATGCAGATATATATATTTATTTATTTTTTAAAAAACGATTCCTTTCATGGAAACCCGACTGGCATCTTCTCACGCGGCTGATTCTGATGTGCTCCATTTTTATTTTTATTTTTCCCCTCCTGCTTATTTCCATTTTTTTTATATATATCTTTTTGCATGTCTGGCTTCCTCCAGAGTTTTACAAAGAGCTGAATTGGGTCCCTGAGAACCAGCGCAGGCACACAGGTAAAATCATCCCTGTGAGGCGGGGAGGCAGGAGGAGGAGGTGGCCTTGGCAAGTGTGCCTGGTTCTCCCCCCTGCCCGCCATCTCCTGGGGGGGCGCAGCTGAGGCGTCCAGCTTCGAGTCCTGGGGGGCCACCCTTTTCTTGCCTCGGTTCCCCCTTCCTCACCCTGCTGGCCGCTTCTCCAGAGTTGTGGTGATCCACCTGCGGGGGCTCTTGTTTGAGAGAGGCCCCCCCCCCGAACCAAAATCCAAACGCTCCCTCCTTCTGCAACCAGGAGAGATGAAATTCCTCTATCTGGGGGGTGGGGGCCACTCCCTGCTCTGCTGATTTCATCCCCCTCCTGCGACGCATTTCAAATGAATTTGGGCCAAAGATGGGCTGCAGGGCAAGGGGGAAGGAGACCTTGGGAAAGGAGGCCTTGAGGACCAGAAACTTAGGGCACAGATGATGAAACTGCATGGGCTGTACAATACTTTGTGATGGATGCATGTGTTCATGGGCTGCCAAGCCCCTTCGCGGCAGGATAGCTGCCCCCGCATGAGGTGCTGATGGCGCAGTGGGGCGTTTGTCATGTGTGGAAGGAAGCGCCAGCCCCCTTCCCCAGCTGCATGTGGACCAAGTGCCAGCAAAAGTCCTGCACCGCAGCGGGTTGGGCTAGATGACCCTTGGATCCCTTCCCAGCTATCCTATTCTGTGATGCTGTGAAAACTCTCCATGCACTGGGAGGATGCGGTGAATGTGTGGCCAGGCAGGCAGGCAGGAGGGGGACTCCCCCGGCCCTGTCCTGCCTGGGGGTGGCTAGGGGAGGGAGGGGGGTTCTGGGGTGCACAGGGAGGCCTGTGTGGCTCCCCCCTTGATTTCGGCCTCTCCTTGCTGTTGTCTTACAGCTAAGAAAGCACCGGACGGCACAGTCATACCAAACGGTTATTGTGATTTCTGTCTAGGCGGCTCCAAGAAGACCGGCTGCCCCGAGGATCTCATCTCCTGCGCGGATTGTGGCCGTTCAGGTGAGGCCGGGGCTGGCGGGGCGAAGTAGGGGGAAGGGCTTGGCCCACGCGGGGCAGAGCGGAGCGGGAACCTGCCTCCAGGGTATAACATGGAGCAGCATCATAGAATCTCTGAGTTGGAAGGGGCACTCAAGGGCCATCTAGTCCAGCCCGCTGCAATGCAGGAATCGCAGCTAAAGAATCCCTGACGCTCTAACCTCTGCTCTGAAACCTCCCAAGAAGAATGGTCCACCGGGACGCAGAGCGTTTCTCAAACCGCAGGTCTCAGGTGCACAGCAGCAGGAGGCAGAAGATCTCTGAGCACGTGCAGAGTGCCACGGTGGGTGGCTGTGTTCTTTGAGGTGTGTAGCTTTGCTAGAGACAAGCATTTCACGGCCAACGCAGCTGCGCCACAAAGGGCTTTTGTCAGCTTGGAAAGAAACGACCCCGTTCTGGTGATCTGTGCTTAGCCAAAGTGGACTGGCTACTGCTGTGTTTTATACATTGGGCTTCCCTTGAAAAGTGTCTGGAAAGTTTTGAGTGGTGGAGCAGAGGGCAGCGAGGTTAACTGGGACGTGCTGTCAGCAAGCATCTCCCTCAGGAGCCATTGCTTGACACACACCCCTTCGTTGCCACATGATAATTTGGAGGGGTAAAACCACTGCTGGTCTGGAGCCTCTGGATCAGGCCAAAGGAGGCCCATTCAGTCCAGTCTCCTATTCTCCCAGTGGCCAATGAGGTGCCCCTCATGGGAAACCTGCCAGCAATACGTGAACACAAGAATCTGGTCCTTCATGAAGGAGCCTAGTCCTCTTTTAGAGCCCTCCGAGCTGGTGGGCGGCACTGCCTCCTGTAGCAGGGAGTTCCATAGTTGAATTCTGAAGAAAGGCTTTCTTTTACAGTCATACCTCATATTACGTCCGCTTCATGTTACGTTCTTTCAGGTTACGTCCCGTGGCGACCCGAAAGTACTGGAAAAGGTTACTTCCGGGTTTCGCTGCTCGCGCATGCGCAGAAGTGCAACATGACGTCATGCGCATGCGCAGAAGTGGCAAGTCGCAACCCACGCGTGTGCAATTGCACCGCTGCAGGTTGTGCTCTTTTCATGTTGTGAACAGGCCTCCGGAACGGATCCCATTCACAACCAGAGGTACCACTGTACAGTAATACCTCGGGTTGAAGTTGTTTCAGGTTGGGCGTTTTTGGGTTGCGCTCCACAGCAACCCAGAAGTAATGGAATGCATTACTTCCGGGTTTCGCCGCTCGTGCATGCGCAGACGCTCAAAATGACGTCACGCGCATGCGCAGAAGTGGCGAATCGCAACCCGTGCACACGCAGACGTGGGTTGCATTCGCTTCAGGATGCGAACAGGGATCCAGAATAGATCCCGTTCGCAACCGGAGGTACCACTGTATCTGAACCATGCAGAAAAACTTCTCTCTTATCCAAGTCATGCCTGATTTTATCCGCTTCCACCATGTCGCCTCATACTTTCCTCTCAACTAAAAAGCCCGAGACGCTGCAGGTTTTCTTCCTGGAGAAGTTGCTCCCTCCCTTTTCTGAACCTTTCCCACCTCTGCAATATCCTTCTTGAGTGCGACAGAACTGCGCACTTTCAGACAATAGGCGTCTGACCCCGGAGTGGACTCCCTCAGAAGACTCTCCTTCACGGGAAGTTTTGAATCAGAGGTTTTGTGTCAGAGATGTTTGGAAGTCTTAAAGAGCTTTTCCTGCAATGGACAGCTGGCCCATTCAGTCATTCATTCCATTTATATTCTACCTTTACCCCCAGAAGCTCCTCCCTCTCCTCAATTACTCATTTGACCCCCACAACCAGCCCCCTGCAAGGGAGGTGAGGCCGAGAGGGTCAGTGACCAGTGCGAAGTCACCCCTAGTGAGCCTCACTCAGAGCCGAGTGGCGAGATTTGAACCCAGGTCTCTCCCACATCCTAATCTGACGCTCTAACCGCTGCACCCGCTGGCTGGCTGCTCCTGCGTGGACTCATGCGCTGCTCTGCGTCTCCCTCTCTCTCTCATGCGCAGGGCACCCATCTTGCCTGCAGTTCACCGTCAACATGACAGCTGCCGTGCGGACTTACCGGTGGCAGTGCATCGAGTGCAAGAGCTGCAGTCTTTGCGGCACCTCCGAGAACGACGTACGTACGTGAGCCACCGGCCGGGCCTGGATCTGACCGCCTCCCCCCACCCTTCCAGGAGCTCAGCAAATGCTGGGACCCCCCTCCCCATCATCTCCCCATCCTCTGCCTTCGCATCCTTAGAATCCCTTATTGCTCTATCTGTTCTTGGGATTGATCACCTGCCCTTAAGGAGAGCCTGCAGGATCAGGCCAGGGGCTCCTCCAACCCAGCACACCCTGGTGACCCTTATGGGAAGCCCGCAAGGAAGCTCTGGGTGCAAGAACAGCTCTCCCCTCCTGCAGTTTCCCACAACTGGGATGCAGCAGTGCTGCTTGCCTCATGTGGCAGAGAGTTCCGCAGTTTTAACTCTGCGCTGTTAAAAGGACTTTTTATTTTATCGGTCCTGAATCTTTTCTCTTGTTCCTTTGGGGAAGAAGTACAGTTCAGGGGATGAAGACTCCCTTTGCCTGCAGAAGCCTCTCTCCCACCCCACCCCCCAGTGAAATCATGGAATTGTAGAGTTAGAAGGGACCACATGGGTCATCTAGCCCAACCCCCTGCAAGGCAAGAATCTTTTACCCAAGTTGGGGCTTGAACCCGCAACCCTGAAGATGAAGAATCTGACCCTATACTAGCTGAGCTCTCCCAGGAGGTTTGTGTCTGCGGAAGACCTGTTTCTGCATGAAATGAGCCCTTGTGGGCGCCAGGCTTCCCTGTGCTCCAAAGAGGAGCTCCTGCTCGGTCCAAAGTACAACCCCATCGTTCTGCCCGGACGCTGAGGTCCAGTGCCGAGGGCCTTCTGGCTGTTCCCTTGCTGCGAGAAGTGAGGTTACAGGGAACCAGACAGAGGGCCTTCTCGGTGGTGGCACCCGCCCTGTGGAACGCCCTCCCACCAGATGTCAAAGAGATAAACAACTACCTGACATTCAGAAGACATCTGAAGGCAGCCCTGTTCAGGGAGGCTTTTAATGTTTAACAGACCACTGTATTTTAATATTCGGTTGGAAGCCACCCAGAGTGGCTGGGGAAACCCAGCCAGATGGGTGGGGTATAAATAAATTATTATTATTATTATTATTATTATTATTACAGTTACACCCTTGTAGAGGGACACAGGTGGCACTGTGGGTTAAACCACTGAGCCTAGGTTTTGCCAATCAGAAGGTTGGCGGTTCGAATCCCCGCGACGGGGTGAGCTCCCGTTGCTCGGTCCCTGCTCCTGCCCACCTAGCAGTTCAAAAGCACGTCAAAGTAGATAAATAGGTACCGCTCTGGCGGGAAGGTAAACGGCATTTCCGTGCACTGCTCTGGTTTTCCAGAAGCGGCTTAGTCCTGCTGGCCACATGACCCGGAAGCTGTACGCCGGCTCCCTCGGCCAGTAAAGCGAGATGAGCACCGCAACCCCAGAGTCGGCCACGACTGGACCTAATGGTCAGGGGTCCCTTTACCTTTACTATACCCTTGCAGAGCAGCGATTCCACACCCTTCTCTCTTTTTCTGCTGCAGGACCAGCTGCTGTTCTGCGACGACTGTGACCGGGGCTACCACATGTATTGCCTGAGCCCACCCATGGCTGAGCCCCCCGAAGGTGAGGAGGGACCCCACCCTAGGCAAGGTGGCTTGGTGGGGAGGGGCAGGGGGAAAAGGCGCCCCCGTCTGATGCTTCTCTGCCTTTCTCCACTCGTTTCCAGGAACCTGGAGCTGCCATCTGTGCCTGCGGCAGCTGAAGGAGAAGGCGTCTGCCTACATCACCCTGACCTAGGCTGGGGGCCCGTCGGCCCCCCCTTTTCCCGTCCTCGCCCCACTCCTCCGTGCCCTTAGCCGTGATGGTGCTGAGCCTTGCCAGGCCTTGGGGCGTTTGTTGCCCTCTCGCCTGCCACAACAACCTTTTCTCCTCCATCCCCATCTCTCTCCGTGCCCCCCCCCAGCTGCAGCTAAGGGGGGGTGCGAACCCTGCCTGTGTCTCCTGCTGGCTGTCACCAAAACTCAAGACTCAAAAGCCATAAAAGCCAGGGGTAGGCAGCTGCCAGCACAGCAGCCGCTCCTGGCCCTTTGCCCCCCCCTCTAGATGCATGTGAAAGTGGGCAGGTCCCGCCCCCCCCGCAAGACAAGCCCCTGGGAGGATGCAGTTACACCCCCACCCCCGGGCTGCGACCCAGTTCTCTGCTCCCGTCTCTTTTGGACCTGGCACAACCTCTGAAAAGGCGGCCGGAGGAATTAAGCTTCTCCAGTGCAGTGGGGGGGGGGCAGGATGAAGAGCGATGGTTTTTTTTGGGGGGGGGTTACTGGCTGCAGCAATGGGAGGACAGAGGGTCACAGCTGGAGCTGGCAGGGCAAGGGGAGGGGGTCGGAAGGGGTGGGTGGGTGATGCTCAGCTGTCAGAAGGCAGGATTTTTTTCAGTGTTGCTGGATTTTACAGTTGGGGGGGGGAATGAAAACTTGAAGGGAAAAAATACACCCCCTGAAGAAGGGGATTAGGGTGGGGAAACTACAGGCCCCCCCCCCAAAAAAAATAAAAAAATGTGTCGGGGGCTAGCAGGGGCTGTTCCCACTAAGCCCCCCTCCTCTTGTGTACATGGTGTTGTTCTGTTGCCTGCATCTGCTAATGTGCTTGAATTGTTCTGTGCATTAAATGTGGTCTGAATTACAGCTCCTGCGGCCGCTGCTCCTTCTTTTGCCTCCTCCTCCCCCCCCCCCAGTCATGGTGTCAAGTTCCAGGTGTGTCTAGACTGATGTTATTTGGGGGGGGGGGGAGATGGGAAGGGCAGCTCCCCTCCCACATGGCGCTGCCATCACCCTCATCCTTGCACCTGGCAAGGCAAGGCTGGTGTCTTCTAGCAAGAGCTGTTGCCATGACAACAGGACAGGAAGAGGAGGAGGTTTGGGTACCAGGCTGAAGATGCTGCCCCCCCTTGCCTCGACGCTCAGGCAAAATCTGGGGTCTCCGTGCAAGAGAGAGAGAGAAGGAAAAAAGGAAGGAAGGAAAAGAGAGAGAGGAGGGGGCTCAAGGAATCACACAAGGTTTTCTATGAAATGTTTATTTTATTTCTCTCCTTCCCCACCCCAACACCCAAGAGGTGTGTCGCCCCAAAGAAACTATCATTGAGGATTCCAGAGAATTATACTGGGGGAATTTATTCTTCTTCTTCCCCCCTCCTTTTTTTCTTTTTACAAAAGGCTGGTTGTTGTTCTTTCCTATCAGCAATTTTTAAGACAAAAAATAATAATTAAATAAGACAGATCTGATCCCAAAAGATTCTTATAAAATTAACACAAGAAACAACTCACACAACACAACTGACAAAAAAAATGAAGGCGAGGCCCCCCCCCACTCACCCACCCCGGTGGAGGGGGAAGGGCTTCCATGTCACAGAGAGGAACGTTAAAGGATAGATTTATTCTTATTTTTAAAGTGGGAATGGGGGGGGGGAGACAATAATCCGTACAAATTGCAGTGAGATACTGGTACAAAATTCAGGGGGAGTTTTGGGGAAGGGGGTGCTGGCAGGGGTGGGGGGCTGGGCTTTGCCACTTCTGGATGAGACTCTTGCCTGGCATTTGCACCCCTAAGTTGGCTCTGGAGAAGGTGGAGAAGGCTTCTCTCTCCGCCAGGCCCTATGGCTCTATGGGGGGGGGGGCAGGCTCCTTAAAGGTTGAGCTGGGGGTGCAAAAGGGGTAGTACCCCAGGGAGTTAAGACGATCATGGTGTAAGTTCCTGGGATGCTGTCGGAGCTCGGAGATTCTTCCCCACTTTCCTGGCTACTCACCCCCTGCAAAAAAACACATTTTTTCTTGCAGCAATTCCAATGGTCCTTGCCCCCCCCTCTGGGGAAGGGCAGGCAGTGGAAGGCCTTGTCGTTGTCGGGTGGAGGAAGGGCCAGGAAGCCCCCCACCGCTGGGTGGGTCTGGGGTTTGCATAGTTCAAGACGCTGGCTTGGAAATTTGGCGAGGGGTGCACATCATCACAGTTTGGGGCGTCCCGGGAGGACCCTGTGCCCTATGCTAGCAGCTAGAAGCCGCCCCCCCCTCAGGCTTCCCTTTCTCAGCCCTGCTGGCCTCCGCCAGGCCTCCAGGATACCCCCCACCCGAACCCAGCCGGAAAAGGGGTCTTGCTCCTCCTGCAATGGACCCCCTCCTGCTCAAAGCACCCCCAAAATGGCTCTGCTGCTCCAGACCATGTGCTTTTAACACACAACAACAACAACCACCTGCAAACAAGGAGAAGCCGCAACAGGGTCTGCGTTTCACAACCACAACGTACCAACTGCCCGCACGTATTTCCTTATTGCCGAAGAGTCGCTCGGGCACAGGGGTGCCCGGGTGTGGGTGTGTGGCGGTACCAGAGGTCGGGAAACGCGGGAGGCCCCAATTCCCAGGAGGAGCTGGAGGGAAGGGTGGCCCCCAATAACGGCAGGACCGTCTATTGCCTCACACGAGAGGCAAGCCCCCCCCCCGCAGGCCAGTGGGGCAGGGGCACCACTCCTGCCCCGATGCCCAGGACTCTCCAGGTCCCACGGCTCCCAACTTCTGCTGCTGCTGTGCAACCGTGTGTGTGTGTGTGTGTGTGTGTGTGTGTGTGCTGAGTTCTGAGGCATGCACAGAGTTCTCCAGAGGGGCGGGTGGGTGGAGTTACAAACAGTACCATTTATACAAATATAGTGTTTTATAAAGAACATATACATTTAAACTTCTTTTTTTTAAACTTCCTGAGCCACTCCCATCCTTGCGTTCTCTAGAAAATAATTTAGTCGTGAGAAAGTGCTCTTTTGAGATTCTCGGTGGTCTCGCTCGAAGGGTGTCCCCCCCCCCGACACCCAGAGTCTGTCGAGCGCCAAGGTGCCCCCTGGTGGCGAGCCAGGATGGGCAGAGGCGGCGAGGGCAGTGGAGGCCCCCTACCCTGCTTGGGGTGGGTGAGCCCAGTTGCCCATATCACAGTTCTCTTGGCAAATGCCCAAGGAAGCACCTGAGAGTACACCTGTGGCAAAAGGTGCCCCGGGCCCCGAGCGCCACGCCTGGCGCCAGGCTGGGAAGTGGGCACGCAGGAGGGCGGGGGGAGAGGGGGCCCTGCTCCCCAAGGAAGAAGGAGGGAGGCTGGCCAGGGCGTTGTTGGGGTCCCGCACCAGAGGAGCCACCACCAGCAAGCCCCTCATCTCTCGCTTCCAAGCAGCCCCGCTCTCCGGCAAGCTCACAGCTCCTTCTTCTCCACGGCGCTGGAGAAGATCTCAGCAAACTTCCGCAGCTGCTCGTTGGCCGTCTGGGACTCCTCCTGCAGGCGCTGGTTGTTGTGGCGCAAGTTGGCCACCTCCGCCTGCAACACCACTTTGTCCTGCTTCTCCTGGGAAAAGAGAGAGGGAGGTGGGAATCAGGGCGGTTGGAAGGGGGTGTGTGCAGTGGTCTGCCGCGTCCAGTATCCTCTTCTCAACAGGGCCCAAATACCCCCGAGAACTTAGGAACGCAGACAGACTGCCTCTGCAGCTGGAGGCCCCATAATAGCCGAAGAAGAGCCTGGCTGCCGGATCGGGCCAAAGGGGGCCCATAGAGTCCGGCATCCTGTTCTCACAGTGGCCAGAGAGATGCCCCTGATGGGAAACCCGCAAGCGTACCTGAAGGAGCATCTTCAGCCCCATCGTTCAGCCCGGACACTGAGATCCAGCGCCAAGGGCCTTCTGGCGGGTCCCTCATTGCGAGAAGTGAGGTTATAGGGAACCAGGCAGAGGGCCTTCTCGGTAGTGGTGCCCACCCTGTGGAACGCCCTCCCGTCAGATGTCAAGGAAATAAGCAGCTATCTTATCTTTAAAAGACATCTGAGGGCAGCCCTAAGGAAGTTTTTAATATTTAATGCTGTATTGTTTTTAACACTCGATTGGGAGCCGCCCAGAGTGGCTGAGGAAAGTCAGCCAGATGGGCTGGGTATAAATAATAAATTATTATTATTATTATTATTATTATTATTATTATTAAGCAGAACCGGAGCACAAGAGCAACTCTGGCCTCCTCTTTTAAAGCCACTCCTGCAGCAGGGAGTTCCACAGTGTAACTAAACACGGTGTGAATAAGTCTTTCGTTTTGTCCTGAATCTTCCGTGAGTTCTAGGGAGAAGCCCCCTTCCTCTGCACAGAGATCAGAAGCCACAAGAGGCTCCCTCGGATGGTGGGGGCCTCTCCTTTGCTGGAGGTTGGACAGCCGTCTGTCGTGGACGCTTTGGCTGTGAAGCCTGCGTTCCAGGGGGTCAGACTAGATGAGCTCTGGGGTGCCTCCCAACTCTATTCAATGAAGCAGGAGGCAGGCATGGCAGCTCAGAGTCAAGCTGCACCACTGGATGAGAAGAGAACCCAGGAGTCCGGGCTCCCTTCTTGCCCCTTGTCTGTCAACTTTCTGGGGGGTTCTTCTGCTGTCCCTCCCCACTCCCAAGTAAGTATCACAAGCAAACATCCCTTTAACATCACTCTGCGTGGGGCTGCCCTTGAGACTGACCCAGAAACTCCAGCGGGTGCAGAATGCCGTGGTGAGACTCCTTACGGGGTCCTCCCCGCGGGATCACACTCACCCGGTGCTATACCAGCTGCACTGGCTCCCGGTGGAGTACAGGATCAGGTTCAAGGTGCTGGTTTTAACCTTTAAAGCCCTATACAGCCTAGGACCCTCGTACCTATGGGACCGCCTATCCTGATATGTCCCACGAAGGACCTTGCAGTCTTCAAACAGAAACATTTTGGAGGTTCCGGGCCACAGGGAAGTTAGGCTGGCCTCAACCAGAGTTAGGGCTTTTTCAGCCGTGGCCCCGATCTGGTGGAACGCTCTGTCCCAAGAGACTAGGGCCCTGCGGGACATGACATCTTTCCGCAGGGCCTGCAAGACAGAGCTGTTCCACCAGGCCTTTGGCCAAGGCACAGTCTGACCCCCTCCTTCTGTAATCCTCACAGAACTCTAGCCCAATGGTTGCCATTAATTTGATTCTGAACTGATTTTAGAATGAATTGATTTTAGAACGCTGTGTTACTTTTATTGCTGTTAGCCACTCTGAGCCTGGCTTCGGCTGGGAAGGGCGGGATATAAATAAAATTTTATTATTATTATTAAATGCGGAGGGCATTTCAGGAGGGGCGGCTTCGCCTCAGGCGGTACCAGGGCATGATGGGAAAAGAGCCCCCCCCCCCTTTGAGCCATCCCCTGGGGGGACAGACGACAATCTTACTTTCTGCAGGTCGCTATGGAGCTGCTTCAACATGGCCTCCAGCTGGTAGACTTTGCCCGTCAGGTCCACAGAGGGCTCCTCGCTGCAGAGGGAGGGGAGAGCAGAGCGTCAAGAGGCAGCATGGCCCAGTGGTTAGAGCATCGTACCAGGGGCCTGGAAGAAACCAGGGTCCAAATCTTGTCTACTCGGCCATCGCCAAGCTCACGGGTGTGAGACTTTGGGCCCAGTCTAAACCTTTTATCAGCCTAGCCTACCTTACAGAGTGGTGGTTGTTGTTGGGGGGGGGGTATTTAAATGAGAAGGGGGGGAGCCATGTTGGAGGTCACCTTGAGCTCCTTGGAGGAGAAGGCAGAATATAAACGGAGCAATGAATGGATGAGATACCGTATTTTTCGCTCTATAAGACGCACTAGACCATAAGACGCACCTAGTTTTTGGGAGGAGAAAAACAAGAAAAAAAATATTCTGAATCTCAGAAGCCAGAACAGCAAGAGGGATCGCTGCGCAGTGAAAGCAGCAATCCCTCCTGCTGTTCTGGCTTCTGGGATAGCTGCGCAGCCTGCATTCGCTCCGTAAGACGCACACAAGGTTTACTTTTTAGGAGGGAAAAAGTGAGTCTTATAGAGCAAAAAATACGGTAACTGGAGAAAACGAGGGCCGAGATCCCTCCTTGGAAAAGATGGCAAGCGAGTGAAGGCAGATTAGCGCTTGTATCTTAGCCCCACTCCCCGTATGAGAACAGAGCCCCCCTGTCAAGACCCCCGGCCAGTGCCCTGACCCCAAAATGTCCAGAAGCAGGTTGAGATGGAAGCCCCCCCAAAAAAACCCCCCAGAGCTGTGCAAAAAAGGCAGCCCATTATTTTAGGTCGATTCCCCTCCACCCTGGCCATCCAGAGAATGTGTACCTGCAGCTCCCCCCCCCCACATTTCCCCCCCACACACATTTTTTGCCCCCCCCCCCACCAGAGACCTTGCTCCCCCAGGGAGAAGCAGGAGAGGAAGCCTAGCGCGACCCCCTTGCCCCCAGACCTCCAAAGGGCCCATGTTCAGTGCCAGAAAAACATTCCCGGCTGGGAAGTCGGAGGCCCGCCTTCCCCAAACATAAAAGCGAGGGGTTGGAGGAAGGGGCTTCTGCTGGGAGAGGGGGGGTCTCTCTCACCTCATGGTGGGTGTCGTGCGGGGCGTCAGCTGCCTCTCCAGGCTCAGGTGCCCCAGGACGGGGCTGTGGGCAGACGGGACGTCCGGGCTCAGCGTGGCGTCATGGAGGGAGAAGAGGGAGACGGCTCTTTGCACTGAAAGGGGAGCAGGAAGAGGAGGGTTTTGTGGCGCGGCCATCCCCACCAGGCAAAATAACAGCCCCCCCCCCAATCCCTTCCTGACAGACACCATCGCGCCTTTTTTCTGCATGTTTCCGAACACAATTCAAAATGTTGGTGCTGACCTTTAAAGCCCTAAACAGCCTCGGTCCAGTATACCTGAAGGAGCTTCTCCACCCCCATCGTTCTGCCCGGATACTGAGGTCCAGCGCTGAGGGCCTTCTGGTGGTTCCCTCCCTGCGAAAAGTGAGGTTACAGGGAACCAGGCAGAGGGCCTTCTTGGTGGTGGCACCCGCCCTGTAGAACGCCCTCCCATCAGATGTCAAAGAGAACAACAACTACCAGATTTTTAGAAGACATCTGAAGGCAGCCCTGTTTAGGGAAGCTTTTAATGTTTAATAGGTTATTGTATTTTAATATTCCGTTGGAAGCCGCCCAGAGTGGCTGGGGAAACCCAGCCAGATGGGCAGGGTACAAATAAATAAATAATAAATAAATAATATTTATTTATTTATATATATATTTTTCTTCTGCAGGAAATGGGGCTGCCAGGGCTGTGGGGCAGGGAGTCCCCCCCCCCGGCCCCTGCCTGCCTGAGGGGGGCAGAGGGTGTGTGCCCTTCTTTGCAGGCCGCAAACAGCGGAACTCCCTCCCACAGGAGACAGCGGAATGGGCAAACTCATGGGGCGGAATGCTGTCGACAGCGAGGAGCCCCAGGGGCCGTGCTCTGGCCTCCGGGAAATGGCAGGTGGGGAGGGGACTCTTGCACTTAAATCCTGCTTGCAAGTTCCCCACAGGAAACTGTTCAGCCACTGGGAGAACAGGGTGGAGGATGAAATGGACCATTGGCCTGATCCAGCCGGGCTAATCTTATGGACCTATGGAACCTCCAGGTCCAGAGGCAGTCTATCTAGAATAACGTTTGAAGCTTTCTTATGTTTTTATATGTGTTGGAAGCTGTCTAGAGTGCCCAGATGGGCAGGGTATAAAATAATAATAATAATAATAATAATAATAATAATAATAATGTGCTATCTGGCCTAGGACCCTCGTACCTACGGGACCGCCTCTCCTGGTATGTCCCACGGAGGACCTTACGGTCTTCAAACAAAAACTTCTTGAAGGTCCCAGGCCACAGGGAGGTTAGGCTGGCCTCGACCAGAGTCAGGGCTTTTTCGGTCGTGGCCCCGATCTGGTGGAACGCTCTGTCACAAGAGACTAGGGCCCTGTGGGACTTGACACTTTTCCGCAGGGCCTGCAAGACGGAGCTGTTCCACCAGGCCTTTGGCCAAGGCGCAGTCTGACCCCCCCTCTCCTTCGGTAATCCTCATAGAACTCTAGCCCAATGGTTGCCATTAATTTGATTCTGAACTGATTTTAGAGTGAATTGATTTTAGAATGCATTTCAATCCATTGATTGTGATTTTATGTAAACCGTGTTATTTTTATTGTTGTTAGCTGCTCTGAGCCCGGCTTTGGCTGGGGAGGGCGGGATATAAATTTAAAAATTATTATTATTATTATTATTATTAATTCACAGGTTCTTAGGGCCAGGTGATAACCCACCTGGTGGTGCCACCAGAGCCTTCGGAGTGCAGAAGCAGAGAATGGAGTCCCAGCCCATTTTCCGAGGCTGCAGCGCTGGGGCTGCAGGTGCAGCGGGCCCAGCGCTGTGGGGCTCAAACCGGCCGGGCAACACACTGGGCCCAGCCCTTCCCTGGCAGGCAGCCACTGGGATTTGCTGCTGCCGCTTTGACGGGCGACTTGGGATTCGGGTTCTGCAACAGCTCTGGGCTTGGGGGAGTCAGGGCGTTTGCTCCCTCCGAGCTCAGGGCAAAGGCCGAGGTTCCTGTGCCCTGGTGATCTCAGCGCTGTCTGCTTGAAATCTTCTGCCACCGCCACTGAGCATCAAAGAGGCTTGTAGGGGGGGCTCCACCCCCCAGCGCTTGCCCTCCCCTCTCACCCAATTAGCCGCTTCTCCAGCAAAGCCTTTCACCTCCTCATTCAACACGCCCCCCCAGCAACTGCTGAGCTCTTCCACTCCCCCCAGCGCTGTGATCAACCCCTCCCTTCTGCCTTTCCCTCAATTAAAACAGCCAAGTGCTAATTAAGGCAGAGTCGCTGAACTTCCAAGGCACAGGAACCTAAATATAGAGCGCCTGAAATGTCAAGAGGCAGGGAGTTGCCGGGGTGCGTGGTTTGGGGGCCGCCGGCCAGGGAAGCCTCAGCTGAGACTCCTGGGTTGGACTAGATGGCCCTTGGGGTCCCTTTGAACTCTGGTTCCAGGGGGAAAGGGGGGGGATGCTGGGGGGAGGCAGGAGGGGGTCCCTGCTCCCCAAAGCACCAGAAGATGCTGGGAAGAACATAGCACTCTTTGGTGGCACTTGGACAGCTTTAAAACCCCTCTCCCCACGGCCTTTGTGTGCCCCACACCCATGGGTGCTGTGCATTGCCAGGCCAGGGACTCTGCCCTGCTGTGGAACAGGGGCAGATGCCACCAGCTCTATGCCCGCAGAGTCCTGGGCTGTCACAGCCGCACCCGAAACGCTTTCAGCTCCCGTCTCCTTCCAGCCCCTGGATTGGTGGGTAACCTGCCTCTCCATCTTCCGAGCCACAGGGCAGAAGGGCAAGGGGCTGCTGCAACGGGCAACAAGAGAAAGGGCCCCTCTCTCCCCCTCCGTGGCCGCAGGGCACCCGAGGGAGACCCGGGTGCTTCCTGGAGGGAGTTTGCCCGCTCCTACCTTTCCCCGCCGGGCTCCCGGGCACCAGAGCAGAGCAGGAGGCACAGGTGAGCTGAGCAGCGTGCGGCCGATGACGAGAGCCGATGGCCCGTCTCCTTCCTCTGTGCTCGGCCGAGTGGCTGCTCTGCTCTGGAGTCGGGAGGCAGGCAGGGAGGGTGGCGCCGGCGTCGTGACGCAGATGGCAGGCCTGAGCAGATTGCCGAACCTCCTCCCCGCCCCCCCCCCCCCCGCCGGCAGGGAGGCGGCTGCTCCTCCTTGCTGCCAAGGGAGATCCCTGCCGGAGCCGGGCCTTGCCTGGACACGCAACCGCTCTCCACCCCCCTGCCCTACTTTCGGCTCAGCGACGAGAGCCGAGCCACTGCTCCTCCTCCTCCAGCCCAAAGGAAAGCAGGTCACGGAGGCAGGCGGCTCCCCCAGGGGCAGAAACCGCAGCCAGGTCCTCATTAGCTTGCCTGCCTGGAAATGAAAGCGGCCGTGCGGGGGGGCCAGAGAGGGAGTGGGGAGGGGGCTCACCCGGGTCACCCGCAACCCACGGTGGCATTTTAACCTATTGTGACACGGCTGTTGCTCCTCTACCGATTATCAAATTTCTGATATCTGGGTTTTCGAAAGGATTGTGGAATATTGCTCCGTTTGATGTTGTTCATTCGAAAATCATTTAAAAAATGAATTGTGACTTTATGTGCACCAGATCGGATGCTACAAGGCATGCAAACCTCGACGTTTTATTGCATTTTCCAGCTTGTGCATTATGGAGAGGCAGGGGGCAAATTAAATCTGAAATGGAAGCGCTGGGGCAGAAGGAGGCTGGGGCTTTGCAGACAAGAGGCTCAGCTGAGAGGCCAGCAGGGGTGGGGTGGGGGCTAATCCAGGGGTGGGGGCTAATCCAGGATGCTGGCGACCAGGAAGAAGGGGGGGGGGATGTCTGGGAAGGCTAAGCCCAGGCAGACGGCAAGCAGAGCGACTGGGATTTTTCTTTCATTTTTTCAAGGAAACTCACTCCCCCACCCCAAATCCAAATTCAGTGCCTCTTTCACAGATCCAACCACATTTATTCATTCAGGTTTTTTTTTTTCATTTCAGGAAATTTACACGCGGCTTGATCGCAAAACAAAAACCCTCAAAGAAAAGAAAAGATAAAAGCCTAAAATTTTATGTTTCTGTTTAATATAAACAGAAAGATGAAATAGACTAAAAACAGGTCCAAACTCACGCCAGGTTTCTAAGCATCTGGGTGAGCCTTGTCTAAACAAGGATGTGTTTTAAATAGGCACCCAAAAGGAAGGGAGACTGCATGGTATCAAAAGGCGGGGGGTTCCAAAGTGCAGGTGTGGCCAGACTGGGAACAACCAAGCTCTTACACAGGTGCAGCAGGCATTACCTGGCACCTGCAGCAGCGCCCGTTCTGCTGATCCAAGTGGTTGAGTGGGCATGGATGGGCGAAGGCCACCTTGCAGGTAAACTGGTCCCAATTTGTTGAGGGGTTTTTCCTATACGGACAGTAACACCTTGACGTTGACCCAGGAGCAAATGGACCTCCAGTGTAGATATCCCAGCAAAAGGGGTTTCAGGCCTCGCTCTCGTCAGCAACCCCGCTGCAGCGTTTTGCACTGACGGTTCCGGGAATCCAGCCTTGAACTCAGCAACGCATGACTTAAGACAAAGGTGTCCAACTTCCAAGAGACTAGATCTACTCCCTCTATAAATAAACTGGCGGTGATCTACCCATTGGACTGACCAGAGTTGTTGAGATTTCTTGGGGGGGGGGGGAATTGGGGTCCCGTGATCGACCAGGATCGACTAGGGACGCCCCGCGATCGACTGGTAGATTGCGATCAACCTGTTGGGCACCCCTGACTTAAGAGATCCCTAGAGCTGCCCTGGCAGGCCCTGAGGGGTCTGGAGATCTCAGTCTCCACCTTGGTCCTCCGTCTGACTTTGCAGGTAAGACGCCTTCTGCAAACAACGGCTTCAGGTCTGCGCCACCAAGAAGGCAGCAAGGGCACCAGGAGAGCGGGGAGGAAACTCCCCATTAAGCAAAACTGGAGCGGCATGCCCCACGGAGGACCTTTAGGTCCATAAATAGCAACACCCTAGAGGTCCTGGCCCCTAAGGAAGTCAGGTTAGCCTCAACCAGAGCCAGGGCCTTTTCAACACTGGCCCCGGCCTGGTGGAACGCTCTGTCTCATGAGACCGGGGCCCTGCGGGATCTGATTTATTTCCGCAGGGCCTGTAAGACAGAGTTGTTCCGCTTGGCCTTTGGTTTGGAATCAACTTGATCCCCTTCCCCTCTTTACTTTCTCCTTCTGTGATGGAACCCCTACTTGGGGACTTCCCTGGCTTTTTTCTGGCCCACGTAGGACCAGTCTGGATAGTTGGCTTTGGTGAAGATTTGATGTTTTCATCCCCAAAAAGTTTTTGATTTGAGTTTCTACTGAAATGAGGCTGCATTTTAATGTTGTATTTTAATCTTGTTTTTTTAAGTTGTATTTTAATCAATTGTTTTTATACCTGGTGTTAGCTGCCCTGAGCCCGGTCTTGGCTGGGGAGGGCGGTGTATAAATAAATTTATTATTATTATTATTATTATTATTATTATTATTTCCTGGGACTCGGGGACACCCCTTCTTCCCCTCCCAGGCTCTCAAAATGATGTGAGAGAGGCGCCCAGAAAGAGCCACAAGTCTCCTAGTTCAGCTGATGGAATCACAGAATTGAAGAGTTGGAAGGGACCCCAAGGGCCATCTAGTCCAACCCCCTGCAAGGCAGGAAGCACGCAGCTGTTCACAATTAACAACATGGGTCCAGTTTAGCTGCGAGATCTTCCTCACCCCCTGTGCGCCCACTCGACCGCTTCCATGGATGCAACTGGCCCTGTGACAGGGGCCACATAATTCATCCCTAACCTGGTAAGAAATCAACCTTACAGAGTGGTGGTGCCCAAACTTTGGAACTCCCTGCCTTTTGACATCACTGCATTGCTTCCAGCTAAAACCGTATTTCTGCTTAGCCGAGTCTGCCTGGATGCTTGGGAAGTTCTTGTGCGTCTTTTAGTCTATTGTCATTCAAACTTTTTGGAAATCATTGCTCTTAGCTTTTCTCAAGTGACAATCTTATGCTTCCATCTTTTCTGTAAACAGCTTTGACAACAACCAAGCGGCACGTAAATTTCAGGAGATAAAAGTAATTCACGAAAAAAGGTGCTCAGCTGCAGCCAGAAGCCTCGCAAGGCCACAAGCCGCTGCCGGAAGAGAACACAGGAGCCGGCCTCCTTGAGGATTAGAAACCCTGCGCCAGCCAAGCACAGGCCCCGGGGAGCCTCTGCCCCAGCGCAAGGAGGGTCAAGACCCCCAGAGGCCCCCTGGCAACCACTTCCACATGCTGGCATCTGGCAACGCTCCCTAGGGGGGCAGAGGGGGCAGTGGGCAAGATGGAGGGGCTCCGGCCCTTTCGCCACCGGCCTTCCCTACCTTCGTAGGCCTTGGCTGCGTTCACCAAGCTGGACCACTCCAGGCCGGCGGCCGTGTCCGGAAGGGGCATCAGGCCCGGGTCAATGCGCCGCAGAGGCTTTTCCCGCACGTCCGTCAAGGAGAGCTCAGAGGCCGAAATGGCGCCTGCAGGGAGAGCAACGCATAGCTGTCAACTTACAGATTTGAAAATAAGGGACCAGCAGCCTCGAAAATAAGGGATCAGCAGCCAAAATAAGGGATTTTGCTTAGCTTATGCAGAAATCCGCTACTCATGGAGCCATGCTACTTTGGCTGCCACTGACTGTGTTTTGCAGGGGGTTGGACTAGATGATCCTAAGGGTCTACAACTCTGACCAAAGAAGAGGGGCAGACAAAACTGATGAACGACGTCGAGATGGCAAAGCTTACAGGCAGAATTAGAAACCAGGAAGAGGACCTCTTTAATAAAGAATGGGGAAAGTTTATAAATTAGTTGAAAAGCTATTGCCATAACCTACATTGGTAGGTTTGACAGAAAACTTGTAGTAAAAATTTGAACTATGGATGGACAAAGGATTTATAAAAATAGAGTTATGAAAGGGATGCAGAGGGGGAAATCACTACATTAAGATGCTGCACTGGTTGGAGGGGATGCTAAGCAGCACGTCGGGGCTGCCATCGTCCTGGCGCGAGGAGTTCCATCGGCCCTTCCCCGCCCGAGGAGGAGGGGGGAGGGAGGGAGACTCTCGCCCACGCCGCCCGCCAGCCCAGCATGAGGTGGGTGCGGCACTGCGGCGGCCGCTGAAGCACCGCCCTTCTGCGTCCCTCCCCATCCCCTCCTCTTCCTCCTCCCTCAGGCCGCCTCCTCAGCCGCCGCTGCCACCTCCGGCTTCCCCTGGCAGCATGGCAGAAGTCTCGCAAGAGAGGGGCTGCCTGCCCGCCCGCCACCACCCATCGCCTCAGGACACGCCACTGAGGGGGAAAAGGGAGAGACGGAGATGCGGCAGCTCATGCGTGCGCTCTCTCTCGTGGCAGAGGACCCCGAGCTGCTGCTTCCCTCCCGAGCCGGGCGAGCATGAAACCCGGGAAATTTAAGGGACACCATCAATAAGGGACAGCAGCGGGAAACGGCGCTGCGATAAGGGAGTTTCCCACCAAATAAGGGACGGCTGACAGCTATGGAGCAACGGCCTCGTCAGGCGGCTGCCAACGTCTCCCCAGACAAGACCCCCCCCCATGCCAAGTGCGCCCGGTTTGGAGGCCCCCCCACCAGGTGGAACCGGAGCCAAGACACAGCCTCTCCAGTCAGCAGAAGATTCTGGGGCTCTGGGGAGCCAGTGCCAACTAGGCCCCGGGAGAGACCAGGGTTCAGATCCTGACACATGGCCACAAAGCTCATATGGGGGGGCGGGCGGGGGGGGGGGGCTTTGGGGCCAGTCGCTGCCTCTCCCGGCTCAGGCTACCTCCCAGGGTTGTTTTTGTTAATATGGGGGTGAGAGGAGGGGTGAACCATGTCCACCACCTTGCCTTGGTGGGGGGTGCCCTCTTTGGCTCACAATAGACGGGGGAGGATTAAAAGGATGCCGGGAGAAAGCGAACAGAGAAAAGCTTTTCTCCCTCTCCCAGTGCTCGAACTCGTGACATCCAAAGGAAGGCGGATGTTGGAAGATTCAGGACGGACAAAAGGAAACCCTCCTTTATACAGCAGTATACAAATTTAATATAATAATAATAATAATAATAACAGGAAGTCCTCCTTCATGTAGCACTGAACTGTGGAACTCCCTGCCACAGGACTGTGGCACTCCCTGTTGAACTGTGGAACTCCCTGCCACAGGAGGCAATGAAGACACCTGCATGTCTTTTAAAAAAAGAGGGTTGGGCAAATTCACGGAGGAGGAGAAGCCTCCCAGCCAGGATGGCTCCGCTCTGCCCTCCACAGTCGGAGGCAGTGAATGCTTCTAAAACCCTGGGAGGGAAGCGTTGCTAATTCTCCCCTGGCCTCCTCACTGGCCCAAGCAGAATTAAACCCTGGTGACTATCTAATGCTTATTAGATGGGTTTTCCTCCAAATTGATTTCTGAACTTTGAATTTTATTTACCGGACCACCTCTCCTGGTCTGCCCCACAGAGGACCTTAAGGTCCATGAATAACCATAGTTTAGAGGTCCTGGGCCCTGAGGAAGTCAGACTATCCTCCACCAGGGCCAGGGCCTTCTCAGTGATGGCTCCGACCTGGTGAAATGTTCTGTCCCACGAGACTAGGGCCCTTCAGGATTTAACCTCCTTCCATCAGGCCTGTAAGACAGAGCTATTCCACCTGGTCTTTAATTTGAATTCAGCCTGATCTTTTATTTCCCTTCTCTTCCCTTCCCCCCTCCTTTTATGAAGATCACCCGCTCTGGGATCCCACAGCCCCTGGCCTCCTCACTGGCCCAAGTAGGACCAATTCAGCCAGCTAGCCCTGGGGATTATCTAATGCTTATTTCCCCTAAATTGATTTCTGAATTTTGAATTTTATAGTTATTCATGTTTTTATACTGTATTTTATGCTGCTTCTACAATTGTTTTAAATTTGTTGTTAGCTGCCCTGAGCCTGGTTTTCTGAACCAGGAAGGGCGGGGTATAAATAAAAATCTATTATTATTATTATTATTATTATTATTATTCATGTTTTTATACTGTATTTTATGCTGCTTCTACAATTGTTTTAAATTTGTTGTTAGCCGCCCTGAGCCCGGTTTTCTGAACCGGGAAGGGCGGGGTATAAATAAAAATCTATTATTATTATTATTATTATTATTATTATTATTATGCTCCCCCCAAAGCAGAACTCACCCTTCCTCTCTGAGAGGCCCCCGTTGCTGGGGGCAGGGTGCTGCTTCCGAACGGGGAGGGTGCTGAAGGTGCTGGTGAAGAGCACGTCCCCCGGCAGGGGCTGCTCAAAGCCGTAGGCGCTGGCATAGCTGGGGTCTCGCCTCCCGCTGCACAGGCTCTCGTCCGACAGCGTCCTCTGCAGGGTCTTCTGGGGGGACTGAGGGCAGGAAGAGAGACACGGTCAGAGGAGACTCGGGAGAGGAAAGACCCGCTGGGACCGGGGACTCTCCTTCTCCCACAGGGGCCAGAGAGACGCTCCTGGGAGGCCCACAAGCAAAGAGGATGGAGAACGCATCACCTGGAATCAAAGAGCGGAAAGGGAACCCTGGGGGCCATCTAGTCCAGCCCCCTGAAATAACGCAGGAATTACCGTATTTTTCGCCCTATAGGACGCACCGTCCCATAAGACGCACCTAGTTTTTTGGGGGGGAAATAAAGGGGGAAAAATTATTTCCCCCCCAGGCGCGGGGCTGGGGCGGTGGAAGCCCGAGCTTCCCCCGACCCCAGCCCCCAGAACAGGCAACTCTCCGCAAGCCGCAAGCCTTCGGCATGCAGGCAACTCTCCTGCCGCGGGCTCCCACGGCTTGTGGAGATCTGCGCGAAGCCTGCATTCGCCCCATAGGACGCACACACATTTCCCCTTCATTTTTGGAGGGGAAAAAGTGCGTCCTATGGGGCGAAAAATACGGTACAATGGACAGAGAGTCCCGCACAATTCCAAGGGAGTCCGCTCCACTGTCAAAACGGCTCAGAAAAGGCTTTTCCCCTTAGCTGCACAACTGTGAGCTGATCCTCAAAAAACGGGGCTTTCCCCCTTTCCTCTAAAAACTAGGTGCATCTTATAGTCAGGTGCGTCTTATGGAGCGAAAAATACAGCAGATCACGCAGTGAGTTGCGTGTCTGCTGGACTCTGCGTGCTGACAGCCCCCCTCTTCCTCCCTGTTACCGGAAAAATCCGAGGGCTCCCTTGGACTAAAACAAAGACACCAACCAGGATAACTTGGAGCAAAACAGCAGCCTGTAGGCTTGGCCTTTATTGAACTGTTGCAACAGGGTGTTCCCCCCACTTGCGAGAGAGAGGAAAGACCCAGAAAGATGGTGTGCAAGACCTTATAAAAACTTTTGAAATTCCCATTCTCTAGGTCAAGCCCACCCCCAGAAACATCATGCATACATTACAGAAAGGAGGGGTTGAGGGAGGAGCTGTGGTGGTAACCTGAGTGTCTGGTCACCTGGCTGGTTCCTCCTTTCCCCCTGCCCATGAGTCACTTCCAGGAGACAAAGGGGAGTTGGCAGTTTCCTGCCCCCAGAGGGAAGATCTGATCATTGTCCTTTGTTTCAGTCCATGCTGAATCCACTCCCATATGCAAGTTCTTTGTGATCTTGATGGTCTTCTGTCTAGGACCATCAGGGTTGGCATAGCAACTGGGCAGGGCTCCTGTGGATGTGCTGGGATGGTGAAGGGATTATGGCTGACCAGAACCAAGCCACCCCCCTTTGATAGTCCTTGTCATATGGAGTAAAATAAAAATGGAACAGTGCAAATCCAATGTATGGTTGATTTTTCTATGAATTTATAACAGAAGTGTGGCATATGTAGTGTGTGAGTGTGAGTGTGTGAAGTTTGTACAAACTGAATGATTGGGGTGGGGGGTTCCTGCTACATCCCAAACTCACCAAATCCCTCTCCTGCTCGGAGGAGCCGCCGTCCATGATGATCAGCTTCTTCAGGTCGTCCTCAATGGTGGACTTGTAGGTCTTGCGTGGGGAGCGGAGGTCGCGCAGGGAGGCCCTTAGCCGCGGCTGCCCAAAGACATTCTTGGTGTTCAGATCCACTTGTCTGGGGGGAGAGAAAAGGGGGTGATGTAGAGGAGAGGCTGCAAAATTCGGGGCTTTTTCACTTAGGGGAGAGGCAGCATTGCAGGAGGCAAGTTTTTCTCCTCGCGGTAGAACTCAGGGAACGTTGGGAGACTTAGCACAGGTGAAAGGAAGTCCTCCTTTAAGCGGAGTTAATCTGTGGAACTCCCTCCTACAGGAGGTAGCGATGGGTCACCAACTTGGGTGGCTTTAAAAGAGAAAGGGGCAGAGGGCTTCCTGTTTCCGGCGGTGGGAAATGGCTGACTCCCATACGATCGGATCCCAGCCGTGCCGGTAATTCAGGGCTGATATGGGGGTAATTAGCCCTGGCAGACTCCCCAGGATGGGAGAGGACTGTCGTGTAGACTCGCAGATTGTCCAAGATTGTCAGCTTGCATCAAGGCGCAAGTGGCAGGACACTGGGTCCCAGAGCACGACACGGCTGGCACTCTCTGAAATCACTCTCATAGCCGGAAATATCTGTTTGATAAAATAATTGGATTTGGACAACAAACAGACATAGTCTGGACCGAAGAAGAAGAAAAAACCTGCAGAACTGTACAGTCCCTGGTGTTTAAGCTCGGACTTCAAAGAGATTCTCATGATGGCGTTTGGATTACGGAGGTGTTTGGTACGTCCTTTTTCTATTCTTAATATCTTCAATTGGTTTTCTATGCCAAACCTCATCAAGAAATTTAATTTATTAAAAAAAAGAGTACAGATGGACTTCTATTTATAATTAAATATTCAACTGCGCAGCTTTACTCAGACTCGAAAGACTTGATAAAGATAAAAGAAGAAACAAGATGGCGCTTGTTAATATGACGTAGCATGGAAAAATGAGAATTCCTCCCTTTTTCAAGGGAAGCAGGAGATATTTGCTGGCTGACTTTGCAATGACTTGAGATAACAGTTTGGGACAACATACAGTGCAGCTGTTTGCAGAAGTTTTTCATTATGAGCAAGAGATAAGGCTGAATGGATGTCTAGCAGCGCCCCTACTAGGGCCCGGAGGGGGGGATTGTGTGGTCTCCATGAAGGCTGATCGATCGCCAAATGACTTATATCTGTGGATTATAGTTCCTTTACATTGCAATATTGCAAACAGTCTATGACTTTTGACATGACTGAGAATCGCATAGCCAGGGATGGAGAACTTTAAAGTGTAACAAAAGAGACATTTACATTTCCCTGTTTCCCAGCCAAGTTAATCACACCCTTTTCTCTGCATCTGGGTTTGTTATTTCTGGAATGGCTACCTGTCTGACACTCAGGTATCAGGATGACAGGGATTATCACTCAGGCAGAGGGGCTGCTGAGTAACTGAGCTCACATGTCTATATGAATTTCTGAAGTTTTCCAGTGAGCCAGTACACAGGTACATTTATCAGTGAATTCTTACATTTGGTATTGTGCAGCAGAGGCCCTTGGAATAGGCAGGAAGAAACTGTGACGAAGTGTTTTGTAGGGACAAATCACAAGTGATTGTGCTGGTTTTGGTAGTGCATGATATCTGCTGGAGGGGCAACCCCCCCCCAACCTATACATAAATTCCTGCAACAGCAGTACAGCTTGTTCCCTAAGTTTTATGGCAGTCGCACAGACTTCATTGGCCTTCCAGAAGCACACCTCAGGAGCCACCACGCCCCAGACGCAGGCCAAGCCGCAGAGCAGCAGGACCACCTTCATCCATCCAACGGGAGCTGATCCATTCAAGGGCTGCTGTGGCTGATCTGTCTGTCTGCCCCCAGCCCCCAACCCCAGGCAGGAGGGCTGGTGAGGGGTCTGCACATGCTCAGAGACCCTCTCCTCTTTTGCCTCTGCCTTGCACACTCCAGGGGGCGAGTCCTAAACAGACCTCAAAAATCAACGGCTTCGGATGCGCCTCCCTCTTTCCCACCCGCCCCCTACCCAGCAGAAGGAGAAGGCCAGGCCCCCTACTCACTTCTTGGGGTCTGCAAAGGCCGTGGGCCTGGCGGGGGTCTCCTCGCCCCTCTTCCACCCGGCCGGGAGGTGCTTGTTCCTGCTGCCCTGCTTGGAGAAGAATGACTTGGGAACGGAGGCCGAGAGCTGGAAGGAGCTGGACTGCGGCATGTGGGGGCCCCGTGTGGCATCAGCCGGGGGCGCCTTGTACGCCTGGGCGGGGTACGTGGCCCTGCCGCTGCTGAAAAACAGAGAGGAGGCTCAGTTCGCTATGGGGAGGGTGCTGGGGACACAGGCAGAGATTGCCAGATGCGACAGGAATTTTGAGGTCTTTGCCTATATGGAAATGTTCATAACCGCACGTACATAGATTAGCACAGGAAGACCGACCTGAAGCCATTTTGATTCCTAAACTGAGCAAATGTTTTCTCTGCATGGTCTAAGTGGAAAAGCCTCCCCATTGTCTTTTCCTTCACAAATCCTGTCTTAAGGGTATGTCTGTGTTTGAATAGGGTGTGAGCCTGTGACCTGGCCCAGGAACTTAGTATTTATCATTACAAGAGACGGGCCAGGCTCCCCAGGCAATCCAATCAAGTAACCTGCCAGACAGGAGATAAACAAGGACAGGAGAAAAACAACATTTAAATTTCTGTTTAGACCGCCTTTTCTGTGATGTAGATATGATGTATCGGAGGGGTGGTCTTAGGTTACACCCCTTCTGTGATGTATGTATGATGTTTCTGGGGGTGGTCTTGATCTACAGGGTGGCAATTTCAAAAGTCTTTATAAGGCCTTGCGTGCCATTTTTCGGGATTCCTCCTCCTTTCCTGCATGTGAGGGGAGCACCCTGTTGCAGCAGATCAATAAAGATCAAGCTTACTAGCTGCTTTGCTTCTCAATATTCTCTGCTTGGCCTCTGTTATTCTCTCCTACCAGTAGGGAACCTATGTAAGGACTCTATATGGGTTCTTGGATACCCCATAAGGGAAAAGGGCAATTTTTGTTTACAACACAGACATGCAGCTCCCCTGCAAGGGGGCAGGAGTTCTGTGGGGAGAGGACACCTGACCAAAGGGGTCGTGTTCGTTCAGCTGCTACCTGGGACCTGTGAAAAAAAGACAGCCAGGGAACCAAGAAATTACACAAAGCAAAACAAAAGAATTGCCGTGAAAATCCCTGAAACGAGAGGTGCCGTATTTTTCGCTCTATAAGACGCACCAGACCACAAGACGCACCTAGTTTTTGGAGGAGGAAAACAAGAAAAAAAATATTCTGAATCTCAGAAGCCAGAACAGCAAGAGGGATCGCTGCGCAGTGAAAGCAACAATCCCTCTTGCTGTTCTGGCTTCTGTGATAGCTGCGCAGCCTGCATTCACTCCATAAGACGCACACACATTTCCCCTTACTTTTTAGGAGGGAAAAAGTGAGTCTTATAGAGCAAAAAATACAGTAATCGACTATAGAATAACAAAAATTTAAAAAATTAAGGAAAAATTAACCAAAGACTTAACGAGATGCCGGCTACAAAACTTGTTTCACGGAACTAATCAGTTTCCTCAGAAGGAAATAAAGAATTTTAAACCTTAAATGATTTTAAGTGATATCAGGCAAACTCAAGAGCTGGGCTGAGACGCTTCCTTGAGTTTACAAAGAAGGTATAAAAACCTCAACGACAAGTATTAAACATAGCCCTATTTAAGAGAACATTGTAAACCTTAAATGGTTTTCAACGATTTCCAGCAAACTCAAGAGCAGGGCTGAAACACTTCCCTGAGTTTACAAAAAGAAAAACTTACAAAGGAATACGAGATAAGCTGTTTAAGTTTCAAACAAACTCAAAAACAGGGCTAAGCGCTCCTGACTGCTGATGTTAAAGACTGCTACCTGGGACCTGGCGTGATTGTGGGGAATGGCCACCGGGGGCAGGAGGGGCTGCTGTTTTAGGGCGCCCATTTGGGGGTGATTTGGGGGAGGAGATTGGGTGGCGTAGGGTTAAAAACATGTTTTTCCACGGTGCATGTTTTAAGCATCATCATCATTGTATTTGTTGATATCCCACTGTTCTCCCCGCATGGGGACTTTAAGGAGGCTTACGGCTAAAGTAAGAACAGCCACAAACAGAAGGGGGAAAGCAATAGTTGAAAACAATTAAACGTTAACAGAATAGCTGTATCTATATAAAAACATGCAGAATCGTGACAATGAAAACATCACCACCCTGATTAATGCCCTCCCCTCAGATGTCAAGGGAATAAACAACTGTTTGACTTTTGGAAGACACCTGCAAGGCACTCCTGTAACTTCTTAATGATTGGTGCTTTCTTGTGTTTTTAATATTTTGTTGGGAGCCGCCCAGAGCGGCTGGGGGAACCCAGTCGGATCAGAGATATAAATAATAATAATAATAATTAGTTAAAGGAAAGGAGGGAAGTCCAAGAGATTCTTTGGAATCTTGTTTCTGTGTTGTATGTTGGATATTTGACTGTAAAAGTTTGATCTGAAAAACCAAATAAATAAATACAGTGGTACCTCGGGTTAAGAACTTAATTTGTTCTGGAGGTCCATTCTTAACCTGAAACTGTTCTTAACCTGAAGCACCACTTTAGCTAATGGGGCCTCCTGCTGCTGCTGAACGATTTCTGTTCTCATCCTGAGGTAAAGTTCTTAATCTGAGGTACTATTTCTGGGTTAGCGGAGTCTGTAACCTGAAGCGTTTGTAACCTGAAGCATCTGTAACCCGGGGTACCACTGTAATAATAATAATAATAATAATAATAATAATATGATTATCAGGATAGTATAAATAATAGTATTATCATCATCATCATCATCATCACAGCACCAGCCTTTCCGTTATCCGAGAGGGACAGGGAGGAGCAAGAAGGCCTTGCAGAGCCCTGGGTTTCCTTCCAACTTTACAATTCTATGGTTCCAGCAGGGGCACCTGGGAGAGAGGGGGCCAGCCCCAGAAAGGCCCTGCTCACCTTGGCTGCTTGAAGTGGTGGTTCCCGCTGCCGCCCCGGGCAGCCCCTCCGGAGCCCATCCCAAAGGCCTTGTGGCCGTGGTAGCCCCAGCTCTGCCCGCCAGAGCCGACGGCCGGGGACGCGTCCCTGCGCTTGCCGCTGCTCGCAGCCTCGTGCAAGGCGCCGCCGAAGGGTGGCGGGGCCTTGGTGGCGGGCTTGTCCCTGCGCGAGGAGGACTTGGCGCTGGTGGCGTCGATGCCGCTGTCGCTGGAGCCCCCCTTGGCCAGGGGGTCCGGGTCGGCCTCGGCCGGGTCGGGCGTGTCGAACCAGCGCTCGTCGCTGTGGCTGCTGGAGGCGTTGCTGGAGAGCGTGTTGCTGCTGGAATGGCTGCTGGAGTACTGCCCCTCGCCCTGGAAGCGGGGAGAGCAAGGGCGTCAGGCCTGCGGAGGGGGAGGCCTCTGCGGGGAGGGGGTCCCCCCGCCAGCGCCCACCCCAGCTCACCTTGGAGTGCCGGTTGGGAGAGTCCTTGCCCGCCAGCTCCTGCCTGCTCGGCCGCTTGCTGCCGGACGGTGCCGACGCCCTGGGCTGTGCCGGCACGTGCCAAAGAGGCTCTGCCAAGGGAAGCCGGGAGTCACACCTTCAGAAAGAGCCCCTTGTTCACACACACACACACACACACACACACACACACACACACACCAGCCTGTCACATGCTCCAGCGACTTCCAAGAACGGATTTCTGGCTGCTAGATCAGGCCCCGGGGAAGCCCATGGGGAAGTCCGCAAGCAGCATTCGAACACAAAACCCTCTGCCCTCCTGCAGCTTCCAGAAGCTGGCATTTGGAAGCACAGATGGGTCCCGTGAGAGGGGCCCCCCTCAGCCTGGTCCAAGGCGTGAGAGATGGGGCTGAGGCTCCCTGGCAGGGGACACGACAGGCCTTCACTTCCCTTATGAAGCCTCCTTTCCTTGCCCAGAGGCCAGGGCAAGCGCTGCCGCCTCGGCCTCATGGGATGGGCTGCTCCTAGGCCAGCACAGAGCTAGGAATGATTAATAATAATAATAATAATAATAATAATAATAATAATAATAAATTTTTATTTATACCCCGCCCTTCCCGGTTCAGAAAACCGGGCTCAGGGTAGCTAACAACAAATTTAAAACACTTAAGTGATGCAACAAAAAACAGCATAAAATGCAGTATAAAATGCGAATAACAATAAATTCAAAAATCAATTTAGGAGGAAAATCCATCCAATCAACATTAGATGATTTAGCTAGCTGGTTAAATTAGTCCTATTTGGGCCAGTGAGGAGACCAGGGGAGAATTAGCTGTGGGATCCCAGAGCGGGTGATCTTCATAAAAAGGAGAGGGGGAGAGAAGGAAGGGGAATAAAAGATCAGGCTGTGTTCAAACTGAAAGCCAGGTGGAATGGCTCTGTCATACAGGCCCAGCAGAGGGAAGTTAAATCCTGCAGGGCCCTGGTCTCCTGTGGCAGAGCATTCCACCAGGTCGGAGCCATCACTGAGAAGGCCCTGGCCCTGGCAGAGGATTATTTCACACATTTAGATCCCACCTTTCCCTCCAAGGAGATCAATGTGCCATACATGGTTCTCCTCCCCTCCCCTTTATCCCCACAACAACCCTGTGAGGTTGGTTGCATCCCCAAATCACCCACATGGGAGCATAGTCTCAACCTGCAGGTGACCAAGGGGTGGGGCAGGCAAATGAACACCCCCTTCCTCCCAGCATCCTTAGACGAACCACCAGAAGCCTGCCCCAAATACCTCCCGCCCGCCTGCCCCATGGCTGTGTCCTCAGAAGCCCCAGGTCTCTCTAGGTGCACCAAAGGCAGCTATGAGACACCTGTCAGGGTTTCTTGAGTTGCGATTCCTGCATTGCAGGGGTTAGGCTAGATGACTTCTGGGGAGCCCAGCTTCCCAATTTTACGATTATATAAAGGGCTGAGCCCAGGCCCAGACAGAGGGGGGGCCATATAGACCACTTGGCCCGGGCCTCCGATTCCAAAAGGTCAGCATTTTCATCTATATTTTCCATTTTCTCTTTATATGCAGATACGATTCAAGCCTTGAAATAAAATTATTTGTCAGCATAGCTTCTGTGAAAATTATTTATATACTGACTTATTTATAAGACTTCAGTTATCCCCAGGGTAAAAAAAAGGGGGGGGCAGTATACCTGAAGAAGCGTCTCCACCCCCATTGTTCTGCCTGGACGCTGAGGTCCAGCGCCGAGGGCCTTCTGGTGGTTCCCTCATTGCGAGAAGTGAGGTTACAGGGAGCCAGGCAGAGGGCCTTCTCGGTAGTGGCACCTGCCCTGTGGAACGCCCTCCCATCAGATGTCAAACTACCTGACATTTAGAAGACATCTGAAGGCAGCCCTGTTTAGGGAAGCTTTTAATGTGTTACATCTTAGTGTATTTTTGGTCTTTGTGGAAGCCGCCCAGAGTGTCTGGGGAAACCCAGCCAGATGGGTGGGGTACAAATAATAAATTATTATTATTATTATTATTATTATTATTATTATTATTATCATTATTATTATTTACCTGGCCCGGGCCTCTGCCTGGCTCTGCAAGGCCCTGGCTGAGCTCAACTCACTCCCACAACCCCCCCCCCGAAACCCCGCTCCCCCTTACCAGGCTTGGGCCTCTCCATGGTGCTCTCCTGGCTGGCCACCCCCCCGGAGGAAGAGCAGGAGTCCCCGTTGGAGGCCGCCTCGTGGGCATAGAGGGGGTCGAAGGGCATCAGGGGCCGCTGCGCTTGTGGGGCTGCATACCTGTGTGTGGAACTGGGAGAGAGAGAAAGGAGAGAAGGAATGAGGCAGGTGGCAGCTCAAGAAGGCAAACTGAGGCGGGGGGGGGGGAGGAGTAACGCCACCCAGCCTGCCTCCCGTTCATTAGCAGGTTTTAAAAATACCAAATTTATGGCAGGGGGGAGGAGAGGGAGGGAGGGGAATGAAGAGGCATAGCGCTCCTCAGTTCGGTGGCCCAGGCAACGGAGGCACAGCCCAGAAAGAGAGGAGCAGAAGGGACAAGGGGAGGCTCAGCACACAGCCCCCTAACCACCGTTCTCCAGCCCCACACGTCCCCCCAAAGCAGCAACGCTCCACGGCCAGACCTCTCGGGGCAGGAGCTGCAGCGGAAGACTCAAGTGCCAGGCCAGAGGATGAAGATGCCCTCTTCCCCAGTCAGGTGGGCAGGGGGCAGCAAGGGCAACCCACCCCCCCAGACCCTCCCCCTCTCTCCAGCTTCAGAGGGCGAGAGAGCAAGGAGAGGTTGCAGCAGGGCCCGGGTGCTGAGGCCGTGACTGGTGCCCTGCGAGGGTCCCCATTGCACCAGGCGTGCCAGCCGACGTCTCATGCCAACCAGGCTGGATGAAGTGGCAGCAACAGACCCCTGGGGAAAGGGAGAGGATGCTTCTCTCGGGCACCATGCCACGATGCCAGCCAGCGCCTCAAGCTCAGCCTGCTGCCCCTTCCTGGCTCAACCCTTTCACTGCCCTCCCCGAAGCGGCCCAGCGCATGCCAGGGTGACCCATCGCTCCTCCACACGCCAAACGCTGCCCGTCTGGCTAATGCCCCCCACCTCGGCAGGACCTGCGTCCCTTTGTGCTCAGGGTGGGGTCTGGCACCGAAGCATCCGAGCATTTTGCAGCGGGCACCATTTGCACGGAGTCGCCGTGAAGTGGAACGAAGAGGAAAAAAGGAGAAGGAGGGTGCAAAATGCCCTTTCCCAACCCAAACACCTCCACCCGCCCACTTTGCAGGGTATCACAAGGTGCCAGCCAAACCTTCTCTGCCACTTGGCACCTTTTTGTCACACGTTGGAGCGCTAAGAAAAACCTGTGCCAAGCAAGGACGTCGCTGTTAACAGGTAGGTGCCTCTGCTGCTTTGTTACTTCTTGTCCTGATTTTGTTCGCAGCTGCTTGCCATGCGGAGTGATGGGTGAAGCCCCCTGCCCTGCTGCCCCCCAACCCACCTGGCGAGATGGGGGGGGGAAGAGAGAGAATCTTCTGCTGCCTGGGAACGAAGGCCAGAACGCCCAGGACTGGGGTCCCAAACTCTCTCTGCGCTGAGAATCGAACCCTCTGCCCTTCTTCCCCACTCCCTGCAGGGCCTTGCCCGGTTGCCACCTGAGATGTGCAGAGACCCCCTTGGGGCTGCCCCCCCCCCCCGTGCCTACCTTTCTGGAGATGGCTTGTAGCGGGCGTAGGCCGCCCCCGCCGCTGCCCCCGAAGAGCCTGGCATGGAGAAGCTGCCCGAGGTCTGGCGATAGGACAGGATCCTCTCTGCCCCAGGCTGCGAGGAAGAGAGCGCTGGGGGGGTCTCTGGGAAGCTCACTGGCCTGGAAGGGGGGAGGCAGAGAGAGAGAGAGAGAGAGAGAGAGAGAGAGAGATGTATCAGGAAGAGGAAGAAGAACTTCAGCGCTCTCCCCGGTGCCCAGCAGCGCTTCGGCAGGCCTCTTCTGAACATCCTCAGCAGAGATAATGGAGCAATTAGTCAAAGGGGGGGGGGGAGGCAATGGGAGAAGGAAAGAGCTTGAGTCATGACCCACAGGCTCTGCGGCAGGACCGTCCAAAGGGCACTGGCAGGCAGGGAGCGCCGCCAGGAAGCTCCAAAGATGTCGCATGCAGCAGCAGCAACAGGAGGGCGAGGCTGCCAGGAGGGGGGAGAAAATGAGCAAGCCAAGCGCCCCCCCATGCCCGACAACCCTCCTCCTCCTCCTCACCTCTTGCCATGCAGGGGCTGGGGCTCTCGGTAAGGGGCCACGGCGCTCTGCTTCGGGGTCCTGGTCAAGGACTGGGACTGGCCGTGGCTCGGCTGCGAGGAGCCGTGGGTGGCAGCGCTGCTCCACTGCCAGGCGGAGTTGCTGCGGTAGGGGGGCCGGTAGCCCACCGGCAGGCTCTCCTGCTCCCCCTTGGCCTCCAGGGTGCTCATCTTGAAGGACTCAGCCCAGCCCCTGCAGAGGGAGAGAACAGAGCAGAGGCGCACTGAGCAAAGCTCTCCACCGTCCGCACGGAACGGGGTTGGGCTGGATGACCCTCCGCACCCCTTCCGACTCTTCCTTTAGAGCAGCGGTTCTCAACCTGTGAGTCCCCAGATGTTGTTGGACTACAACTCCCATCACCCCTGAGCTCTGGCCTTGCTAGCTAGGGGTGATGGGAGTTGTAGTTCAACAACTTCTGGGGACCCACAGGTTGAGAAAGGCTGCTAGTGCCATCAAAGTTGGCCCTCATGGCCTCCACCAGGCCAGAGGCAACGTAAGCAGATCCAAGAGTGCCCGTCTGGCCCCGCATCCTGTCTTCGTGCCCTAAGAACCCAGGAATCATGATAGACTGCCTCTGGACCTGGAGGCTCCACAATAACAAGTAAGAAGAGCTCAGCTGCTGGATCAGACTCCTGTTTTCACAGGGGCCAACCGGATAACGCCAAGGTAAACCTGCAAGCGGGATCCGAGCCCAAGAGCCCTGTCCCCATCTCCTGTGACTTCCAGCAATTAGCTCTCAGGATCATCGCTGCCTCCAACTGTGAAGGCACAGCATAGTCATCCTGGCTAAGAGCCATCGACAGCCCTCCCCTCCTCCTCCATGGATTTCTCACATCCTCTTTTAAAGCCATCCCTGGCTCCTGTGGGAGGGAGTTCCACAGTCCAACACTGAACTGCATGAGGAAGGACTTTCGGTTACCTGAGTCATGCACACGGCAGGGGCTGCCAAGATGTGCGGCTTATGAAACAAGGAGAGAGACATGTGCTCAGAGAGATGGTGGGGAGCTGTGCTCATTGACCCCCCCTCCAAAAAAAAACCCCAGACACTTTGCAGCTCCGATCCTCCAATGGCCTGATGTAAGAACTACCATGCAATTCTCGGAAGCAAAGAATCACGCTGAGTCAACCTTTGCAAAAAGACCTCTTGCCATGACTCACGCTCTACTCCATTCCCCATCCAGCATGTGTCTCTGGGCTGCCCTCCAACTCCAAAAGGAGACCCTCTTTTCTGGCTCTCCCTTGGGAGACCACAGGTGGGTTCAAGGCCAGGGGCCACCTCTGCACCAAACCAGAACTTCCAGCGCGGCAGGAAGGCTGGATTTCAGAACGGGAGGGACAGCCGCAAGGGCCAGGCTCCGTCGGAGGATGGAGACAGCCTACCGCCTTGTGATGGGCTTCCCCTGGCCAGGTGGATCTGCACCCATTCCTCTGGGGTGCCACTGTTTGCTAGTGGGGGGGGGGGGGGCACAGCACACAGAGCTGCAGATTTCACTCACCCAGGCAAGTCTCTAGCAAAAGCGAGCATCTGATTCCTCCCTCCGCCAGCTGGATCTCCAAAAAGCAGTGCTGGGAAGGATGAAGTCATTGGCAACAAGCCTTGGCAGGGGGAGCCCCCCCCCCCGGCAACACCTGGCGCCGGAGCCGGCTTCCAGGGCCCGACAAGACCACCCCACTCAAATTTCAGGGCCGCCAATACCTGCCTCTGCTGTGGGAACCCCACTGCCCACCCCCTTGGCTCTGTGGAGAGGAAGGGCAAGCAACCGCCTCAGTGTCAGTTCAGCCATTGTGCTCGTGCGCTCCGTTCGGCACCGGCAATTTGGTTGGGGAGGGCGGACGTGTCGGCAAGCTGAGGGGTGCCTCAACTTGCTCTCCCAACCACACCTGGCGAATCAGGCAGGAAGCTGGAGAGGCCAAGGGCACAGCTGGGGCTCGCGAGGATTGCTACTTAACTCTTTGCAGGCTCTATGCATCCGCCTCCTCTAGAGGAGATGAGTAAGAGCAGCCCACTCGCAGGCGGGAGCGGAAAGGGGCCGTGCAGGGTGGAGAACTTCCCAAAAAGGGGAGTCTGGGAAAAGCCAGCATGAAACGCTCGCCGTCCTCACCCCAGGCAGCCTTGCAAACGCAGCTTTTCGCATCCAAAGCGCTTAAAAAACAGGAACCGCAAAGCTCGCCTTCACCCCTTGCTGAGGATTTCCCTCCCCGCAGCTTCCGGCCGGATGCTGAAGTCACACCTGAGATGCGTGTTTGCAGGACGCACCCTCTTCCCATGGCCATTATTTGTTCTGGCTGCTTTTAATTCTGGGTTTTAAAGTGCCGTGAGCTGCCCTGGGGATGTGCAAGTAATAAACCTATGAACAACTACAACGACGACAACACTAATGTTTACAGATGGGAGGCTGAGTCGGCGACCTGCCTGTGGTCAGCTGTGGCATGCAAACCCAGAAGCCCCCCCACCCTCACCCCCACAAAGGCTCCATGTGTAAAACTCTTCCCCACAGCTTGGCCATGCTGCCTTCTGGCAAGAAGCGTTCGGACGCTGTTCAGCTCAGGATCAATGTCAAGAGGACAATGGCTAAAGAACCATAAGTACCGTATTTTTCGCTCCGTAAGACGCACTTTTTTCTTCCTAAAAAGGAAGGGGAAATGTCTCTGCGTCTTATGGAGCAAATGCATGGTCCCTGGAGCCGAATTGCCCAGGGGCGAAAAGCAGATCATGCAATGGCGCAAAAACGTGGTTACAAAGCACGGATCCACATGGATTCTCAGGATTTTTGCATTGGGCTACCCCAAACTCACCGTCAAATCACATGTTTGTGGCCACAGCATGAACCACAAAAATCATACATCCACTGTTTCGTTCAGAATATTTTTTTTCTTGTTTTCCTCCTCTAAAAACTAGGTGCGTCTTATGGTCAGGTGCATCGTATGGAGTGAAAAATACAGTAACTCCATCTCTACCCCCCACCGACTTTGGGACGTCTCGCTCACCAGAATAAGAGTAGGCTCAGCAAGAAACAGGACATCTACCACTGGTCTTGCAACGACTGCCCCCAAGCATCCACTGACTACAACCTGGGAGAGATGATGCGCAGGGGCCGGGCTCTGTGCCCCCCCCCCCGACCCTGCACTTGAGCCGGGGACTGTTCCCTTCTGCTCTGGCGACTGGTAGACCAGGAGCGGATCTGAATCCTGAACCGACATCTGAAACGGCTCCTCGCTCTCCTCTCCCAGACTCCTCAGGCGCAAAACAGCTGTACGCCGGGATGGTTATGTTCCAGCAATGCAGGGTGCGGCCCAGATTCCCCCCCAGGGAGCCCTCATTCCTGAGTAATGCAGTCAGTCCTGAGCAGGGTGTCAGCACACCCGTCCTCGCTCTCTGTTAGCCTCTGCTCCCGGGAAACGGGCGGAAAGCATCGTCCCAAGACAGAATGGCCAAGCCTTTGGAAGAACAAGTTTTGTTGGAGGAGGGCCAGCAAGGCTTCTTCAGGGTCAAGTCACAGAATCCTAGAACTGTAGAGTTGGAAGGGAACCCTACAGTCATCTAGTCCAACCCCCTGCAGTGGCTAACCTGAAGGAGCGTCTCCACCCCCATCATTCAGCCTGGACACTGAGGTCCAGCCCTGAGGGCCTTCTGGCAGTTCCCTCTCTGCGAGAAGCAAAGTTACAGGGAACCAGGCAGAGGGCCTTCTCAGTGGTGGTGCCCCCCCTGTGGAATGCCTCCCATCAGATGTCAAGGAAATAAACAACTATCTGACTTTGAGAAGACATCTGAAGGCAACCCTGTACAGAAGTTTTTAATATTTGATATTTTATTCTGTTTTTAATCTATTGGGAGCTGCCCAGAGTGGCTGGGGAGACTCAGCCAGATGGGTGGGGTATGTATGTATGAATGAATAAATAAATGAATATTATTATTATTATTTTCTATAAGCATAGGGATGCGGGGGTCTAAACCACAGTGTCTAGGGCTTGCCAATTGGAAGGTCGGCGGTTCAAATCCCTGCGACGGGGTGAGCTCCTGTTGCTTGGTCCCTGCTCCTGCCAACCTAGCAGTTTGAAAGCATGTCAAAAGTGCAAGTAGATAAATAGGTTCCGCTCCGGCGGGAAGGTAAACGGTGTTTCTGTGCGCTGCGTTGGTTTGCCAGAAGCGGCTTAGTCATGCTGGCCACATGACCCGGAAGGTGTCTGCAGACAAACGTCAGCTCCCTCAGCCAGTAAAGTGAGATGAGCACCACAACCCCAGAATCGTTTACGACTGGACTTAACTGTCAGGGGTCCTTTACCTTTACCTTTATAAGCATATGGAAAGGGGTGATGCAGAAAGTACAGTGTACTTAAGACTCTCCAAAAGCCACTGATCAAGTCCCTCACCAAAGACTCTTGAGTAAGCGTAGCAGACGCAGATTAACAGGAGAGGGCCTGTCATGGGACTCAGCTCTACAGCTGCAAATAAAACATTGTGAGTGTGTTGTAAAAGGTAAAGGTACCCCTGCCCGTACGGGCCAGTCGTGTCCGACTCTAGGGTTGTGCGCTCATCTCACTCTAGAGGCCGGGAGCCAGCGCTGTCCGCAGACACATCCGGGTCACGTGGCCAGCGTGACGAAGCTGCTCTGGCGAGCCAGAGCCGCACACAGAAATGCCGTTTACCTTCCCACTAGTAAGCGGTCCCTATTTATCTACTTGCACCCGGGGGTGCTTTCGAACTGCTAGGTTGGCAGGTGCTGGGACCGAGCAACAGGAGCGCACCCCGTCGCAGGGATTTGAACCGCCGACCATGCGATCGGCAAGTCCTAGGCGCTGAGGTTTAACCCACAGCGCCACCCGCCACCCGTGTTGTAAAGTGCAGTAAACAAATGCGACACTAGATGGTGACTGTTAGCCTTATGGCGAATTCAATACAGTTTTCAATACGAAAGAAAAAGCATTTCCACAGCATTTTTTTGTATGTGCCTAGATTCCACCATGGACTGGTAACTGGTTAAGGAACAGGAGAACCAGAGAACAGGATGGAGGTATGCGGAAAGTCCCTCAAGCGTCGCTTGGGCCTCTGCTTGCAAACTTGTTCACAAATGACCTGGAGTTGGGGGAGAGCAGCAAGGGGGCCAAAATTTACAGATCACATACAGGAGCAAAAAGGGATTGTGAGGAACTGAAACTAGAGTAATGTGAAGCCCACTGGCTCAAGATATTTCCTCACTTGGCATGTGTTTAGGGGGAGCTGGAACTGGCAGTGACTGACCAGGAACGAGATCGTGGGGTTGTACTGAATTAGCAAAATCAAAATGTTGACCCAGCCATTCTGACTTCCGTGCACAAAGCTTATTGCAGAGATTGGATAGTAGTCAGTCTTTATTGAGTCTTTATCTTCACAGAGCATTTGCTCTGATTGGTTTATGGGGCGCTTAGACAACACTGGGGAGACGCGGGTGGCGCTGTGGTCTAAACCACAGAGCCTAAGGCTTGCCGATCGGAAGGTCAGAGGTTCGAATCCCTGCGCCGGAGTGAGCTCCCGTTGTTTGGTCCCAGCTCCTGCCAACCTAGCAGTTCGAAAGCACGTCAAAATGCAAGTAGATAAATAGGTTCCGCTCCGGCGGGAAGGTAAACGGTGTTTCCGTGCGCTGCTCTGGTTTGCCAGAAGCGGCTTAGTCATGCTGGCCACATGACCCGGAAGGTGTCTGCAGACAAACAGCTCCCTCAGCCAGTAAAGTGAGATGAGCACCACAACCCCAGAATCGTTTACGACTGGACTTAACTGTCAGGGGTCCTTTACCTTTACCTTTATAAGCATATGGAAAGGGGTGATGCAGGAAGTACAGTGTACTTAAGACTCTCCAAAAGCCACTGATCAAGTCCCTCACCAAAGACTCTTGAGTAAGCGTAGCAGATGCAGATTAACAGGAGTGGCTTAGTCATGCTGGCCACATGACCCGGAAGCTGTCTGCGGACAAATGTCGGCTCCCTCGGCCTATAGAGCGAGATGAGCATGCAACCCCAGAGTTGTCCACAACTGGACCTTACGGTCAGGGGTACCTTTAGACAACACTGAGCCTCCACCCTGCCTCTTTTCTGATTTCTAGGCTTCCCCTCATCGCTCATCCACCCACCCCACATTTCTCAATGCATTTCTCTGTCACTTTCCAAACTGCAAGAAGTCTCTTTTGAAACATGGATCTGTTGCGCTAGGGAGACAAAGGCCACAAGATACGCAAACTCCCTTCTCCATGCTGCTCCACCACTTGGGGCAAGGAGCGAGGTTGAGCGACCACCTCCCCACACACCCTGAGACCTCCTGGGCCTGCAGCAACTGGGACATTAGGGCAAAGGCTGGGCAATTAATAAAAACTGTAACAGCAAACAGTTAACGGTAAAGGGACCCCTGACCATTAGGTCCAGTCCTGACCGACTCTGGGGTTGCGGTGCTCATCTCACTTTATTGGCCGAGGGAGCCGGCATACAGCTTCCGGGTCATGTGGCCAGCAGGACTAAGCCGCTTCTGGCGAACCAGAGCAGCGCACGGAAACGCCGTTTACCTTCCCACCGGAACGGTACCTATTTATCTACTTGCACTTTGACGTGCTTTCAAACTGCTAGGTTGGCAGGAGCTGGGACCGAGCAATGGGAGCTCACCCCGTCGCTGGGATTCGAACCGCCGACCTTCTGATTGGCAAGTCCTAGGCTCTGTGGTTTAACCCACAGAGCCCAGGCCTAAATGGATATGTTGCTTGAGGCAGAACTGAGCGTCCACTGCAACATCAGCCACAAGCCTTACCCATCACTCATGGGGACAGCAATGGAGACCCAGGGGCCACCCAAATGATGACTTCAACTCCCATCAGTCCCAGCCAGCATGGCCAATATGGGAGATGTAGTCTAACTGATCGCTGAACAATGAATGCTTTTGAATTCTGGTGCTGGAGGAGACTCTTGAGAGTCCCATGGGCTGCAAGAAGATCAGACCTATCCATTCTGAAGGAAATCAGCCCTGAGTGCTCATTGGAAGGACAGATCCTGAAGCTGAGGCTCCAAGACTTTGGCCACCTCGTGAGAAGAGAAGACTCCCTGGAAAAGACCCTGGTTGGGAAAGATGGAGGGCACAAGGAGAAGGGGACGACAGAGGACGAGATGGTGGGACGGTGTTCTCGAAGCTACCAGCATGAGTTTGACCAAACTGCGGGAGGCAGTGGAAGACAGGAGTGCCTGGCGTGCTCTGGTCCAAGGAGTCACGAAGAGTCGGACACGACTAAACAACAGTCTAACTGAACTTCAGGATGGCCCTTCCTCAGGAGCAGGCGGGATCTCCTCCACCAGAGGCTGCACAAGCTGTTTGCCAAGGACCCCGAACCAGCCTCCTGCCTTGCACATCAGACCCTGACAACACTGCTTCCACAGCCCTTGCCAGCTCTGCGATGAGCAGCGGGAGCAAAAGCGTGCAAAAGGGGTCCATGCGAGGCCACTCAATGGGCATGGCTGCGTCCTCTTGGCACAACACAATGGTTTGGTGCAGAAAAGACCTCTGTGTGGAGCCACAGGAATCCTTTTGCTTCTGCCAGCCTGCCAGGAGTTGGATGCAAAGCAAGGCCAATGTTACCTGCGAGGGACGCCATCCTCGTGCGGAGGGACGATGACCACCTTCACCGTCACAGAGGTGCGCAGCCAGTCGATCATCTGGTCGTGGCTGAGCGTGACCACGGCCACCTTGCAGATCTCCACCAGCCGGCTGCCCTGGCGCAGCCCCGCTTGCCAGGCAAAGCCGTAGTCCTCCACCTCGGCCACCGTCCCGTCAAACTTCACGTGGAATCCCAGCTGCCCCAGCCCGTTCCTCCGCAGTGTCATCTCCACCGTCTCGCAGCCAGAGGTCATGACCTAGGGAAAGAGTCGGAAGGGGCAAAGAAGAGTGGAACCGTAAGGGACCGCAAGGGTCATCTGGTCTGACCCCCCGAAATGCAGGGATCACCGCTCAACCTCTGCTTAAGAAACTCCAATGAAGGATTGCACCCCATCTTCCAGTGGCAGGCGGTGAAATTTTTCGTAGGGGAACAGTTACGGCCAGAGGCGCTGGTTTGCCAGGACACGTGTGTGATGTTGTGACGTCCCAATGTTCCACTTGTGAGCATCATGCCTCTCTCCCTAACCCGGGCAGAAGCGTTCCAGGCTCTGGGAACGAGGCACCGGGCTTTAACACTTTATTCATTTACTGGGAGGGACGCAGGTGGCGCTGTGGGTTAAACCACAGAGCCTAGGACTTGCCGATCAGAAGGTCGGCGGTTCAAATCCCTGCGACGGGTTGAGCTCCCGTTGCTCGGTCCCTGCTCCTGCCAACCTAGCAGTTCAAAAGCACGCCAAAGTGCAAGTAGATACATAGGTACTGCTCCAGCAGGAAGGTAAACAGCGTTTCCATGCGCTGCTCTGGTTCACCAGAAGCAGCTTAGTCATGCTGGCCACATGACCCGGAAGCTGTACACTGGCTCCCTCGGCCAATAAAGCGAGATGAGCGCCGCAACCCCAGAGTCGGCCACGACTGGACCTAATGGTCAGGGGTCCCTTTACCTTTACCTTAATTTACTGGGAACATTTAGGGGACCAGTCTAGCCCCCCCAGTCCACCAACCGCATGCCACTGCCACCTTCTGAAGGAGACCGTTCCGCTCTGTAGCGGCTCTGACCATTACAAAGTTATTCCTAAGCTTTAGTTGCAATCTGCTCCCCCCCCCATAATTTTTATAAACTTGGTTTCAAACCCCCATCCGCTCCACGCATGCAAGCAAAGGGCCCAAGGATCCAAGGGTCCTGACTTAATGTGGCCGTCACTGACCTTCAGCCGCTGCACAATCTCCTTGATGTCCTCCGGGTTGCTCTCCAGGGCCCGGATGAAAATGTGGTCCCCGCGCCCGTAGAAGACCTTGATGCTGAACGTGTCCGGCGTCCACCCGATCACGTCCGCGCAGAAGCAGTTGAAGACCACCTCTTTGGTGCCCAGGTCCAAGAGGACGACAAACTCGTTGGAGATGCCCAAGATGCACTCGATCTCCAGCCCCTGGGTGTAATCCTGCGCCTGCACGTGCCACGCAATGGCCCCGGCACTGTGCTGCTCGGCTCCCGGCCGGGCTTTCGTCTTCTCCTTCTTCTTGGAGGCCAGAGAGATCAGGTTGAACTTCCCCGTGGAGTCGATGGGCGTGCTGGTGACGCAGTTCTCCGCCAGGTCCTTCAGGTACTCCTGCCGCGTCCGCGTGGCCATCGTGTGGAACTTGTCCGACTTGTGGGCCGCGTTCTCGGCGTTGATCACCTTGGCCAGCAGGAAGTCCCGGAAGACGTCGGATTTGTGGAAGGCGGCTCGGCTGGGGATGGCTGGCCCAAAGGGAGGGACGTCTTTGGAGCGGGTCACCGCCACGCTGGGGACACGGAAGGAGAGAAGTGGGAAGCACAGCTTGGACCAAGCAGAAGGCAGGAGCCGGCCGGCAGTAAATCCCAGCAGTTTATACCTGGTAGGTCTTGCCCCACGGATCAGTTGCCCAGACTGAAAGTTCCCACCTCCCCTCCGCCATCTCAGTCTCCACCTCTCCAGGGTTTTCCCCAAACAATCAGAGCCTTAGCTTGCGTGAAGCCAACCTCCTCTCCGCCCTTTTCATGCCTCTCCTGGTTCTGGGAGACCAGGGAGGAGGGGAGCTGGTCACAGCAGGAGGGGGAGACACCCGGGCCACTTCACCAGCCGAACTCATCTCTGCATCTTGGCTTGCCTCTTCTCCTGCCTCTGAATCTGGACCTCTTGCTGCCACAGACCCTTCCTGTTGCAGCTGAATGATGTCGTGATGACCTCATGTGATGGGCAGAAAGGTGGCCCCGCCCACTTGTCAAATTTGGCCCTGGTCCATAGCTGTCAACTTACAGATTTGAAAATAAGGGACCAGCAGCCTCAAAAATAAGGGATCAGCAGCCAAAATAAGGGATTTTCCGGGCACAGGTATGTTCAACTTCTGAGCCCCTCTGAGCCAAAGGCAGAAAGCCCAGCCAGCAGCCAAATGAAGCCTCAAGCCTCAAGGACATCACCGTCACCTCTCCGCTGGGAAGCACTGAGCAAAGGTGAGTCCCCTGGCAACGCAGCCGATTTGATCAGCACAAGGCATGCAAGCTCCACCTCCCAGTCATTCTTAGACTCCTTATTCGGTGAGCAACGCAGCCAAGCAACACAGTTGGAGCCTCCCTCCTCCCTGGCTGGCAGGGAGGGAGGGAGAGGAGCTGCTTCCTTTGAAACCCAGGAAATTTAAGGGACATCATCAATAAGGGACAGCAGCGGGAAACAGCGCTGGGATAAGGGACTTTCCCACCAAATAAGGGACGCTTGACAGCTATGCCCTGGTCACCTCAAAAGCTCACTTGGCCCATAGGATAAGCATTCCTCCTGACTAGCGTTAGCTCTGCCTGGGGGGCTTCCTCCCTCCTGCCAGACCCTTCTAGAACGACTACTGCAGGGGGTTGGACTACATGACCCTGGAGCCCATTCCAACTGCACCATTTGATGATTCTGCCAGAGAGTCTGTGGGATGAGCCTGGGGGCCCTTTCGGGGAGGGGGTGTTACCTGTAGCAAACGTTCTCTGTGCAGGGATTCTGGGCCCGGACGATGATGAAGACATGCTGGAAATGGGAGCGGATGTTCTGGGGAGTAAAGGGCAGAGCCCCCGGCTCCTGGAAGATGATGGTGACGATGTCGTTCCCAATGTGCCTCTTCCTGAGCAGCTGGAGGAGGAAGGAGGAGACAGACAGAGGGGGTCTCAGTTATTCATCTGAAGTGTTCCTCAAACGCATTTTCATCCAGACCCAGGGCCACGTGTGCAAATGACACAGTCCAATCGCATCCTGCATGGGGGTTTGGGCCCAAGGGCTCCACATATGTGCAAGAATGCACATATTCAAACTACCCCTGTGCCAGCGTCCCTGAACTTCTATCTGGAGCAGGCTTTGCCCCCCAAAAGGCAGAGAGCTTAAAACAGGGGTAGGCAACTTAAGGCCCGGGGGCCAGATGTGGCCCAATCTCCTTCTCAATCCGGCCCGCGGACAGTCCAGGAATCAGCGTGTTTTTACATGAGTAGAATGTGTCCTTTTATTTAAAATGCATCTCTGCATTATTTGTGGTGCATAGGAATTCGTTCATTCCCCCCCCCCCCAAAAAAATATAGTCTAGCCCACCACATGGTCTGAGGGACGGTGGACCGCCCCCCTGCTGAAAAAGGTTGCTGACCCCTGGCTTAAAAGCTCACCTTGCACCATGTGCTCCAAGCACAAACAGCACTTTTAAGCTCTCTGCCTTGCTTGCATTCAACTCACTGGCCGTCATCCGTGTAAGGTTGACATTGCACAAGGTAACTAACAAGCTTCCAACAAAATACCGTATTTTTTGCTCTATAAGACACACTTTTCCCCCTCCAAAAAATATGTGGAAATGTGTGTGCATCTTATGGAGCGAATGCAGGCTCCATGGCTTCAGCGATAGGAACGCAAAGCCTCCGAAGCGCAGTGGGAGCGCTCCCGCCGCGCTCCGGAGGCTTTGGGTTCCTTTTGCTGAAGCCAGGAGAGCAAGACTCTCCTGGCTTCAGCAGAGAGGGAGGGCTGCGCAGCGCCCCTTCAGCAAAGTGGGAGGAGAAATGGAAGGGGCTCCGTTTCTCCTGCCGCTTCGCTGAAGGGGTGCTGAGCAGAGAGGGGGAGATTTTTTATTCTTGTTCTCCCCTCTAAAACAAGGTGCGTCCTATGGTCGGGTGTGTCCTATAGAGCGAAAAATACGGTGCTAAAAATACAATATTAAAAATACAATAAAACATCAGACATTAAAAACTACCCTAGACACATAAGGTTTAGGGCAGTATTAGGACAGTAAGAAAGCAACACAAAACAGAAAGTGAGAACAACGCCCCAAATCTCAGTAGACCTCTGCGTCCAGATGTGCCGGTGGGAGGGAAGAAGAGAGCAGAAAAGCTCAGGAGGTCCAGGTGGTGGCAGGGCAGCGCCACTGAGGGCATCCCTGAACGCAGGAACACATTTAGACACCCAGCCAAGGGGCGCTGGATATGCGACAAAGGAGGTGGGATTGCCAGGACCCCCCAGAACGCCACAGCTGTCCCCTCAGAACATGTCCGGCATTCCTTGCTCTCTGGGGTCAGGGGGACCGAATGTTTTTAATTTCATTTTCTGTTTTAATTTGCACACCGCTTTTCTTCTATGTTGCTAGAACACAAGGCGGTTCTGCAAGCTGCAGAACCAACAAAATAGGCAGTGAAGATCCCACATCTTGTAATCTGATCAAATAAAGTTATTTTAAAAAATGCAACCCCCACTTGCGTGGAGCCCACCTCGTACCTGCTGCCTATTGTTGGGGGTGTAAGGAAGCATCGTGGAGACGTGGAACATGATCTCGTAGCCCTGGTAGGTGGTGTAGAGAGAGTGGGTGCCCGTGGAGTCGGCTGGAAGGCAAAAGCAAGCAGGAGGGATGCTCAGGAGGGACTGGCAGCGGGGACTAGTGGGTGGAGGGGAGGGATGGACTGGGTAGCTCCTTCACAGCCTCCCCCCGAGCAGCCAGAGAGAGTTGGGGAACGGGAGGTTTCGGGGGAACAGAGAGCAGCCGGCCGGCCAGCCGACCTGCCGCCTGCCCCCAGCAAATGGCCAGAGGGACCTACTTTTGGTGTCCAGCTGGGCGGCATACTTGTCGAAGCCCCTGAGGCACACCTTCTCCCCCAGCAGCGCCAGGAACTCCTCAAAGGCAGGCCCGGCCTCTTCGTTGTTGTACATCTCCTCCTCGGAGCTCTGGTCGGCTTTGCAGTACAGGACGCCCACCTTGTGCTTGCGGCAGAGCTGAAGGGGCAGAAGGGAGAGGGAGACACACAGCCGGGTGAGAAGCGCCAAGCAGGGGGAGCCCACTGGGCAGAGGCCTCACGAGAGACATTTCCCGTGCCATGCGTCGCAGGATCCGGCCACGACGGGGCCAGCCTCCTTCTTCCCAGACTGGAAGAAAGGCACGAGCAGGGAAGGGAGGCAAGGGAGTCCTCAGAGAAACGCCGCAAGGTGTCCACCTGAATCTACCTGTGCATGTTCAGAGTGTTGAGACCGTAGCTGGAACAGGCCACAAAGGGGAGTCCAGCACCCCACTTCTCTCTCTTTTTTAAATAATTTTTATTGATTTTAACATATAAATTATAAAATGTACCACAAAACTTATCACTTACACAATCTTTTTAGACTTCCATCAGCACCTCTGATGATCCACATTTTTTAACCACTTCTTATGCATTTCTTAGGGACACAGGTGGTGCTGTGGGTTAAACCACAGAGCCTAGGGCTTGCCAATCAGAAGGTCGGCGGTTCGAATCCCCACGATGGGGTGAGCTCCCATTGCTCGGTCCCTGCTCCTGCCAACCTAGCAGTTCGAAAGCACGTCAAAGTGCAAGTAGATAAATAGGTACCACTCCGGCGGGAAGGTAAACGGCATTTCCGTGCGCTGCTCTGGTTCGCCAGAAACGGCTTAGTCATGCTGGCCACATGACCCGGAAGCTGTACGCCGGCTCCCTCAGCCAATAAAGCGAGATGAGCGCCACAACCCCAGAGTCGGTCACGACTGGACCTAATGGTCAGGGGTCCCTTTACCTTTTATGCATTTCTTAACTTTATATTGCCTTTACATCTCTTAACAAATCATCCTTCCCCTTCTCCATTTTTGCAATACTTCCAATAATACTCCTCACAAAACTTCTTGCAAACCTACAAATGTCGTCTGCTCTACTGCACCCCGCTTCTCAAAGTGGCCAGCCAGCGGCCCGAATGCGAATCCCGCAAGCAGGACCTGAGCAGAACAGCAGCGGAGGGAGAACAAGGCCCCTGCGACTCACAGCCCTCGACAGTCGTCTCCTCTGCCATCGATTTGTCTATCTTTGCCACCCAAGTTGAGGCCATCCCTGACTCCCAGGGAAATGAGTTTCAGAGTTTGTGTCTGATGCCTGAAGAATGACTTTTTTTCGGATCTTCCCACACTCAGCTTTTCCCATGGGGTTCCAGCATGACCATCCTCTCTCCTCTTTCTCCACAACAAACGTCACCATCGTCTGCATCCCAGCCATGTTTTCTCTTGCTCAACTTTTCCCTAAACCGCAAAGCCCCGAATGTGGCAACCTTCCCTCGCCGGGGATCCCCTGATCTCTCCGGCTGCCCTTTCATCTCAACTTTTCCCAGATCTGCTGCAGTTGTATCTTGGTTCTCAAACAGAGTCCGTTCAACTCCTGGAACTGTTCAAAAAACAAGGTGCGGCTTCTGATTGGCTGCAGGAGTGTCCTGCGGCCAATCAGAAGCCGCGTCGGATGTTCGGCTTCCAAAAACCGCTCGAAAACCGGAACACTCGCTTCCGGGTTTCGATCGTTCGATTTGTTTGGGAGCCAAGGCGTTTGAGATCCAAGGTATGACTGTACATCCTTTTGGAGGCGAGGCAAGCGGAGCGGCAGGCAGTAGGATGGCTGTCCCCGAATCCAGTGGATCTCTCCTGCTCCTGGAATCTGCCTCATCCCCTTTCAGAGCCCTCAATGCCCACCCCATTTTGCATACCTCTCCCGGTATGCCCCGCTCTCCTTAAGTTCCATAAATAGCAACACCCTAGAGGTCCCGGGCCCTAAGGAAGTCAGATTAGCCTCAACCAGAGCCAGGGCCTTTTCAGTGATGGCTCCAGCCTGGTGGAACGCTCTGTCTCATGAGACCAGGGCTCTGCGGGATCTGATTTCTTTCCGCAAGGCCTGTAAGACAGAGTTGTTCCACCTGGCCTTCGGCTTGGAATCAACTTGATCCCCCCCCCCTTTCCTTTCTCCTTCTGTGATGGAACTCCTATTTGGGGACTTCCCTGGCTTTTTTCTGGCCCACCTAGGACCAGTATGGATAGTTGGCCTTGGTGAAAACTTGACATTTGGCCTTTCGCTTGGAATCAACTTGATTCCCTCCCCCTCTTTCTTTTTTCCTTTCTCCTCCTGTGAAGAGGCTGCATCTTAATGTTTTAATGTTGTATTTTAATCTTGTTTTTTAAATTGTATTTTAATCAACTTGTTTTTATTATTGGTTGTTAGCCGCCCTGAGCCGGTCTTGGCTGGGGAGGGCGGGGTATAAATAAAATTTATCATCATCATTATTATTATTTAATCCCACAAATCGCTGACATGTCTTTTCTTCTGTCTGATACCGCCAAGTTCTAGCATTATTTGGCAAATGCGTGGTGCTCTCCACCCCGTCTCTTGCCCCTCACCCCACCGACCAGGGAGCAAGGATGGAAGAGGGGCCAATGTCCACCCCCTGGCCATCCCACCTCCCCCCGGCTCGCTCACCCCTTGCTCGTCCAGCTTCCGCAGCTGCTCCGTGACCTTAGGGACGCTCAGGGCCAGGCGGAGGCAGTGGATGTTCAGCTCGGGGACCACGTTCTCCAGCACGTCCTTGAGGGGGAGCCCGCGGACAGTGCCATGCTTGGTGGAGGTGGGCGTGGCATCCTCCAGGATGGAGCCGCGGAGGGTGGTCAGCTGCAAGGAGAGAGAGTCTGGTCAGAGGAGCCTTCCTGGCATTTCCTGTCCGGACCTGTCATGTGGGTGGAGCTAACCGACAGGGATCGCTTTGTGGTGGCTCCCGCCCCCAGTGGAGCGGAAAGGCAGAGGCTGAAACCAGCCCAACAGGGCAGGCTGCCTGCCGGGCACCCAGGAAGAGAGGCTGCCCACATGGCTCGGGAACAGGGTCCCCTGGAGACGGTGCTTTCCTTCATTTTGGTCTCAGAGTGTTGGAAGAGAGGAATAATAAACTGTTTTTATACGCAAAGAATATTACTGGCACAGAAATGGAAACAAGAACTACCGACCAAAGAAGAATGGCAGACAAAATTAATGGACCCTGCAGAACTAGACAAGATGACAGGAAGGATCCGAAACCTGCGGGACCAGAGGTTCTCAGAGGACTGGAGTAAATATCTGAACTATTTGGAAAGCAATTGTACTAAACAGATTACGCTAGCAGGACTTCAATAAGTTTTGTAAGGAGGACTATGCGAAGTATTGCGGAGAAGATTATGAAGAGAGTTATTAGAGAGTTAAGGATAACTGAAAGTAATAGAGAAATTAAGAAATGTAATTTAAGTGATAAAGATTGAAAAATCTTCAGATGTGGTTGATGGAAGTCCAAAATATTGTATAAGATAAGAAAGTATGTGATACGATTTTTGGAAATTATTTGTAAAAATCTATATATATCTATATATCTAATCTATATCTATATCTATCTATCTATCTATCTATCTATCTATCTATCTATCTATCAGAGTGTTGGAAGAGAGAGGCAACCTCAAGACACACCTCAGGGCCCAATTCTGAACATTTAAAGGTTTGTCTCCAATTCACTTTGCAAATTTCAAAGCTTTGCGAAAAGAGATTGAGAAACAGGATAGCTGGAAGAGGGGATGTTTGGGCTCCGGTTTTCAAATAGCAAGGTGGCTTCTTGTAGGGAAGACTGTTCACTTTCCCTAGATAATGGAAATATGTATCTTGAAAAGGGCAGTCAATTCAAACGGAGGGTTGGAAGCCCTCGCAGATAAACGGTCTGGAGAGCTGCAGAACGGATTCGGAAGAGCATCTTGGAATCCACGCTTTTGCTCTGAGGTTGCAAAACAATCCAGAGCAAAGGACCCCTGGGAAGGCGGAGGGCCAGCCTACGAGCCCCATGGAGACCCCAGCCTCAGAGCAGTCAAGGCCTGCTCTCTCTCCCACCTGCCCTTTTATTCTCAAGGCGCGCTGATGGTGTGCTCCTCCTCTGGCTGAAGCAGCAAATGCATGCTCTGCACTGAGTTTGCAATGCCCTCTGCTGGGCTCTGGGGAGCTCCTCAGAGCTCAGAGACAGGAGGCGAGAGCAATGGCTGCTTAGGACCCCAGGCCATGCTTGTGACCCCTCTTTTCAGAGCACAGCAGCATGTGGGGGTGGGAAGGGGCAACTGCTTTCCACAGGAAGTTGCCTTATATCAGTTCTCCCTTAGAAGATGCGGGACTTGCCCTCGCCGGAGGTTTTTAAGCAGAGGTCGGATGGCTCTCTGTCAGGGATGCTTTGGCTGTGATGCCTGCAGTGCAGGGGGTGGACTAGATGGCTCTGTGGGTCCCCTTCCAACTCTCCAAATCTGAGGTTCTACGATCCGCCTATCTGCTGACATCATGGAGGTGAAGTCAGCCGATGAGAAGGGCTCCAGGCTCCAGGGTGCTGGGATCGTGCTGGTGGGACTGACCTTTGCAAGCCAAAAAACTGAACCCTCTGTAATCAGCTTGTGAGCAGAGAGGAGATAAGGATCTGGCCTGCCCACCAGAAAAGGATCCATTCCCAATTGTTGCAGGAATTTATGTATAGGTTGGGGGGTGGTTGCCCCTCCAGCAGATATCATGCACATGCAGCCCACTACCAAGATCAGCACAATCACTTTTGTGATTTGTCCCCACAAAACACTTCATCACAGTTTCCTCCTATCTATTCAAAGGGCCTCAGCTGCACGGTACCAAATGTAAGAATTCACTGATAAATGTACCTGTGTACTGGCTCACTGGAAAACTTCAGAAATTCATATAGACATGTGAGCTCAGCTACTCAGCAGCCCCTCTGCCTGAGTGATAATCCCTGGCATCCTGATACCTGAGTGCCAGACAGGTAGCCATTCCAGAAATAGCAAACCCAGATGAAGACAAAAGGGTGTGATTGACTTGGCTGGGAAGCAGGGAAATGTAAATATCTCTTTCGCTACACTTGATGGGTGTTTGGTGGAGGGCAAGGAGAACCATGGGGCAGGGTCCAGGATGCTCAGATTCCGGCCACCAGACCTCCCCTTTCATGATGTAACCGTGATGTATTAGTGATGTAGTTTGGGGGGGCGTGTAACATGGGGATTAGCAGCTAATAAAAGTTTGGGGGTTCTTTTGTTTGGGGCTTCCACCTTGTTCCACCTGGTGGCCGGTGGGAGTCCTGTCGCGACAGTCTTCAATAAAGACCAAGCCTACTGGCTGCTGTTTTGCTCTGTTATTCCTGGCTGGGGTCCTTGTTTTTTCTCCAAGGGAGCCCTCAGATTTCTCCAGTAACACAATGCAAACAAGCAAGATGCAAAAGGGCAGCTTCTCCGGGTCCCGCAGCTCATGAGGCAGCAGCGCCCACTTTGCAGAGAAGGCAGCCTGGCAGACGAGCTCCCCGATGCTGCTCAGTCGCCAAAAGAGACCGCAGAGGAGCCAGAGGGGCAGAGTTTCTGCCACTTCCCAATGGAAGCATCCTAAGAGAGACAGCCCTTCCTGTTCTGGCCACAGCAGCTGGCATGGCAGAGGCTCATTGGGCGGTGTGTGCCCTGGATTAGACCAGGAGCACCTGAGAACTTGCAGGCACCACCCAAAACTTTCCCCGAGTCCAGCAAAGCACTGCTTTTGAGCAGAAGACAGTAAGAAAGGATTCAGTTACACAAGATCCAGGTTTCAAATGTAAGTGATTGAAGGGAAAGTGAAACTACTGAAGGCTGCATATAGCATACTGCTAGAATGGGAGACGAAAGATGAAGAGGTAAAATCAGTCATGATTAAATGGGCACAAGAGATAGGTCATAACATTATGTTGGAAGATTTGGAAAGGTTATGAAAAATTGACTTAAAATTTACAGATTGTTCTCTGTTGAAAGAAAATTATATGAAGATGATGTATAGATGGTATATGACTCCAGTGCAGTTTGGAAAAATATATGAAACCAGTTCAAATATGTGTTGGAAGTGTAAGGAAAAGGAGGGGACATTTTATCATATGTGGTGGGATTGTAATGAAATTAAAAAGTTTTGGGAAATGATATACAATGAATTGAAGAAAATGTTCCATTTAACATTTGTTAAGAAACCTGAAGCATTTTTGTTAGGGATTGTAGGAAAAGACCTGCCAAGGAAACTGAAAAATATCTTCATGTATGCGACAACGGCGGTGAGAGTCTTAATAAAAGAAGGATGGAAAAATGAGGAAACCCTGACTAAAGAACTATGGCAAGAGAAGCTGATGGACTATGCAGAATTGGCAAAATTGACTTATAAACTATGGGACAAGGATAACCGTGACTTCAAAGATGAATGGGAACCTTTCACAAAGGACTTAAAGAAACAACAAAGTGAACTGGACTCCTTGGCAGGTTTTGAATAAACAATATTGACAATAACCAGTCAGATTTATATAATTTTGTAAAATGCGGAGAACAGCATCTGTAGAGAAACCAAAGATTGGAGCTGAGGGAAGTCAAGGGAGGAAGGGGAGGGTGGGTTATTTTATGGGGGCGGGAATCAAGGATCATATGTATTAAGACAATATGTTTTGTTTAGATTCTTAATAAAAAATATTTTTTTTAAAAAAGCACTGCTTTTGAGCAGGAGGTGCTGTTATCCGACACAAACACACGCAGGGCTCAAGCCAAAGTGCAAAACCAGCCTTGGGCTTCCGAGGACCAGGCGGAGAGATGTTGGGGGGGGGCAGAGATTTGGGAGGCGGGGAGAAAGCAGCAAGGTGCTCTGCGGCCCAGCAGTGAGGGGTCTGTTCCCAGTAACCGAGGGGCAAACTGTCCACCCACTTCGGCACACAACTTCTGTGGGACAGGGAGCCATACATTTCCCCTCCCTTGGTGGATCTGTGGCTTCTTCCACCACCCCCCCCAGCTCAGTATTCCTCCCCCGAACCCCCACTGTCAGCCTCCAAGGGACTTAGGTTAGACTCTCGCTCTGCAGACATTTATGGAGGAAGCGGATGCACTGCATGAACCCTGGGAACTCGGTGGGACAGGACAAAGGCCAGCAGGGAAGGAGCTAAAAAGCCTGGGAAGGAAGTGGACCCAAGAAGAGACCGGCTGATGGATCAGACCAGAGAGCCTTCAAGCCCAGCATCCTCCTCTCACAGCGGCCGGCTAGAGGGAAAATCAAGACAATTAAGAAAATTAAGAGGAGGGTGCTAGGGAAACTGAGAACACAACACCTCCAACAAGAATCAGCAGCAGACCCTCTAGCAGAAGCTCTGGGGAAGTCAATGCCAGGCAGGAACACAAGAACCGCAGAACTGTCGAGGTGTAAGGGGCGCCCAAAGGTCATCCAGTCCAACCCCCTGGAACGCAGGAGTCACAGCTAAAGAATCTCTGACAGAGGACCAACTTCTGCTTAGAAACCTCCAGGTGGTTGGCGGATGGATGGCGGCTAATGGATTGAGGTTGAATCCTGACAAGACAGAATTACTGTTCTTGGGGGACAGGGGGCGGGCTGGTGTGGAGGACTCCCTGGTCCTGAATGGGGTAACTGTGCCCCTGAAGGACCAGCTGCGCAGCCTGGGAGTCATTCTGGACTCACAGTTGTCCATGGAGGCACAGGTCAATTCTGTGTCCAGGGCAGCTGTCTACCAGCTCCACCTGGTACGCAGGATGAGACCCTACCTGCCCGTGCACTGTCTCGCCAAAGTGGTGCATGCTCTTGTTATCTCCCGCTTGGACTACTGCAATGCGCTCTACGTGGGGCTACCTTTGAAGGTGACCCGGAAACTGCAAATAATCCAGAATGCGGCAGCTTGACTGGTGACTGGGAGCAGCCGCTGAGACCACATAACACCAGTCCTGAAAGACCTACATTGGCTCCCAGTACGTTTCTGAGCACAATTCAAAGTGTTGGTGCTGACCTTGAAAGCCCTAAACGGCCTCGGCCCAGTATACCTGAAGGAGCGTCTCCACCCCCATCGTTCTGCCCGGACACTGAGGTCCAGCTCCGAGGGCCTTCTGGCAGTTCCCTCCCTGAGAGAAGCAAAGGGAACCAGGCAGAGGGCCTTTTTGGTAGTGGCACCCGCCCTCGGCGCTGTACCTCCAGTGTCCGGGCAGAACGATCCAGAGGTCCGTTTGTAAACCAAAACAGGTTGTAACCCAAGGCGCGCTTTCGCCAATGGGGCCTCCCCCCCCCCCAAAAAAAATGTTCGTAATTCCCCCCCAAAATGGGTTGTGATCCAAAGAAAGGTTGCAAACTGTGACACGCACTTCCGGGTTTGACTTGTCTGTATTCCAAAACGTATGTAAACCAAGACATATGCAAACCAAGACATATGCAAACCAAGGTACCACTGTATAATTGTCTCAACAAGCTTTTCCAGTTGGGTGAAAAGGCCTTGGCCACAGGTTTCATAACAATGCCAGTTTTTTAAAAGCCCTTATCGTTAGATGTTTTTGTTTTCTAAACTATCTTTAAGCTGCTCTTCTGTGAACTGCCTTGAGACGCACGCGGAAGGCGATCTGTAGAGGAACAAAGCAGCCGCCATAGCAGCAACCTACCTCACTGGTTCGGAAGATGATCCTGTACTGGTACTGAGGCCCGTGCTCTCGGTGGTCCTCCAGCTTCTCTCGCCGGATGCTGACGGCCACCGGGCCTAGCTTCTCGTCCACCCCAAAGTAGTTGGCATGCTCTGCAGAGAGAAAGAGAGGGAGGGGGGCACTTTGGGGATTCATCCAGAACAGCAGCAGAAGCTCCCTGTCTCAACACACACACAGCATTCTGGAAACATGGGAGGCAAACTTTGGCTGAGCCCAGCAGGGCCCAAAGTGGGGAGTACCACCCCCTGGGGTGCTTTGGGATTACCTAGTGGGGTGCTAAGAGGCAAGGAGGTGATCGAGGGGGAGCACAGGAGGCTGAACCCTCCATGTGCGTGGATCACTTGTTCCTGCCTTGCAGCGGGCTGGACTAGAAGACCTCTGGGGTCCCCTCCAACTCTGCATTTCTAGGACGAAACACCTGCCTCGCTTCATATTTGAAGTTCTCCTGCTCTCGTTGCTTTCAAACCTATTTCCTTTGTGCTTACGATGCCGAGTTCTCACAAGAGAGCCAGTCACTGGTAATAGCGGTTGATTAACGTATTAATTAGTTATTGTACATCTGTGGCAGGTGAAGGTTTATGTTTATGTTTGGCAAGTAGCTATAAATCAAGATTTCACACTATGAATTTTTCCTCCACCCTTATGCTTTTTGTAGGAATGCCTAACAATATTTTTCATGCAATACTCTTTAGCTAAGAATATCAGATCAGATCATAGTTTAAAAACGTCTGCCATAGTCCAAAGTTAATTCCATTTTCACTGCGTGTGTTTCTCCTTCTTGCATACTGGGCCAAGTGAATTGTTGCGAGAGCAAGCTACAGTCCAGCAATGTCGTTGAGATCTACCTCTCTTTTAAATCAGAACCAGTGAAGGCGGTGAAGGTCCTGTGTGAGTGTCTGGAGGCGGTTGGAGGATGGATGGCGGCTAACAGATTGAGGTTGAATCCTGACAAGACAGAAGTACTGTTTTTGGGGGACAGGAGGCGGGCAGGTGTGGAGGATTCCCTGGTCCTGAATGGGGTAACTGTGCCCCTGAAGGACCAGGTGCGCAGCCTGGGAGTCATTTTGGACTCACAGCTGTCCAGGGAGGTGCAGGTCAATTCTGTGTCCAGGGCAGCTATCTACCAGCTCCAACTGGTACGTAGGATGAGACCCTACCTGCCCACAGACTGTCTCGCCAGAGTGGTGCATGCGCTGGTTATCTCCCGCTTGGACTACTGCAATGCGCTCTACGTGGGGCTACCTTTGAAGGTGACCCGGAAACTGCAAATAATCCAGAATGCGGCAGCTAGACTGGTGACTGGGAGCAGCCGCCGAGACCATATAACACCGGTCTTGAAAGACCTACATTGGCTCCCAGTACATTTCCGAGCACACTTCAAAGTGTTGGTGCTGACCTTTAAAGCCCTAAATGGCCTCGGTCCAGTATATCTGAAGGAGCGTCTCCACCCCCATCGTTCTGCCCGGACACTGAGGTCCAGCTCCGAGGGCCTTCTGGCGGTTCCCTCCCTGCGAGAGGCCAAGTTACAGGGAACCAGGCAGAGGGCCTTCTCGGTAGTGGCGCCCGCCCTGTGGAACGCCCTCCCATCAGATGTCAAAGCGATAAACAACTACCTGACATTCAGAAGACATCTGAAGGCGGCCCTGTTCAGGGAAGTTTTTAATATGTGACATTTTAGTGTATTTTTCATCTTTGTTGGAAGCCGCCCAGAGTGGCTGGGGAAACCCAGCCAGATGGGCGGGGTACAAATAATAAATTATTATTATTATTATTATTATTATTATTATTATTATTATAACTGTAGCTTTGGAAGGCACCCTGGGGGTCATCTAGTCCAACCCCCTGGCCTTGCGTTGTGGCAATCGTAACCTAGATTTAAGGTGCCGGTTGCCACCTAGCTTATATATCTGAATTTCTAACACTGCTGTCAGGGATTCTTAAAGAGAGCCATCCAAATTTTGCTTAAAAACCTCCAAGGAAGGAGAGTCCCTTGCCTTCCAAGGTTACAGAACTCTAGAGCTGTCGAGGAAATAAACAACTATCTGACTTTTAGAAGACATCCAAAGGCAACCCTGTATAGGGAAGTTTTTCCATGTTTGACTGTGCTTATAGTTTTTAATCTGTTGGAAGCTGCTCAGAGAGGCTGGGATAACCCACCCAGATGGGCAGCATATCAATAAACAATTATTATTATTATTATTATTAACCCCAAGAGTCATCTATTCCAACCCCCTGGAGAAGAGACATCCCGTTGTACCTGGCTTCTATATCTGCCTTTCCAACATTGCGCATAAATACATCATAAATCCACTTTTAGAAGACATTTTTCTTTCTTCCTTTCTCCTCCTGTGATGAGGCTGCATTTTAATTTTACTGTTTCAATGTTTTAATGTTGTATTTTAATCTTGTTTTTAAGTTGTATCCATTCAACTTGTTTTTATTATTGCTTGATAGCTGCCCTGAGCCCGGCCTTAGCTGGGGAGGGCGGTGTATAAATAAAAGTTGTTATTATTATTATTATTATTATTATTATTATTATGGCGGCCACCCTGTATAGGGAAATCTTTAATGTTTTACAATTTTTAATGTGCTGGAAGCCACTCAGAGTGGCTGGGGAAACCCAGCAGGATGGGCAGGGTATAAATAATAAAATAATTATTATTATTATTATTATTATTATTATTATTATTATTATTATTATCATCACCATCATTATTCCAACTAAGCCCAAGGAAGAACTTCCTTGTGGCAAGAGCTGTTTGAGAGTGGGACGGACTCCCTCGGAAGGTGGTGGGCTCCCCTTCACTGGAGGTTTTCCAAGCAGAGGTTGGCTGGCCATCCGTCAGGGATTCTTTCGCTGAGATTCCTGCATTGCAGGGGGTTGGACTAGATGGCCCCTGGCTGCCCCTTCCAGCCCTACAATTCTGGGCTCCACCTACCGAGCAATTGATTGCCTTTTGCCAGGAGTTATTATCATCAAATAAAGAAGCTCATCATCATCATCATCATCATCAAATAAAGAAGCTAAGCAAATTCCTGAGCAATGTCCGGTTGCCACAGGGTCAGCGCAAGACCCTCCCTCCTGGCCCACCCTGCCAGGGCAACCCCAGAGCGGCGCCCACCTTTGCCGCAGAAGTGCTCCTGGTAGTAGCGGGCGCCCAGGTCGACGTGCTCAATGCTGTAGTGCTTCAGCCGCGCCACGTTGCGCTGCATCTCCTTGGGCACCTCCAGGACGGAGACGCTGGCGTTGGTGCAGCACGGGGCGGGGGACGCCTCTGCCAGGCAGCCCCCTGTGGCCTCCCCGCCAGGAGAGCCGAGAGAGGCGGGCGAGGCCCGCGAGAAGCTGACGTCGCGCTCGCGCTCCCCGCCCACCTCGTTGCGGAAGTGCGGGCAGCTGAGCAGGAGCCCGTTGCTGTGGCTGTCCCCGGGGTCGTGCCCCAGGTGCTCTTTGAAGTTCGGGTCCTCGGAGCCGAGGAAGGGGGCCGCCGCAGGCTCCGGGGGGCCGCAGGCCCGCGAGGCGGAGGAGACGGCCGAAGCGGCCGAGGCCCCCGTGGCGGTGTTCCTCCTTTGCGCCACGTAGGCCCGCCGCGCCACCACCTCGTTGAGGTCAAAGAGCATGCTCTGGACATCGTAGTGCGCGAATCTCTTCTGGCACAGCCAGGGCCGCCCGCCTGCGTCCTCAAGGTCTGGAGGGCCACCCTTGCCGCCTTCGGGGTCACCCCGGCCGCTCCGCAGCTTCCGGAAGATGGAGTCCCCGCCGCCCGCATCGCCCCGGGGTCCCTTCTTGCGGGACTTCTCCTTGGGCTGCAGGGGGAACTCGTCCGCGCCCAGGAAGGAGAGCGCCTGTTGCTCGCTCCGCGCCTCGGCTTTGCTGCTGCCCCGCGCCGCACGGAAAGACCCCGCCTGCTCCTTCTGCTGCACCGCCTTCCCACTGCGGAACTCATCCAACATTTCGTAGAAGCTTTGCTCCGAGACGCCTTGAACGTCGATGGAGGAGGTGCTCCCGTACTCCCGGAAAATGGGCAGCTTGGTGCCAGCCCCCCGGGGCTCAAACGCCTCTTGCGGGTCGCACTCACTGAGCGTGACCTCGCTGCTGCTCCGGTTCCGCAGGGGCAGGAAGCCCCGGGCCGGGGACCGCGGCCAGCCGTCAGGGAACTCTGCGTCCTTAGAGCGCCGTCGGGCCAGGCGCTGGAAGCCCCGGGACGTCCCGGCGAAGGCGGCCCCATTCTGGAAGCCGCGGGAGCCCGTGGTTGGCGTCTCCAGGTCTCTCGAAGTGCTGCTGGCGGCAGTGGCGGGATCTTTCAGCCCTTCTCTCTTTGGGGGCCAGTCGGCGATCCTGGCCCGCACGCCCATTTTGGGCATGGCCGGGGTGGCCGTTGCTGGCCGCGAGGCAACGGGCGCCTCTGCTTGCGCGGCACAGCCATTCTGGGCCCAGAACCCTGGGGAGTAATAGTCGCCGCCTTTCAATCCGGGGCCCCCCACGTCGCCGCTCTCGTGAACAGGCCGGTACGATGTCATAGTCCAAGGGAAGCGAGGACTGCGACTCCCTGTTCGAAGGGGCCACTCATCCCCATCGGGGAACACAGACGTCAGCCGTGACTGGGGGGCACGGTGCCACGGGACACCAGCCCGCGAGAGCCCCCCTTGGGGCTCCCTGCTGGGGGACCGGCCCCTGCGGCCATCGCACTGGCGAGCAATCCTCAAGGCGCCCCGGCATTTGCAGGAGGAGGCAGCTGGGGAGGAGGGCCGTCAGAGCTTCTTCCGACAAACCCCAGGCTAATCCGGTGACATTAATTGTGGGAACGTTTCACTCTGGGCCATCCCTGCAGGAGAGGAGGGAAGAAAAGAAAGAGAGGTTAGCGAGGGAGCCCCTGCTCATGTCACAAGCAGCTTCAGATTCACAGAAAGATAGAATTGTGGGGTTGGTAGGGATCCCTAAGGGCCATCTAGCCAAACCCCATACATTGCAGGAAACACAAGTCAAGAATCCCTGACAGGCAGCCATCCAACCTCTGTGTAAAAGCCTCTGGTGAAGGAGAGTCCACCACCTTCCAATAATAATAATAATAATAATAATAATTTATTTATACCCCGCCCATCTGGCTGGGCTTCCCCAGCCACTCTGGGCGGCTTCCAACAAAATATTAAAATACCATAATGCATCAAACATTAAAAGCTTCCCTAAACAGGGCTGCCTTCAGATGTCTTCTAAAAGTCTGGTAGTTGTTTTTCTCTTTGACATCTGGTGGGAGGGCATTCCACAGGACAGGTGCCACCACCGAGAAGGCCCTCTGCCTAGTTCCCTGTAACTTGGCTTCTCGCAGGGAGGGAACTGCCAGAAGGCCCTCGGCGCTGGATCTCAGTTTCCGGGCAGAATGATGGGGGTGGAGACTCTCCTTCAGGTATACTGGGCCGAGGCCGTTTAGGGCTTTAAAGTTCAGCACCAACACTTTGAATTGTGCTCGGAAACACAAGGATGTCCGCCCTTCCGTCAAACAGCTCCTATCCTCAGAAAGTTCCTCCTCATGTTTAGTTGGAGTCACACACTGGCAAGCTCAAACTCCACGACCACGAGGGACTCGCACTCCACCCCACCCCTCCGCTGTTCCCGGCAACACAGACTCAGGAGAAGTCCGGACAGTGTGTGGGCGGCCGCAGCTCCAAAGGACGTTTGAGCTCTTTCCTGCTCTTTGCAGTTGAGTCAGTAGATGCCATTGTCCACGGATGCCGGATGAGTCCAGCAGCATCACGCCATCTCAGAAACCTTATTGGGGCACCTGAAATATGTCCCAACCATTTCACACACTCTCCTAAGAACGTAAGACAAGGATCTGCTGGATCAGGCCCAAGGGGGCCCATTGAGTCCAGCGCCCTGTTCTCACAGCAGCCAACCAGATGCCCCACTATCCCCGTGGATAGATAGATAAAACTTTATTCATATTAGCCAATGGCCATAGCAACAATAAAATACTACAGTATACGCAGAAAAGGAAGTTTGATACAAGAGCACAATTTAAAGTCCTGAATCAGCCATCAGTTCGTGGCCCTTATTCTGATTGCCCCTGCTATGAACCTAGCAACCTTTGCTGTTATCTGCTTATTTTGATCTGATAGAAGAAAGGACCTTGTGGCAGTGGTTGAGCGCCCTGGGATGGTTAGTACGAGTGGGGTGATGATCTCGTTCCTCAGGTCTTTGTAGAGAGTACAGGACAGGAGGACGTGTGCCGCTGTTTCGGCGCTGCCATCTCCACAGGGGCAAAGACGTTTCTCAGGCAGAATCTTTTGGAATCGACCCTCAAGTACCGCAATATGGCAAAATATCCAGTTTTGCAAGTGTGAAAGCACGCCTGTATTTTGGGATAATAAGTTTGTGCAGATACGGGGCCAGAGAATCAAAACGGAGAGGTGGAAAATGAACATACCAAGGGCAGAATTTCCTTATAGTGGCCAGGTTGTTCTGATGCTCAATATCTTTTAGACATTGACCAGTTAGACTGTTTGCTTTAGTAGGGCCCATAGTGAGTAGGTGTTGTGGGGCCTATCCCCGTGGATCTAGGGGCAGTTCACAACATAAAAAGCCCTCTCCTCTGTGAATGTGCCTGGGAGAGTCTGTGGGGCTGGGAGCATCAGGGGCTGGAGTCCCCTGCAAAGCCTTGGACTGAAACCACAAGCCCAGCCTGCACAGGAAAGCTGTAAATTGGCACTTCACGCAGAGTCAGGCTTTTGGTCCTCTAAGCTCAGGGCAGCCTACACTGGCTGACATCAATAGTCCTCCTGGGTCTCACGCAGGGAATCTTCCCCGCACCTAGAGATGCTGTCACCAATGGAATTGGCGGAAATGACTGGCAGAATCCGAGACCAGGGAGAAGAGTCGGTGGAAGAAGATTGGAAGAAATTTAAAGACTATTTACAGAAATATTGCAAAATTAATGAATGTTAGAATGATGTTGGATTGAAGTTAAGTGGTTTCTGGCTGTAATGGTATAAAAGAATATGGAAAAATTGGTTTTTAATATCTAAAAATTTAATGTTATAATATATCAGGATTAAAGATCAGGATTAAAAAGGAGGGAAAGGAATCGCTGGATTAATAAATTGAATTGGAATACAAAAGAGGGAGGTATGAGGAGGTCTGGGAAACAAGTAAATGTAAAAGAAGTGATGAAAAGATGGAATTGTTTTTAATTGTTTTTTCTTTTTTGTATTTTGTATCTTTTCTTTTTACTGTTAATTCTCTTTTTAATGTAATTTCTTCCTTTTGAAATTTTAATAAATATCATTAAAAAAAAAAAAAGAGATGCTGTCACCAAACGCCGCCCCTTCCCCATAAGCAAGAAGATAAAAGGACACATTCACGCAGTGCTTGGTTAAACTGTGGAACTCCCTGATGCAGGAACCCGGGCGGCTTTGAAAAAGGACTAGGCAAATTCATGGGGGAGGAGAGGGCTGCTACTACTACTACTACTACTACTACTACTACTACTACTAATAAATTCATTAGTCCTATTTGGGCTGGTGAGGAGATTAGGGGAAAATTAGCTGTGGGATCCCAGAGCGGGTAATCTTCATAAAAAGGGGAGAGGGAGGGAAGGAAGGGGAATAAAAGATCTGGCTAAGTTCAAATGGAAAGCCAGGTGGAATAGCCCTGTGGAAGGAAGTTAAATCCTGCAGGGCGCTGGTCTCATGGGACAGAGCATTCCACCAGATCGGAGCCATCACTGAGAAGGCCCTGTCCCTGGTGGAGGATAATCTAACTTCCTTAGGGTCTGGGACCTCTAAACTATGTTATTCATGGACCTTAAGGTCCTCTGCGGGGCAGACCAGGCTAGGCGGTCCTGTGAATACTAGCCACGAGGGCTAGGCTCTGCCTCACATGCTTCTGAATCCCTGCTGCTGGAAACTGCAGAAGGCGAGAGAGCTCTCGCACTCGGATACTCCTTGCGTGTTTCCCCACAGTCCCTGTGAGAACAGGAGCCTGTGCTGGATGGACCATTGGGCTGATGAGCTGAGATCTTCTTAGGTTCTTAAAGGGGTGTGTGGAGCTACATCCTTTGCCCGTGTCCTGCCTGCAACCCTCCGGGGACACCTTTCCCGCAAAGCAAATCCTCAACTGCGCCCCTTCTGCACCCCTGCCTCCCTTTCCCGTACAGACACAAGCTGCTCTTTAGAAATGTCAGGCTGGGGGTGTACGGCCCACGTTCCTCATCCCAGCAGGTGGTGAAAGAGGCTCCTACCCAGAGGATGGCGCGTTTTCTCACCCAGGAGACACAGATCTGTACTTTCACACCCTGCCACCAACCTGCAGGGGGGGGGGATGGCAGGAGGCCTCACAGAGCCAAACCCCCAGCCCTGTGCTGGGGTGTGTGTGTGTGCTCCTCTTAATTCTATTCCCCCAGCCCCCCTCAAATGCCCCCACCCAGGTGGTGTCTCCGGTGATGGCAGCAGCCTCCTCTTAGAGGGCAGGGCTGGCAAGGATGCTCCCCCCCACAAAAGCCCCTTTTTCCGGCTCTGGGAACAGGGCACCTTGGCAGCCTCACCGTGTCTCCCTTGGCTCGGGCACCCAGGGCAAAGCAGAGGCAGCTAGGGTGACGTCACCCTCGCAGGTGGGGAGTTTCCTTCCATGGCACAGGGATGCCCCGAGGCCATGTAGAGGCGGCCTTCAACCAGCTTCCCTCTCGGCCTGCTGGGGCTTGCTGGGTTCTATGAGGGCAGAGGAAGCTCTCCTGCCACGTTGGCCCAGGCAAGCGGCATCATAAGAAGAGCCTGCAGGATGAGGCCACATCTAGTCCAGCGGCTCTCCCAGGGGCCAAACAGTTGCCTGTGATCAGAAACATTGTTCTGCCTTTGCAGCTGTAGGCAGCAGAGTTATTATCATGGCTAGCAGACATTGATAGCCTTGTCTTCCATAAATTTGTCTAGTCCTGTTTTATAGCGACCTATGTTGGTGACGGAACGCAGGTTAATCCACAGAGCCTAGGACTTGCTGATCAGAAGGTCAGCGGTTCGAATCCCCATGACGGGGCGAGCTCCCGTTGCTCGGTCCCTGCTCCTGCCAACCTAGCAATTCAAAAGCATGTCAAAGTGCAAGTAGATAAATAGGTACCGCTCCGGCGGGAAGGTAAATGGCGTTTACGTGCGCTGCTCTGGTTCGCCAGAAGCGGCTTAGTCATGCTGGCCACATGACCCGGAAGCTGTATGCCGCCTCCCTCGGCCAATAAATAGAGTCGGTCACAACTGGACCTAATGGTCAGGGGTCCCTTTACCTTTACCTTTTATGTTGGTGGCCTTATCATGGCTGGCAGCCATCAGCAGCCCTCTCCCCCATGAACTTGTCTGATCTTCTTTTCAAGTTATCCAAGTTAGTGGCCATCGCTGCCTCCTGTGGCAAGGAGTTCCAGAGTCTGGCCTGCACACACACACTCTTTATTTAATCCGTCCTGACTCTCCCAACATTCAGCTTCGTGGGATGCCTACGGGTTCTGGCGTTATGAGAGAGGAAGAAAACCTTTCCCCTTTCTGCACCATTTTATAATGTTACCTCTTCCTTTCCTCTTCTCTGAAGGCCAGAGAGGGTCAAATATCCACAAGGAAGGGGAAGTTCACTGCCTAAGCAGGAAGCGCACTTGCAGTTCCAAAGAGGCTGCCTCTACTCCACAACGGCCCCGCCTGCCTCTCCGGAGAAAACCTGACCAGCTTCCAAGCTGCATATTTGTCAAGGGCGCAGTGCTCTGAGCGAACAACCCTGGGCTGCCGGAAGTTCAGGTCCCACAAGCCACTTCAGTCCAATTCAATAGCTTTATTGTTCTAGCCCAAGGCCATGACAACTTCGTAGCAATAGTATCGACGAAATAATGCAGAACAGACATCCACGAGACAAACCGACATCCGGGCATGAGAGAAAGAAGATACCAGAAGCAGCAGCGAGTTTAAATTACAAATTAGACCTCCAGAGCACCAAAAAACAGCTTACAGAGATTTTATCTACCTCATTTTTCCTGGACCTTTTCTTGCGGTCAATGCATGCACCACAAAGCTATTATCATCCTTCAGAAGGAAGTGAACTGTTTCAGCAGGGTAAACCTGCTTTCCTTTGCAGGCAAAGGTTCCCGAAAGCGATCTCTTGGGTCTCCATATAAGGGGCAGACGAACAGGTGGCAAGAGGTGTCTTCCACCTGAGGCTGACCACAAACTCAAAAGCCTGCCTGCGCGATGGACTGTGTTGCAGGGGCCAACACAAGCCGCGTGCGAATGCTCTGCGCAAAGCTGGGAGCCACGAGGTCTTGGCGCTCTGTTGAAAGGAGAGCCTCCCTGCTTGAGAGACACAGCAGGATCCTGTAGGCCAGGGGTTCCCAGCATGGTGCGCTGCAGATGTGCTCTGGCAACAAGTCTCATCAGCCCCTGCCCGCAGGACAAGATGCTCAGGGATGATGGAAGCTGAAGCACAGCGACATCTGCAGGGCAATGCCTTCATGATAAAGTTCTAATTCTGGTAGGGTAAAGCCCCCCCCCCCCCCGGGTCTATAATTATTTGATGTTTGATTCTTGGTTTCCTTCCATTCCAAATAAATCTAGCAATGTCTTTCCTCCAGCTTTTAAAGCATTTCATTCCTCCCAATATTGGAATGGTTTGGAACAGGAAAATCATTTTTGGTAGAATGTTCATTTTGACTACAGTCATACCTCGGGTTACAGACGCTTCAGGTTGCGTTTTTTTTGGGTTGCGGACCACCGAAACCTGGAAGTACCGGAACGGTTTACTTCCGGGTTTCAGCGGTTGTGCATGCGCAGAAGCACTAAAGACATGTTCCGCTTCCTGTCGAGTCTGTCGGCTGTTGAGTCCCGAGCACCCACGCAACACTTTGGGTGCAGTTCATGGCGGGAAAGCAGTGTTTAAGGAAACTCAATCCATCATAGTTAGAGGCTAGTGGTAATAACACCAAGGTTGCAGGTTCAATCCCATATTCCTGCATTGCAGGGGGTTGGACTAGATGACCCATGAGGTCCCTTCCAACAATTCTAAGATTGTATGTGGTGCCACAGACGCCCATCAGGGGAACCTCCGGTGCAAGCAGCCACTCAAGACACCCACACCCACGCCGGGGCTCGCCCTACGAAGCCTTCGCAGGACCCTCTTCTGGGGACGAGGGAAACGGCTTGCTAGGAGGCCCTGGGAAACAGCTTTAACCGAAGCGACCCTGGCGGGAGGGAGAGAGGGAGGCGGGCAGCCGAGATAATTCAAGACGACAACCTTCATGCAGAATCATCCCCGGCTGCTGATCCGTTTGCGGCCGCCCCACAAAGAAAATTGCAGTGTCTGATTTCATTTGGGGGAATCGCGGGAGTTGTCAACCCCAAAGCATCCTCAGGCACGGCAGGACTCGGCAGGAAAGCACATCTGCTCTCCCCCCCCCCAAAAAATACAGCAACGGGAGGATTCCTGAGCCTGCCTCTGCCGGGAGGGAGCAAGCAGCCCAGCCCCAGGCCTCGCTCTGTGGCCTGCATGCCTCATCTTGCACCTGGCCATCGGCCACCTGCGACCAGGTGAAGATGCTCAGCTCCCAGGTTGTCGCCTGACGTCTCCACCATCTGGAGGTGGATCCTGGGAATCCTTGGACCTGGACTGTTTTCTCAGACCACATCCTGTGGAATTCTATCTGTTGGATTTTATCTGAATTTCAGGGACCAAAAGTCGTATTGAAAAATACAACTTTCAAGCCGTCTGTCCCAAAAATGGCAACTAGGTGCTCCATTTTGGCGAAGGTAACCCTGGTACGATAAGGCTGTATATTGTCTCCCTGCTTATTTAACTTATATGCAGAATTCATCACGCGAAAGGCTGGGCTGGATGAATCCCTAGCCAGAATTAAGATTGTCGGAAGAATTATCAACAACCTCAGATATGCAGATGACACAACAATGATGGCAGAAAGTGAGGAGGAATTAAAGAACCTTTTAATGAGGGTGAAAGAGGAGAGCGCAAAATATGGCCTGAGGCTCAACATCAAAAAAACGAAGATCATGGCCACTGGGCCCATCACCTCCTGGCAAATAGAAGGGGAAGAAATGGAGGCAGTGAGAGACTTTACTTTCTTGGGCTCCATGATCACTGCAGATGGTGACAGCAGTCACGAAATTAAAAGACGCCTACTTCTTGGGAGAAAAGCGATGACAAACCTAGACAGCATCTTAAAAAGCAGAGACATCACCTTGCCAACAAAGGCCTGTATAGTTAAAGCTATGGTTTTCCCAGTAGTGATATATGGAAGTGAGAGCTGAACCATAAAAAAGGCTGATTGCCAAAGAATTGATGCTTTTGAATTCTGGTGCTAGAGGAGACTCTTGAGAGTCCCGTGGACTACAAGAAGATCAAACCTCTCCATTCTGAAGGAAATCAGCCCAGAGTGCTCACTGGAAGGACAGATCCTGAAGCTGAGGCTCCAAGACTTTGGCCACCTCATGAGAAGAGAAGACTCCCTGGAGAAGACCCTGATGTTGGGAAAGATGGAGGGCACAAGGAGAAGGGGACGACGGAGGACAAGATGGTGGGACAGTGTTCTCGAAGCTACCAGCATGAGTTTGACCAAACTGCGGGAGGCAGTGGAAGACGAGTGCCTGGCGTGCTCTGATCCATGGGGTCATGAAGAGTTGGACACGACTAAACGACTAAACAACAACAACCCCGGTTTGGTGGACAGTAACCATTTGGTGTCGTACATCCAAGCTTCTAGCACTGCTTTCCCCCCATCCCTGAAATCCATCTGCCTTAGACAGCTTCTGCTGCATGCTGAAGACATGCCTCCAGACCCCTCTGACCACGGACAGTGAAGGCTTTTCCTTTTTTAGGGTTAGTCGATTACGTGCTGCTTCTGCCCAGAAGCAGTTTACCTGCTTTTACAGTTGCATGCAAACGGTTCTGCTTCTTTCATTTGCTTATAATTGCACGGCCACAATGCCGTCACCCGCGCTGGGACCTTCCAGAGAAGGGCGGGTAAGAAACCCTGCAAATAATAAACCATTCAGCAAGAGTCATGCCGGGACGAAACGGTTGTTGTGGAGACCTTCTTAGCTTTGCATAGCAATGCCACAGGCCACGCCTCTCGCATTCCAGATTTTGGGCCAGGGCTTGCATTTCCCCCGACAGTTATGTGCACCCAAATGTGCATGGGGTGGAGGTGGGGAGAAGAGACATGAGATGACAAAGCGTTGTGCCCCCACGACAAATCTGCCAGTCTTCTCAAGGTGCCACAACAAGACGGTTTGATGATCTCAAAAAGGCACCTGCTTCACAGGCCCAGGCCTAACTCCTTTGGCCGGCCAGTCGCTGGGAGCTCAGCCAGCTTGGGGAAAATTCAATCACAGTCGCTTCTGGTCTCTGACATGCGCGAAGGAGCGCAAGAGCGCATGTCAGCGCACCAACAAGGTGGCAGCAGCAATTCAAAAGCTGGCAACCACCACGTAGCTTAGGGCTGACTCATAGAACTGCCCGAACTCTGCTTAAAAACCCTCAGCAAAGGCACCCTTTGCTAGCCAAGCCACCAGTGCTAGTTGCCCCCCTCAGATTAAAGGCACGCCGCAAGAAAAATGGGGCTCTTGGGATCACCTTTCTCTTTTGGCATGGCTTTGGAGAATGCACACAACAAGGTCCATTTGACGCACACCCCAGGAGGAAATAATAATTTATTATTTCCCCAGTGGTTTCCCCAGCCACTCTGGGTGGCTTCCAACAAAATATTAAGAATACAGTGGTACCTCAGATGAAGTACTTAATTCATTCTGGAGGTCTGTACTTAACCTGAAACTGTTTTTAACCTGAAGCACCACTTTAGCTAATGGGGCCTCCTGCTGCTGCCGCGCCACCAGAGCACAATTTCTGTTCTCATCCTGAAGCAAAGTTCTTAACCCGAGGTAATATTTCTGGGTTAGCGGAGTCTGTAACCTGAAGCGTATGTAACCTGAAGCGTATGTAACCCAAGGTACCACTGTACAATAAAACATCAGACATTAAAAACTTCCCTAAACAGGGCTGCCTGCCTTAACCCCCCCAAACCTGGAGACCTGCCCAAGAAAAAACAGGGTGGTGGGCTTATCCAAAGGCCTTGGGCAAGGAGAAGAGGGAAGAGGGGGCTGCAAAGCTGGCCATGGAGGACTCGGGCAAGGATGGATCGCCTATTGAAAATGCTCGCCAGGGTCGATTTTTCTGGCAGAAGGAAAGGAGGGGGGGAGCATCCATTTAAGCAATTCTTCTAACAATGACCCTTGCAGGGAAAGGCGGAGAACAGGTGCCCCCCTCCCTCCCCAGCCACGGAGTCAGGTGGCCAAGAAGCAGCAGCAGCAGCAATGCCTGGAACAAGAACACGGAAATATGCAAGCTTTCTCCACAGGCAATTAAAACAGACTGAATTAATCAGGAAAGAGTAGGAAATGGCTCTGTCTTTCAGAGAGGGACTCACAGGCAGGCCAGGCCTCAGAGGGGAAGGGGGTGGGACTCAAGGAATGGACAAATATACAATGGCCTCTCCAAGTCAAAAGTTCACAGCCCAGAAGCCAAAGGCCCTGAACTAAGGGCTGGGGGAGCATTTTGGCTTCATTAGCCCAGAGGCAGCGGCTGCCCCCTTGCAAACAGCTGCAGACACCCCCGGGCAGAGAAGGACAACCTGGGGACTTGAAGGTATACAGTGGTACCTCAGGTTATAGACGCTTCAGGTTACAGATGCTTCAGGTTACAGATGCTTCAGGTCAGAGACTCCACTAACCCAGAAATAGTACCTCGGGTTAAGAACTTTGCTTCAGGATGAGAACAGAAATTGTGCCGCAGCAGCGGGAGGCCCCATTAGCTAAAGTGGTGCTTCAGGTTAAGAACAGTTTCAGGTTAAGAACGGACCTCCGGAACAAATTAAGTTCTTAACCTGAGGTACCACTGTATCTGGAATTTTCTAATCTGATCGTGATCTGTGCAGGAGGCACGTGCGCAACCTGCAGCACCACGTCTGCACACGCGCAGGTTGCGATTTGGCACTTCTGCGCATGTGCAAAGCGTGATTCAGCGTTTCTGCGCATGTGCGAGCCCCGAAACCCGGAAGTAACCCATTCTGGTACTTCCAGGTTTGGCGCAGTGCGCAATCCGAAAACGCGCAACCTGAAGCGTCTGTAACCCGAGGTATGGCTGTACAGGCATGCATTGCAATACGTCGGACGTGCTGTTCTTTGACAAGCACCATGAGACGAGGGCTTTCAAAGGCTTCCCCTGCAGCAAGGAGAGTTTCCCGGATTTCTTAAAGACATCAGTGAAATGGCAGGTCTCCTGGCTTGCTGGAACGGTTTGCAAAACAACAACAACACCCCGATTCCACAGCCACTGCAGTTTCCTCTCACCCCACTGTACTGAGATGAAGATTACTTGCCCTTCACCCAAGGGTCCCCAGACAGGGTCGCAAAGATTTAAAATAAAACATTAATTGCTTTTTAAAAACAACAACTTTGCAATTGCAAAAAGAAACCAAAACCCCACAGTAACACCTAATAAGAAGTGACAAGAGCTTATATTAGATTTAGATTTCCAATCTTTCTGTGTTAGAAGCCTTCGAGTTTGTTTTCTCAAAGGAGATTACTTTCCCCCACCACCCACACAAGTATGCTGCATTTAGGCTCACAAATGCAACTTGCTTGCAGACCTGCATTTTATTCCTCATTGCAGGGGGTCAGGCTAGATGGCCCCTGGGGTCCCTTCCGACTCCTACCTTCTAGGTAAGAAGCAACGAACAAAGCAGCGATGGCCACCGACCTGGCTGCCTATTAAAGAAGACGGCTGTCAATGTCTACTAGCTCAGAAGGCTGAGCCACAGCCTCCAGCATCTGAATCCCAGTTTCTGGAAACCAGAGGAGGGGAGAGTGTTGCTCTCGCACTCGGACCCTGCTTGCAGATTTTCCATAATGGGCATCTGGTCTGCCACTGTGAGAACAGGATGCTGGACTCGATGGGCCCCTGGCTGGACCAAGCAGGCTCTTCTTTTGCTCTTAATAAATCCTCCTGCCCTCTTATGGACCTTTTTCACGAAAGGGGAAATGAACTTGGTAAATCTGGATTTGAAAATTGGGGGGGGGGGGGGGAATTAGCTTATAGAATGTTGTTGTTTAGTCGTTTAGTCGTGTCCGACTCTTCGTGACCCCCTGGACCAGAGCACGCCAGGCACTCCTGTCTTCCACTGTCTCCCGCAGTTTGGTCAAACTCATGCTGGTAGCTTCGAGAACACTGTCCAACCATCTCATTCTCTGTCATCCCCTTCTCCTTGTGGCCTCCATCTTTCCCAACATCAGGGTCTTTTCCAGGGAGTCTTCTCATGAGGTGGCCAAAGTCTTGGAGCCTCAGCTTCAGGATCTGTCCTTCCAGTGAGCACTCAGGGCTGATTTCCTTCAGAATGGAGAGGTTTGATCTTCTTGCAGTCCATGGGACTCTCAAGAGTCTCCTCCAGCACCAGAATTCAAAAGCATCAATTCTTCGGCGATCAGCCTTCATTATGGTCCAGCTCTCACTTCCATCCATAACTACTGGGCTTATAGAATAGCTGGATGTTAATGAGTGAATACTATATCTAGCTAACAGAGAACCGGAAGTCTTCTTATCTCCCCCCCTGCTCCCCGTTTTCTTTTCACCCTCTTTTTCCTTTCTTTACCTTTTCCCTTCTGTTCCTTTTAAGATTAGATTTTAAAAACATTTTTTAAAAATTATTCTGGTGCATTATAAAAAGAAACTTTGCATTGGGTGTGGACTTTTGCATATCCTTGGGCAAGTATCAATAAAAACAAGTATGAAAAATAAAATGAAACTAAATCCTCTTCCCTCCAAGGGGTGCTGGACCACAGCAAACCTGCTCTGGCCACCAAGTTCCTTGGCAGACATGCTTTTCCAAGCAGCTTCTTTGCCTGCCCCTGTTCTGCCCGCCATCGGGACCCTGGCACCCATCTGATTCTAGGAGCCACCCCAGTCCCAGGAGACTGTTAGCCAGAACTATGTTAATAATAATAACAACAACAAATTTATTATTTATACCCCACCCAGCCACTCTGGGCCGCTCCCAATCGAGTGTTAAAAACAATGCAGCATTAAATATTAAAAACTTCCCTAAACAGGGCTGCCTTCAGATGTCTTTTAAAAATAGGATAGCTGCTTATTTCCTTGACATCTGATGGGAGGGCGTTCCACAGGGCGGGCGCCACTACCGAGAAGGCCCTCTGCCTGGTTCCCTGTAACTTCGCTTCTTGCAATGAGGGAACCGCCAGAAGGCCGTCTGCACTGGATCTCAGTGTCTTGGTCATGTTGCCTTGGCCAGCGCATATTCCTGTATGGCATGAGGTTCGACTAGATGGCAGTCAAGATCCCTTTCAACTCTATGATTCATGGTTCATGCTTTGGGTCATTTTACATTCAATGGACTATTTAATTTTTTTAAATAAAACTTTCTTTTTAAGAGTGACCTGCCGTTGGAAATGAAAATATATTCCATGTTACAAGCTGGACAGAGGCAGTGGCAGAGAGAGGGAGCACAGAATACAACAACCCTCCAGTGTAGACTGGTGATCATTTATCTGCACACAAGCACACACTAGTTCCAAGGGTGTGTGTGTGTGTTTGTGTGTGTGTGTGTGTGTGTGTGTGTGTGTGTGTAGCTTCTCAGAGGGGCAGCATTTGGGAGAGGCATGCTTAACCCTTTCCTGCCAGGCACACTCTCTGATTCCTCACCCAAGGGAATCTCTCCTGTGGGCAAGAAAGCAGATGGAGGACAATTTTGATCTTAAGCAGCCTGCAGGAAAATGGTTAATTGCTCCTTCCCAAGGGATTTGGGGGGGAGTAATTAACTGTTTAATTGCCAGCCACTTAAGACCCAAACTGTCCCCCATCTGCTTTCTTGCCCACAGGGGAGACTTCCATTTCCCCGGAGTTCATCTGCTACGCACAATGACAGATGCAGTCCTTCTTTGGCTGCGGCTTTAAAACGCTGCAAAGGAAATGACGGTTTGGATTTCCGGCTCCAAACCCCCAACACACACACACACACACCTCCCACCCTCAAATTCAGCAGCTCAACAGCATGCAGAAGCTTCGTGCTCCTTTAAATCACAGAATCATTAGAAGGGACCCCGAGGATCATCTAGTCCAACCCGCTGAAATGCAGGACAACGCAGCTGCCCCAGACGGGAATCGAACTCGCAACCTTGGCGTTCTCAGCACCACGCTCTAACCAACTGAGTGATGTCGCCACCGCAGTTTAAAAACCTCCGAGGAAGAAGAACCCACCAATATCCGAGGGGGTCCCTTGACTTGTGAGGACACACTGCCCTACTCCTGGCACTCGTAAGGCGCCAAACTAGTGTTCCCAGCCCAGCTGGAAAGGGAAGGAGCTTTGGACCCAGGGCAGCAATCCAGGCACCTGCAACAGCCGCTGCCTCTCTGGTCCAGGTGGGGGCAGCTGTGGCCACACCTGAGCACAGCCAGGTGATCCTCAGTCCGGCTTCAACCCTAAAGGGGCTTCAGAACCACCACCAAAGGAACACAAGTGAACAGCAAAGAGAACCTGCGCAAACGACGCTGACACAAAAACCCACACGTACATTAAGCAAAATAGAAATACAGTGGTACCTTGGGTTAAGTACTTAATTTGTTCCGGAGGTCCGTACTTAACCTGAAACTGTTCTTAACCTGAAGCACCACTTTAGCTAATGGGGCCTCCCGCAGCTGGAGCACGATTTCTGTTCTCACCCTGAAGCAAAGTTCTTAACCCGAGGTACTATTTCTGGGTTAGCAGAGTCTGTAACCTGAAGCGTATGTAACCCGAGGTACCACTGTATCGCCTCCCACCCCCACCCCTCCCCCTCCACTGGGGGCGGCCGCCAAGACCACATAACACCAGTCTTGAAAGACCTACATTGGCTCCCAGTCAGTTTCTGAGCACAATTCAAAGTGTTGGGGCTGACCTTTAAAGCCCTAAACGGCCTCAAAGGCCCAGTAGACCTGAAGGAGCGTCTCCACCCCCATCGTTTTGCCCGGACACTTAGGTCCAGCGCCGAAGACCTTCTGGCTGTTCCCTCGCTGCGAGAAGCAAAGTTACAGGGAACTAGGCAGAGGGCCTTCTCAGTGGTGGCGCCCGCCCTGTGGAATTCCCTCCCACCAGATGTCAAAGCAATAAACAACTACCTGATATTTAGAAGACATCTGAAGGCAGCCCTGTTTGGGGAAGTTTTTAATGTGTGACATTTTAATGTATTTTTAATCTTTGTTGGAAGCCGCCCAGAGTGGCTGGGGAAAGCCAGCCAGATGGGCGGGGTACAAATTATTATTATTATTATTATTATTATTATTACTATTCCACCCTTTTTTCTTCCTAATGTAACCCTAACGTCTCAACAAATGAAACTGACCTATGGAAAACGTAACTTGAAGAAAGAGACATTGCGCAGACCTTTGTAAACCAAGAAAACTTTAATAAAATATTTTAAAAATAAACAACAACTCGGCACCCGGGGCTTGCAAGCCAGGGCCGGTCCTGACCTCAGCCACGGAAAAATGAAACGGCCAAACCACTAACGCACCTCTGCTGCCCTGCAAACATGGAAGTCCTCTGTTACCATAGAAACCTGGAGCGGCCCAGCCAGACGGTTCAAAGTCCCGGCCTCCGAGGCTCTGATCCGATCGATTCCTCTTGCAACCTGCCTGCAACCGAGCGGTGATTTATGGCCGGGCTCTGGAGGGCTGTGCAGGTCAGAGATCAGCCGTGGTTCGTGCCACGAGAACGCCGCCCCTGCGGTGGCCAAACAGCTTGAGGCTTCTTTTCCACCTGCCTTCCAGGTCGCTTAACTCCCACCCATAGCTGTCAACTTTTCCCTTTTCTTGCGAGGAATCCTATTCGGAATAAGGGGATGTCCCTTAAAAACAAAGGGAAATGTTGACAGCTATGCCTCCCACCGTCAGCTTTATAAATGACGCAGCCCGGTAACTCCTGCCAAAAGGCAACCAATTGCTCAGTAGGTGGAGCACAGAATTGTAGGGCTGGAAGGGGCAGCCAGGGGCCATCTAGTCCAACCCCCTGCAATGCAGGAATCTCAGCGAAAGCATCCCTGATGGATGGCCAGCCAACCTCTGCTTGGAAAACCTCCAGTGAAGGGGAGCCCACCACCTTCCAAGGGAGTCCGTCCCACTCTCAAACAGCTCTTGCCACAAGGAAGTTCTTCCTTGGGCTTAGCTGGAATTATTATTATTATTAGTAGTAGTAGTAGTAGTACCCCGCCCATCTGTCTGGGTTTCCCCATCCACTCTGGGCGGCTTCCAACAAAGATTAAAAATACATTAAAATGTCACACATTAAAAACTTCCCTGGCCAGGGCTGCCTTCAGATGTCTTCTAAAAGTCAGATACAGTGGTACCTCTGGTTGCGAACAGGATCCGTTTCGGAGCCCCATTCACAACCTGAAAGGAACGCAACCTGTGTCTGTGCGTGCCGCAATTCGCCGCTTCTGTGCATGCACATGACGTCATTTTGCGCATCTGCGCATGTGCGTGGCGAAACCTGGAAGTAACCCTTTCTGATACTTTCAGGTCGCCACAAGATGCAACCTGAAAAAACGTATCATGAAGCAAACATAACAAGAGGTATGACTGTAGTTGTTTATTTCTTTGATATCTGGTGGGAGGGCGTTCCACAGGGCGGGCGCCACCACCGAGAAGGCCCTCTGCCTGGTTCCCTGTAGCTTCGCTTCTCGCAGTGAAGGAACCGCCAAAAGGCCCTCAGCACTGGACCTCAGTGTCTGGGCAGAACAATGGGGGTGGAGACACTCCTTCAGGTATCCAGGGCTGAGGCCGTTTAGGGCTTTAAAGGTCAGCACCAATACTTGAATTGTGCTCGGAAACGTACTGGGAGTCAATGTAGGTCTTTCAAGACCGGTGTTATATGGTCTTGGCGGCCACCTCCAGTCACCAGTCTAGCTGCCACATTCGGGATCAGTTGCGGTTTCCAGGTCACCTTCAAAGGTAGCCCCACGTAGAGCGCATTGCAGTAGTCCAAGCAGGAGATAACTAGCGCATGCACCCCAGAAATCACCCCAGAATTGGCCCTACTAAACATCTTCCAAGACAACAATGCCCATTTACACCACAAAGAACTCATAACCCACCTACTTTCAGCAGCCAGAAACACCATAACCAGACACTGGAGAGACCTGTCAGGAGTAAGCATGGACCAATGGTACCAAATAGTATGGGAAACAGCCCTACTAGAAAAATTAACCAATGAACTGAAACTGACACAGGGACAAATAGAAGAAGTCGCCTTCACCCCGGTACGGCTCCCCTTTATCACACACACAGCCCAACAAGACAATGACAAGAATCCACCAACAGCATACAAATCAATATGGCTAACCTGACCCAAAACACCCACCTACCCCACTCGCACATGAAAACAAAGACCACCACAGCCAACCCCAAATGAACAACCACACCCTAGGCCAACCCCAACCTCTCTCACCACCAAAGGAACACAAGTGAACAGCAAAGAACCTGTAGAAGCAACGCTATCACCAAACCCCACATACATTAAGCAAAATAGAAACATTCCCACCCCACCCCACCCCACCCCCACCCATCTTCCCCCCCTCCCCCTTTTCTTCCGAATGTCTCAACAAATGAAACTGATTTGTAAAAACGTTACATAGAAAAAATCCGAGAGACATTACACATACTTCTGTAAATCAAGAAAATCTTTAATAGAAATACAAAAAAGAGAGACACATTCTACTCATGTAAGAACACACCGGTTCCCAGACCGTCCGCGGGCCGGATTTAGAAGGCGATTGGGCCGGATCCAGCTCCCGGGCCTTAGGTTGCCTACCCATGGACCAGAGGCAGGTAGGCGCCTGCCTTGCGCACAGCAGCCACAGGTGCTCCTCCGTGCTGGCAGAGGGGCAGAGGGAGGGGGTCAAGAGCCTTGCAGGCCAGGAAGAGCGGTGGGAGTCACCCCCTCCAGCAGCACCAGCTGAGCCCCGGCTGAGCTCTCTCAGCCAAGCCAACCTCCCTTGCAGGATGCATCCCCTGCGGCGGCAGCAGCAGCTTAGGGGAGAGTAGACAGAGAAACCCGTCTGCAGACAGCCCAAATCCCCTCTTCCTCCAAGTCAATCCCCAAGCCAGACTCCTTAAGCAGAAGCCCCCCAACCCTTGAAAAAAAAAATAGCCATTTTTTGCAAAGCACACAAGCTGAACAGGCTCTCCCGACTGCTGGGGGTGTGGGCATCATTCTCATGCCCAGAAACATCTGCCCTGGCCCATCCATGCCCTCACAGTGGAGGTGGCCCAGTAAAGGAGGACCTTCATATTATTATTATTATTATTATTATTATTATTATTATTATAGCTTTGGAAGAAGCAGTCTGGGCCACAGATGACTCCTTGAGGTTTTTCAAGGAGCAGGTCGACACTAGCCTGTCTCAGGGCACAGGACCGGGTCTCCAGTGTTAAAAACACAGATATATAAGCTAGTCGCCAAATGGCACCTTAAATCTAGTTTGCGGTGGCCACAGCGGGATGCCTGTTCGCCAGGGGGCTGGACTGGATGACCCTTGGGGTCCCTTCCAGTGTTACAATCCTATGATGTCAACTGCTTGGCTGCAGCCTGCTCTTACAGCAATTCCCTTGTGCCAGTGTTCAAGAAGAAAAAACACACACCCTGGAAATGGAATTAACTGTGGACTAAGGCGGAGGTTTTCAAAGTGTGGTCGCCAACATGGCTCCCAGAAATCTCCACGTAGTGACAGCTGGACCAAAATGTGCCTGGGGGAATTTCAAACACTGCTGGGCTCAAGATCCCACAGGTCTTCCTTCCTTTCAAATGCTTGCACCGAGTCCCAGAATTCCTCAGGGTTTCTCCCCAAGGGCCAATGTAGTCCTGACACTGCAAGATGAGTGTGTGCAAGACGCCAGCCCTTTGGAGCAGCCCTGCTGGCGAAAACCTTGCTTGGGAGCCTGGTAAAAAGCAGCGGCTGAATGGGGCACATGGCAGGCCCTCTTGCCTTTGGAAGGGGAATAATAATAATAATTTATTACCACTGTGGTGTAGTGGTTAAGAGCGGTAGTCTCGTAATCTGGGGAACCGGGTTCGCGTCTCCGCTCCTCCACATGCAGCTGCTGGGTGACCTTGGGCCAGTCACACTTCTCTGAAGTCTCTCAGCCCCACTCACCTCACAGAGTGTTTATTGTGGGGGAGGAAGGGAAAGGAGAATGTTAGCTGCTTTGAGACTCCTTAAAGGGAGTGAAATGTGGGATATCAAATCCAAACTCTTCTTCTTCTTCACTCTGGGCAGCTTCCAACAGAATATTAAAATGCAATAATCTATTAAACATTAAAAGCTTTCCTAAAGAGGGCTGCCTTCAGATATCTTCTAAAAGTCTGGTAGTTGTTTATCTCTTTGACATCTGGTGGGAGGGCGTTCCACAGGGTGGGTGCCACTACCGAGAAGGCCCTCTGGTTCCCTGTAACTTGGCTTCTCGCAGTGAGGGAACTGCCAGAAGGCCCTCGGCGCTGGACCTCAGTGTCCGGGTAGAAACACTCCTTCAGATATACTGGACCAAGGCCGTTTAGGGCTTTAAAGGTCAGCACCAACACTTTGAATTGTACTCAGAAATGTACTGGGAGCCAGTGTTGGTCTTTCAAGACGGGTGTTATGTGGTCTCAGCGGCCGCTCCCAGTCACCAGTCTAGCTGCCGCATTCTGGATTACAGTGGTACCTCGGGTTACATACACTTCAGGTTACACACTCAGCTAACCCAGAAATAGTGCTTAAAGTTAAGAACTTTGCTTCAGGATAAGAACAGAAATTGTGCTCCGGCGGTGCAGCGGCAGCAGGAGGCCCCATTAGCTAAAGTGGTGTTTCAGGTTAAGAACAGACCTCTGGAACGAATTAAGTAGTTAACCCGAGGTACCACTGTAGTTGTAGTTTCCGGGTCACCTTCAAAGGTAACCCCACATAGAGCGCATTGCAGTAGTCAGGTGGGGTCTTAGCCTGCGTACCAGATGGAGCTGGTAGACAGCTGCCCTGGACACAGAATTGACCTGCGCCTCCATGGACATCTGTGAGTCCAGAATGACTTCCATGCTGCTCACCTGGTCCTTCAGGGGCACAGTTACCCCATTCAGGACCAGGGAGTCCTCCACACCTGCCCGCCTCCCGTCCCCCCAAAGCAGTACTTCTGTCTTGTCAGGCCAAATCTTGGAGGCCAGGTGCTCTGTTTCAGGCTCCAGCTGTGTCTACAAGGGCAGCCCCGTGGTCCCTGAGGAAAGCGTTCCTGGGTTGTGGAGCTTGGCTGCCACAGAGAGAACAGCTTGTTTGCTTTGTGACTCAGTGAGCAAGGGAGGAGGACAGCAGGCGGGCGAAGGCACACCGCCCTCTGCCAAAGCATCACTGTACGCTTGCTAAGCCGCAAAGCCACAGTTGCACACCTACGGCTCTGCCCGCCTTGACTCTGGCCGAAAAAGCCTTTCTCTGTTGTTATCTTCTTTGCTCTGCCTGTTCCCCAGCAGGGTGTGAGAAAATGCAACCTTCACAAAGGCCATTCCTCTCTCCAGGAGGGCAGAAGAAGCAAGGCTCCCTTCTCCTCATGGGATCCTCTCCACAAATGCCCCCCCCCGAAACAAACCCTATGCTGGGATACCGGTGTCCATCCACCAAAAGGCAAAGGTAAAGGACCCCTGACAGTTAAATCCAGTCGTGAACGACTCTGGGGTTGCGGCGCTCATTTCGCTTTACTGGCTGAGGGAGCCGGCGTTTGTCCACAGACAGTTTTTCTGGGTCATGTGGCCAGCAGGACTAAGCCGCTTCTGGTAAAACAAGAGCATCACATGGAAATGCCGTTTACCTTTCCACCGGTGTGGTACCTATTTATCTACTTGCACTTTGATGTGCTTTCGAACTGCTAAGTTGGCAGGAGCAGGGACCGAGCAACGGGAGCTCACCCCGTCACGGGGATTCGAACCGCCGACCTTCTGATCGGCAAGCCCTCGGCTCAGTGGTTTAGACCACAGCGCCACCCGTGTCCCCCCCCCCAATCCACCAAGGCACCCCCTAAAAAGGCACTGGCACTTGTCACAAGCAGACAATGACAAGGGGGCGAGAGAGGAGCTTGTCCAGCAAATGCCAAGAACGCAGCCTCCATTTGCACAAGTGCGAGTTGGACACAGACCAAAGCCGCCTCCTGGAGCCGGCCCGGGATTGCAAAGCAGAGAGAGCACAACAAAGAGCCTGCTCTGCAAAGCAAAGTCTCGGAGGCATCTGACCCCGACGCCGGCAACGCCAGGCAGAAAAGATGTTTACACCAGAATAATCACACTGTGCAGATCCCATTGAACCAGTCAATCAAAAAGGGCGACAGATGGCCCGGCCGAGTCGTAGCATGAATTAGGTACCGCACGAATATAGGTGAGAGCCCTTGTGTGGGCTGAAGAGGACGGCAGTCCCCATAAATGGGCCCAGAATAGCAGTGGCAGCTCATGGTCAGTGCTCTGCCTCCCTCAGCAAATTAATAAGGCAAGAAGAACAGCCAGATAGGTAGCTCTGGGCATCCTCTCGCCAGTGTTTGAAATTCACCAGGCGCTAAGCGCATTTTGCAACTGCCCTGGGTCCAATTGCAACCCCGTGGAGATCTCTGGCACATGGTTCACCCCCCCTCCTCTGTTAATCCCTACAACGACCCTGTGAGGGAGGTTAAAAGGCTGCAACTGTGAGCTTCATGAGAGAGTCGGGATTCGAACCCTGATCTCCCAGGTCCGACACTTGAACCACTACACCACAATGGCTTCCTAAGGCACTTCTGCTATGGGGCAGCTCAGGAAATTACCGTAAGTAGGTGAATAAATATGGAGAAAGGCAAACGTCGCTTAGAGAATGATCTGAAATATTTTCCTTGAAGCTTGAATCTGGTTTATTCTGGGTTGTTTTATTTGATGTGTTAATGTATTGTAAACCGCTTTGAGGTTTCCCCCCCTTTAAAATATGAATCGGCATAGAAATGAAAAGAATACTACTACTACTAATAAATCTCATGGCAAAAAAAGGCACCTAGACATTCTGTTGTGGCGACCGTAACCTAGGTTTAAGGTGCCATTTGATGATTAGCTGATATATCTGAGTTTCTAGCACTGCCTCTTGCTCTCTTTTTCTCTTCCCCTGAGGAGAGTTTGCCTTCATAGAATCATAGAGTTGGAAGAGACCACAAGGGCCATCGAGTCCAACCCCCTGCCAAGCAGGAAACACCATCAGAGCATTCAAACAGAGCATGCATTTTTGGTTAGGCTGTGGGACTCTCTGGGGTGCAGGCTCCGAACAACAGCCCCAGGCTGAAAGATGCAAGCTGTTTCAGAGCAGCAGCTCCTGCGCAAGCCTAATCGAAACGAACAGAAGCTCCTCTGATGCAGGCAAGCCAGAGAAAAAGGCACCCTCATTTTCATCAGAGCCCAGACTGGAAAGGCAGATGCGCCCGGGTTCGAATCACCCGGTCTCAGGGTGCTTCCAACACCACGACGTTCTCCTGGCAAAACAAACTCTGTGGCTAATTGCTTTCCCAGGGCTTGTAGGAGGAAACAGGACTTGATTCATTCACAAGCATCTTAGAAATCCATGTGAAATCCATTCCATGCATTCCCCCTAGATACGCAGCGCCGCATCCGAAATGTTCCAACATGATCAGAATACCAGCTTTTCTAGACTCGTCGGCCAGGGGGGAAAAAACTGGCAAGCCAAGAGCTCGCCCCCGTCAAATCCTCTCGCACTGAACTACCACACAGAAATTGATGCAGGCAAAACAACATGTGGGAAAGGGGGCTTCAGAGGGACCGCCTCAGGGGACCAGGCTAAACCCAGACCCTGCAATCGCCACCTGAGCTCCTTCTTTGTATGAGAATTCCTTACATATATTTAGGTGCCAGGCAGAAACATTCCTCTTCAGCCAGGTATTTTGGCTTCTAAGCAATCTATGGCCTTTTAAAGCAGGGGTTTCTTCTTCTTTTTTCTCTCCCCCCGGAAAGAAAACATTTAATGAATGTACAGTCATCCCTCGGGTTGAAGTAGCTTCGGGATTAGTATTTTCGGGTTGCGCTCCGCGGCAACCTGGAAGTAATGGAGCGTGTTACTTCTGGGTTTCGCCACTCGTGCATGCGTAGATGCTCAAAATGACGTCTCGCACATGTGCAGAAGCGGCAAATCACGCCCCGCACAGGTTACGTTCGCTTCAGGATGTGAACGGGGCTCCAGAACGGATCCCGTTCGCATCCAGAGGTACCACTGTATGGGTTGGGGGTTTTTGTTGCTATTGTTTTGCTTTGGTTCTGTAAAGGCGCATCGAGTTGCCTGCAGCGAGAGAAGGAATCTAGTAAATTTAATAAATAAAGCAAACCCGGGCCAAACTGGGTTCAGAACAAGGATAAGGGGGGCAAGGCATGGGTTCCACAGGGGACAAGAAATCACACCATCCCCTGAGGTAAGCAGTGCTAGAAACTCAGATATAGAAGCTAGGTGCCAAATGCCACCTTAAACCTAGGTTGTGGTCTATTCACCAGGGGGTTGGACTAGATGACCTGGGGTCCTTTCCAACACTACGATTCTACAGTCTCAGCTACACTGCTTGACTCTAGCTTGCTCTTACAACAATTCACTTATCCCAGAAGGAGAAACACACACAGCAGAAAGGGAAATGGAATTAACTATGGACTAAGGCAGAGGTTTTTAAACTGGCACCCAGAAATCTGGGTCGCAATTCGGCATGTGCCCATAGCACAATGTACCTGGCGCCTGGGCAATTTCAAACCCTGGAGGTGAGCTATTGGTAACTAGCTTCTGCAAGCCAAAGCCCACCTGAAGAACACGGACGCCCAAGTCGGGCACGGATAGTGGCCGAGACAGCAGCACGCAGAGCCACAAATCCCCCTGGACACAAACCTGTCTCTCCCTTGTGGAAACCTCCTTGCCTCCTTAGAACGCCCAAACCCAACATGTGGTTTCTTGCAACAAGCAGAAAAGCAGGCTACGCAAAGTGATCGCTCTCAAGCACTCAAGGACCATTCTCCTATTAAGAAGGTCAGCAAGAAGTTGAAAGTGTTTGCACTTGCAAAGGGAGACACAAGTACAAGCCCCCGCCCCGAATTCCTGGCTTTCCCCTTCACACTTGGCCTCCGAACTGCTTATCTGGAGACCCTGTTCCTTGTGAGCGACATCATCAGCTTTCTCATCCTCCTCTCTGGGCTCCTTCCAAACCCGTCTTCCCCGCACGGCTCTTGCAAGGAGAAGGAAGCTCACGGTATGTCATCCCCATTACTCATGTCTTGCCGCTGTGACATTTCCTCCAGGAAATGAGACACGGTTGGAAGGCGGGAGAAGGGAAAAAAGGGAGACGGGGCAGATGGCCGGTGTGGTCAAGTCACAGGCATCAGTTTGCGCCGGGGACAAAGCACCCTTGGTTGGGGAGGGCGGCTGGCTTCCTCCTGAACCCAAGTCTCCCCCAGGCCCTATTTCCAACGCTCTAACCACTACACCACATGCTGGAGAGCTGCTCCATGAACCCTGGGAAAGCTGGGATTCCAGTGCCAAAAGAATTGCTTGGGGAGAAATATATACAGTGGTACCTAGGGTTAAGAACTTAATTTGTTCTGGAGGTCCATTCTTAACCTGAAACTGTTCTAAACCTGAGGTACCGCTTTAGCTAATGGGGCCTCCCGCTGCTGCCGCACCACCACTGCACGATTTCTGTTCTCATCCTGAAGCAAAGTATTTAACCCGAGGTACTATTTCTGGGTTAGCGGAGTCTGTAACCTGAAGCGTCTGTAACCCGAAGTACCACTGTAATAAGTATTAGGAAACTAGTGGCTAAAGGAAGGGACCATGTGTTAGTTCTTGAGCCTCTCCGTCTGCTCCTCCTCCGAAGGGGCACCCACAGATTCCCTCTGGGATCCCCCCAGTCTGCACGCTGCGGCTTCCTTCCCACGGGCGAACTCCCGGGGCCACCGATCCATCGCTACTGGGCTCCAGGGACAGCGTCTCCATGCTCAGGAAGCACAAATCCCCACTCCAAGCAGAGCTCATGGAAACTGGCTGGTGGGACGGGGGGGGGGGCTCTCCTTGGCTTGGCAGCCACTCGAAGGCAAAGGAAATTCCACGGAGCCAGAACATAACACTCTGGGGCTGGGCAGCTATGGGAGAGGAGAGAGAGCGAGGGAGGGGAAGGGCAGCGGCAAAAGGAAGGAGCAAAAGCTTTTTCGAGGAGGGGAGAGAAGACACAGCTGGCTTTTGAGGCAGCTGTTGAAGGTAGCAGATTAACTTCCCTGGCCAAGGAGTGGATTGCAATAAGCGAAGGATTAAAGGAAAGGAAAGAAGAGGGGCCAGAGAGCTCAGGAGGAAAGGCTCAACAGCCGCAAACCAGGAAGGCATGCAAAACTGGCCCCACAGCCTGCAGAAGGGGAACAAGGCTGCCTTGGCGGGGTATGAATAAAGATATATCAATAGTAACCACCAGCAGAACAGAGGCACTAGGCCGAAAGCCCCTTCAAGGACTGCTGCCGCCTCCCTTCTACGCTGCCAGGAATTTGCACCTGCGATGAGGAAGGACCGGCCTCGTTTCAGTCCGTTTCCCTACCCGATCCTTTACAAAATGTCAAAGATTGATTCAACACCTGCAAGGCTTCTTCTCCCTGGAAGGAGGTGGAGGAGAGAGTGGTTGTTGCAGGGGCCGCAGAGGTCATGGCGACTGGCCTTGCCAGGTGCCCAGAAAGGGGCTTTGTCCTGCTGCCGCTGCCTCCTGGCCGGCCTCACCAGCGAGAGACAGTCCCAATGCCCAGGAAAGGCTCGGCTCTGCGATTCCCACGCTGCCAGCCAGGAGCTGGGCTGCGGTTGGGGAGAGGCAGACAAAAGGCCAGCGCTGGCTGGCTGCTGACCAGTGACGGTGCCAGGCCTCTGAGCGCTCCCAAGTGGGAGGCCGGTCAAGCCCAGAGGGCGGCTGACGCAGCACCAGAAAGGAGCAGCCCACAGGGAGGAAGCAGCTCAGGAACCCACAGCAAGGCCCAAGGTCTTGCCAAAGCAGACAGAGCTCGCACCTCCAGCTTCACCCTCTGCACATCTGCCTGCGCTGGGATCCTGCAGGCCCTGCACCACCAGCCCCTTCCAGCCTCCCGCAACTTCACTACTGGCTGGGCCAAGATCCACCCCACAACTCAGTCCCTGGCCCACAGCAGCCCCCACGAAAGGTGGGTTTGCACCAGCACACAGAACGTGCTGAAATAAATAAATTAAGGTCTTATGTATATAATAAAGGTTCATAAATATACCAGGCAAACACATACATAGATATATAGGCCACATGTCTGAAGCTGCACAGGGGAGCAACCATGGAGCCATTTTGACTCCCAGGCTGACCAGGTGTTTTTTCTGCAAGGTCAAATGGAAGAGCCTCCCCATTGTCTTTTCCTTCACAAATCCTGTCTTAAGGGTATGTCTGTGTATGAATAGGGTGAGCCTGTGAGCTGGCTCAGGAATTATGTATTTATCATTACAAAAGACTGGCCAGGCTCCCCAGGGTATCCAATCAAGTGACCATTAACAGGTAACCTGCCAGACAGGAGGTAAACAACCCACTCCGATTTCTGCTGTAGACCGCCCTTTCTGTATGTTGTTTCTGGGGGTGGTCTTTGACTCCAAGGTGGGCAATTTAAAATGTCTATATAAGGGCGGACACACCTTGGTTCTGGGTCCCCCTCCTTTTCCTGTGTGTGAAGGGGGCACCCTGTTGCAACAGTTCAATAAAGATCAGGCTTACAAGCTGCTTTGCTTCTCAGTATTCTCTGGTTGGCCTCTGTTTTTGTCCTCCAACTGATGGAGAACCTACAAAGGACTCTATTAGGGCTCTTGTGGGAATAAGGGCAGGTTTTCGTTTATTACAGTGCCTTGCAGGGTGAAGGAATCACACCAAGGGAGACACTCGGACCCTCAAAAGCGGCATAGAAATGGGATGGAAAATAATTTGAGGATCCTGAGGAGGCAGCTGTTCCCTTGACTGTGCCTGGAAAGCAGGCAGGGCCCAGGGTGTGTGTGTGTCTCTGCCTCAGCACATTCCACCTTCGGCTGCCAAGACAAAGTCCCTGGCACGTGCGACGCCGTGTCCCTGTGCCTAGGTGGCTCAGGTGCCACTTTGCCCTTGAAGTCCCTGAACGCAGCCCCTTCCTGCTGCCAGCAAGGGGCAAGTATGCCCTGCCAACGGCAGGATCGTTGCATGCTGACTTTTTAGGTCCATTAGTGTTTCTACGTGTTTGGTTTCATTTGCTTTCATTTCTGTTCCGAGGCAAAATGACTCACTCCAACGGGTATTGACAGGCTGGAAGGTGGGCAGAGGAAGGCGGCCAGGATGGAGGAGGACCTAGAAGCCAAGCCTGATGAGGAGCAGACAGAGGGAGGACATGACGGCCATCTTCAAATATCTCAAGGGCTGTCCCCTGGAAGATGGAGAAAGCTTGCTTTCTGCTGCTCCAAAGGGGAGGACCCGATCCAAGGGATTCACATGGCAAAAAAGGAGATTCCGACTCAACATTAGGAAGAACTGGGAGCCACGCAAGGTGGCACCTTCCATCGTGTTAGAAACTGAGATATGAAAGCTAGGAGCTAAACAGCACCCAAAACCTATGTTATAGGTGTCACCGCGAGGGAGTGTCTAGGCACACTTTTTTAAATAGCAAGAAAACAAAGCTGAAGATGAATGAACTGTAGCTAAAACCTTACGTTCATTTTTCACATGGTCTAGTCGTCATCTGAAGACTGCAAAAAACAAAGCCATATTTCCTTTCACACACTCACACACCCCTCTAATATTATTACGAGGGTCCCTTCTCCAGTCTTCAGAGAGTGGCTGGAAGTCGATAGGCAGAAAAGGTCATTTTTACAGTGGTACCTCTGGATGCGAACGGGATCCGTTCCGGAGCCCTGTTCGCATCCTGAGTAGAACGTAAAACATGACTGCGCGTGCGCGGGTCGTGTTTCGCCACTTCCGCGCATGATGTCATTTTGAGAGTCTGTGCATGCGCGAGCAGCGAAACCCGGAAGTAACGTGTTCCATTACTTCTGGGTCGCTGTGGAGCGTAACCTCAAAACGCTCAACCTGAAGCACATTTAACCCAAGGTATGACTGTAATCTGAAATCTTAGGCTCAGTACTTCACCCAGAGCTCAGAAACTGCTCACGCGAATGAAATTCCCCGTCACAAAATGCGCCTAGAACAATGGGAGTTTAGAATGGCTGCTTCCTTCGCCGGTGCTTCCCAGCTCCTCCCAGGAGTTGTGCCAGTATTTTTGTCTGCCTGAAATTTTCTGCATTCAGAGGCTTATCCCCTTGCCGGACTTTCGCCCCCTAGTTCCGCGGCCCCTACCCTGTGCCCGCAAGCCAGGCCCCGGGCTCCTCGGAAAAGCCTTCCTCTGCTCCAAGACCACCTCCTACCAGTAGCTGCCTGGCTGTCGGCTGGAAGCGGCAGCAAAGGGAGGCAATTTAACAAATCTATGACTGGAGGGGAAGAGGCGGCGAGGGGAGCAGTTAATGAAGAGCGGTGAGAAACTGCAGGCAGGGCGGCCTGCCAGAAACATCCCCGACGCAAACTGGAGCAGGCATCAAAGATTTATGGGGGCATTAATTTTTTATTACGAGGGAACGAGCGGCTCTTCGTGTACATGCGGCACACAAACCGGGAGTGGGGGGTGTTCCAGGATTTGAAAAGGCAAAGAATTATGCCGCTGCATCAAAAGGGGGGGGAGAGATTTGCTGGAGATAGAAAAATCCCGCAGCCACCTCACAGGCAAAGCTTAATGTCTGCAAAAGGAAGCAAGGGAGGAAGGATGGGAGGAAGGAAGGAGAGGAGGAAGAAGAAGAAACAGGGAGGGAGAGGAAGAAGGAAGAGGGCCAGATTCCCAAAGACAATTCCATCACTGGCTGGAAGCTTCCATTCATTGCATTGCCCCCTTACGATACGATATGATAATCTTTATTGTCATTGTCCCATGCAGAACAACAAAATTGGGGGGGGGGGGAATCTACAGAAGACATTCAAAACCAACAAGCCTGCTATCCCAGCTATCCCAACCTAGTTAGCCCCCTAAAAACTCTGATACCCCATTTTAAAAATACAATATACTCCCACAGAGACTCCTTACAGTGCGTTTAAAACCAAAATCGCATTTGGACAGAAACTGTTTCTCAGACGGCTAGTCCTAGTCTTTATAACCCTGGACCTTCTTCCAGAAGGCAGAAGCTGAAAGAGATCATTTCCAGGGTGTGCACGATCCTGCGCTATCTCTGCAGCTTTCTTATGGCACCTGGAAGCGTAGATTTGATCCGAGGTGGGAAGAGTGCACCCAATTACTCTCTCCGCAGTCTTTACAACCCTGGACAGCATTGGTTTTCCCCTGGCCGTGCAGCCCCCAAACCACACACACAGACCATACGTTAATACACTCTCAACAGTACAATGGTAAAATGCCATCAACAGGTCCTTTGAGAGATTGTTTTTCCGGAGGATTCTCAGAAAATATAACCTCTGCTGTGCTCTCTTCATCAGGTCTTTGCTGTTTTCTCCCCAGGTTGAGCTCCTTTCAGGAGAGGGCACCTTCTCAAAAAGCGATCTGCTTCTTTTCCGCTGGCCCAGCATGTAGCACGGGAGGGAGATGATCCTGCAAACAGGCTGCAGGGCATTTTACCTCGGCTCTTGTGAACGCCACACTCCCTCCCTACAGGGCATGGCTGAATTTCCCAGCGCTGGGGAGTCTTGCCATCTATGGACAACCTTGTAGGCCTCTCAGCCGGCCTCCATCTCTGAGTCCCAGGTGGGGCTTTCAAGCGCAGCCACTGTTGGGTAAGGGCCTCCCAGCAGCCCAGGCCATCCTGGCATGGCAGTTTGAGGATAATAAATACCGGTAATAATAATAAAATTTTATTTATATCCCGCCCTCCCCAGCCGAAGCAGCTAACAACAATAAAAGTAACACAGCATTCTAAAATCAATTCAGAATCAAATTAACGGCAACCATTGGGCTAGAGTTCTATGAGGATTACCAAAGGAGGGAGTCAGACTGTGCCTTGGCCAAAGGCCTGGTGGAACAGCTCTGTCTTGCAGGATACAAATGAACAGACCACAACAGGCACTTAAACCGACCGAGTGCCCTCCAGCTGTTGCTGGACTACAACTCCCATCAGCTGCAGTCAGCACGGGGCAGGGATTATGTGAGCTGAAGTCCTACAGCAACTGGAAGACAGCAGTGTTCAAAACTGGCCAGGCCCCAGTTTGCATCTGCCAACCTAGCAGTTCGAAAGCACATCAAAGTGCAAGTAGATAAATAGGTACCGCTCCAGCAGGAAGGTAAACGGCGTTTCCATGCACTACTCTGGTTCGCCAGGAGCAGCTTAGTCATGCTGGCCACATGACCCAGAAGCTGTACGCCGGCTTCCTCGGCCAATAAAGCAAGATGAGCGCCACAACCCCAGAGGCGGTCACGACTGGACCTAATGGTCAGGGGTCCCTTTACCTTTTTATTGGCCACTTGTAACCAAGTTAAGCTGCTTGGGCGCCAGGGTGGAGCCTGACATTTCCCCCATGTGGGGATCCTTGAATCGGGACTGTTTTCACACACTCAGACCCCTTCCTGTAGAATGCTATGAGTTATATTTCATCCGCACAATCGGAAGGATTTGCTTCTTCTGCACAGCCTGAGCAAGAGAAGTCACCATTAAGAAAAAGAGGTCGGGGTAGGCAAAATATGTATGTGGACTGTCTCCGGATCAAGTGATTTTCCTCTTTCAGTTCTTAAAGCTCTTAACTTAGCTCAAGGTTATAATCTGAACTAGCCAGATGTTTAATGGAGAATCAATCACAGTCAGCCCATCAGGCAACTAGACACTTTGCTTTGGCAACTGAAA